TTAAAAAAAAAAAAAAAAAAACAACAGAAGAATCCTTTTATTTTCAAAGTTTGATCAATCCATGAAGAAAGAGCAGCACATTTTTTTGCAAAGCCCAAATAACTGTACAGCTCATTCTGAAGACAGATTTTTCCCAACAAAAAGGAAGTGCCTGTTGAAGAGAAGGAACAAGGAAGGGAGCCAGGACCAACTGTGGCCAGCATGGTTCTGCTGGCTGGTACCTTTAGAAACATACTACATCCTTCACACTTCTCCTTCCAGTGTTTGTCTCCTTAAAATCACTGAACACCCAGGTGAGGATCCATCTAACTATAAAAGACATTTTAGCATCCCTGAGTGCTGTGTCAGGGCTGCCCTGTATATTTCAATTTTCATTCACAGGACATATGGAAGAAATGGAGTAAAACTTTTCAGGGGGAATGCTGCCTGAGCAGCCACCTTTTCACTTCAGAGGAAATCAGGTTGTCTTCCAGTGAGTTCCAGTCATCAAATTATTTTATTGTTACAATATCATGAAGCAATTCTTATTTTGTGCACATCAAGGTGCTCAAAGTGTTAGTTTTCACAGTATAGAATGGATGTGACAGCATTTGTCATGGAAGCACTCAGCAGAGTATGTTTCAACTTCATTTAGTTGTGCTGTTTTATGAAGTTCTGCAGTAAAATGTGCCAGCAAATTATGTTAGTTTCTTTCTGGTGATTAACTAATCATTCATATAATAAATAGCAGCTAACTACAAGAAAGAGATTTATTTGTCACAGATTAAGAAGAATGTCAAACTTTTCCCATTTCATGTAAAAAGGCAGAGGAAAAAATACTTCTAAAATGACTTTGCAACATGTGCTTTATTTTAAGTCATTACTGAATCAAAACTACAAGTATATCCTTTTAACATACCCTACCCATTCAATTATTTTTTCTCAGTTTTTTTTTAACATGGAAAGAAACCTACACTGCAATTGTAAATTTTCATGCTGCAATGTTCTCTAATGAGACATTTGTTTCACTAATAATAGTAATTTAAAGAAAGAAAAAAAAGGGCATTTCTCAAGCTCAAACGTATGTCTATATTTGGGAACTTAACAAAAAACCCGTCTCAGATGTAAAAATGTGATTTGGAATATGTAAACATTTTTGTATACCTGAAACACTGGAAGAAGAATATCAGCTAACAGAAAAACAACAGTTGCCTTAAATCATCGAAATGGGAAAAAGCATGTCATGGGGAGCAGAGAGAAGCACACACTACTCAGTCTTTAAAGGGTTATAAGAAATGAAGTTGCTCATTAGGTCATTGATTTCATTTTTTTTTCTCATCAAATGGAAAGCAGTAATGCTGAAGAGAATGGCCCAGCAGAACACTCCATAATTCACCATAATTATTCTAGCCATCAGTTAATCTTGACAAAATGTCAAGTTTCAGTTGTTTTTTTCTTTTTCCTGAGAAAAGTCATTGATTGATGTTTGGTGGAAATGTCTCCTGTGACTATACAAATAAAATAAGGCATTTCAAGAGATTGTTACTTGTTTTCTTTTTGCTGACAGAGGCTGGTCCACAGTGTCCTTTGTACATCAAAACCTCTGCTTCTCTACAAATGGGTATGGCTAGAATGTCTTCAGTTCCCAGTGTGGCCCTGGGTGCTGAGTGTCCTGAAGGCTCAGTGTCCCATTACTGTAGCTTGAAAGTCAGCGATGTACAACAGCATATTGCACAATCCAAACTGTGTGGCTCCAGAAAGGATTAAGAAGGTACACTGGAGTCATCTGTGGGTTTCACTCCTTTAGTTTCTCTCTAAGTTGTAATGGTTGTCTGGAAAATTAAATTAGCCAGACAAAGATGCAAACATTTGCTGATTAAATTACAAAGCAGTCCCCAGATTGTAGAGGAGTGGCACATTAAAAACAACAAATCATTCAGCCTTCTTCACTGTTGATCCTTAATTTGAAAGGCAGCATGGATTCCTAAGGCCGTAGCTTCCAGGATTCCTTCAGAGAAAAATCATTGCTACCCAACTATAAAAGGCTTAGCTCTTAAGAGAATATTGTGCTTTTTTTCTTTTTCCTTTAAAATTCAGATTTAACCAACTTGATTTGCAGTGTGATGCCAAAGAGATCAATTAGTTTTTTCCCTAGTCCACTTGATCATAGTCTCTGGTGAGCGATACAGGAATATTAGCTTGGCATACAAGTCTTCTTCTAGTTCCAGTTCTCCAGTCTCTCGTACTAGGAAAATGTCAGTACACAGCTTCAGGATTCGGTCTACATTGGGTAGCTCCTCAAACATGATGGAGTGAGAGATCCCACTGAAGAATTCACGGACGAACTTCCCTATCACCAGGACAACTGAGGCATATAGTCCCATAATGCTGAAAAGAAAGAAAGGAAGGGTTCAAATCATGCCTTGTAAAAGGGCAGCCAAGTGTGAGGAAGCTCATCTACATGGCTAGCTGTGGTCTGTCAGTGGACTGAATGTCAATTTCTAATTAGGGTCATGTTTCTGCTATGCCACAGGATTAAGGAAAATAAAATCTCTTAGAACACCTCACACATCTGGAATCATAAACAGCTGAGGCTGCTGATTTAAATCATTTGACCCCAGTTGCTGATGGCCACATGTCCATCATGTAGCTGCCTGCTACAGCTTGGAAGTCACAACTGGCAATCTGACAGCAGCTGGCTGCTAAAGGCAAATTATCTGTCAGTTTCATATCTTATATGTTTTATTAAGGTATATGTAACTGGTGACAAACTAACATTTACTTTGATAATCCTCCCTGATAATCTTTCTATGGGGATGTCTCCAAAATCCTACCAGAAAGGTGTATCTCGTGGGAATGCTTAGGCTCCTGCCTTCCTCTGTCCGTGGAGATGTATTTCATGTCTCCTTCACACCTAGGGTCCTGGCTACAAGATTGAGAATGTCGACAAAACCAGGCAGAGTTCAGGCAGAACTTGACTTGCAGCTAAACTAACATATTTTGAGTTTTCTCTTCAGTAGGAAATTGGTGTGAAGGGTGCTTATGTTTTTATTCCCACTGGAGAGCAGTTATCAGGGGTGATACTAACCTTGCAAATATTAATCCTTCTCTAGATAATATTAATAGACATGGATTTGAAAATCTCACAACACCCCTTTTCAAAATGTTGTAATGTTCAAACACTACAACAACAACAAAAAATAACCCCCCAAATCAGCAAATAAAACCACCTCTACTTCTATCTTATGTACTTTATTTAATTTGATGTAAAGATTCCCTCTTACCCATAACCAGCCAAGAATCCAAGGCTTGGTGGACTGACTTTATCACTGAATATGAAAAGTTCGAGACTCTCTTGAGGTGTTTTTTGTCTTTTCCCAAGCTGATTCAAAACCCACCATTCTTCAGATGCATTTTTGACAAGGGAAACTGTAATATTTTCCCACTTGCAGTCTATTGAAAAAAAGGAAATGTTAATATATATACAACAAGAATTGCAAAAATCAAACATTTTGAGACAGATACTTCAAACATCTGCATTATAAAATGACTAACAATGCAAAAGCAAAATTCTTCTAAGTCCATTTTACATTATCTCTGTATACAAAAGTATAAAACCCAGATTTCTGTGTTCTTTCTTCTGAAAATCTTATCTGAATCTGCATTAAATATTTAAAATATTTCATATTACATGCTTTTTCACAACTGTCAAAAAATTTTGGTATTTTCAGGCCAAAGTATCAATAGCACTCATCATGTCTGCATTTCAGACCTATGGAAACACATTGAACTTGAAAGGGTAGCAGTCAGCTTCTGTATCTCAAAGGAAATCTATCACCATAAACTATTTGTGTCTGATATAAAAGATATTATTCTCTTGTATCAAAAAAGGGTGCTATTCTGTTTTATGCATACTGGTCACACAGACAGGAGATGAACTCTGGTCCTCCTGAATGTACATTAGTGGTGTATACATTAAAGCTCTTCCAAAGAAACTCAGATTTGGGACCTGACCAATGACAGTGAAGCACTCATTGCTACTCACAGAGCTGGGTTCAGCCTCAAGAATTGTTTTTCTTGATGAACCTTGACAAGAACATACTACACAGCACTACCACTATTTCATTCAAGCTCCAAATTTAGCCTCTGTTGAGAAAATTGCTCTTAGATAAAGACTTGTTTCTACTATTCCAACCCAGCAGGTTTTTTACACATATGTGTGTGTGTGGGTGCATGTATTCTGTATGTCTGTGAGTACCTGTATGGATTCTGAAATTCAGTGAGTTATTTAAAGTGGATTCTTTGCAGCCAATAAGGAAGAAATAGCTTAAAAAACCATAAAAATAATGCAGTGTCATTATTAAAGCTGAGGAGCTGCATTTGCAGATGTGCAAAACTGCTGACTGTTCACAGTAAGGTAGCAGGGAGATGTGGAGAAGTGAAAGTTGTAATCACTTACACATAAAACAAAGGAAAAGAGTTCTTAAAGCAGACTTGAAGGAGATGGACTTCATCCTTAGAGTCCTTTCTGTTAAATCCAAAGATAAAATATGTGGAGATGCACTTTCTGCCTTATACTGGATAACCTTATCTCACCTCAAGCTTGCAGACACCAAGTAAAAACCATTTTACGTGCATTTAAAACTGAGGTACCTCATAACAGCTGTGAATGTACAAGTGTGAGTGCTGCCTTGCACTTCTTTAAAACCATACTCTGTTTTCCATGGTGTGGAGACATACCTCTCAATAGCTGCTTTATGGGTTTTGCAAGAGAATCACTAGGAGCCTTGATGTAGTATGGATACACTTCCTCTAATGTTCTGGAAAAAAAATGAGAAATCAAATATTTCATATTTTTATACCTCTAAAATAATTTAGAAATACCTAACAGTGTTATACACAGTTCCCAGTAATTCTTGGCTTAAGTTATGACTTTATAGTGTTCAGATGTCACATCTGAAAATTAACTGGATTTTTCAGCTACGTTTGTTCAGAACTTCAGCAGAGAGTTCAGTTCCATCCATAATGTCACCATTCACATACCATCAATTCCACATAGCTGGGGCACCTGTGATTTCATGTAGACTTTATAATTTTTGTCACCTTTAAAAAAAGCTGCTTTTATAGTCAAAAATAAAGTATATAATAAAGGCAGCACATCGCTAGTAGTAAACAAGATAGAAAAATATGTTGTGAGCACAACTATTACTTCAGAATTGAAAGGTGTTTTGATAATAACACCTGAAAAGAATGAAAATTTTTGCCAGAAATTTTTATTGGGAAATATTTTCACAGTTTTTAGAAGGATTTCAAACTTCTAAAGAAAGATATTTGTAAAAGTTCTCTCACTGGACTCAAATCAAATCATCTTGAATAGGAATAAATTACCAGTATCTAGAGGGAGATACATTTCACTAAAAGCAGAGACACTGTTCTAACATTTTCCTCAAATGACTGAAAAATTCCAAGGAAGAGGAGCTCTCAGAGAAATCATGTGGCACTGGGCTACATCGCATACACCAGGCTGAGGAAGAACAAGGGTGGCCAATTGAAAATCCCTTCTGGTCACTCCAGCAGGTCCAAGAAAAGGTAAGAACTCAGCAGCTAAATTGTCCCAGCAGAGGTGGTGGCAGAAAGCTCCCTGTATCTGAGTATCTGAATGGCTAATAGCTATCACAACCATTTTTTCTTTACGACCAAGTAAAAACCTTAAATCTACAAAACTACTGCAAGATAGGCAAATTAGCTCTATTTTCTGTGTTACTGCTTGTCTTTTGCAAAGAGAGAACTATGAATTAATTACTTCTTTCCACAAATGAGAAAAATCCACTCTCTGTGGCTCTACATCACCTCGGGAAATATTGCTGTATCTTCACACAGCAGAAAAGAGGCATCAAGTATTTTTTAATTGCAATGATCATATGTGCAACAGCAATCTGGATGTATGAGTGTGTGTGGGTGCAGAAAAACAGCTGTGCACAGAAAAGGCAAATCTAATTTCTACCTACTAACAGATAAGAACTTCTCAGAGTTTTCACAATCCCAGTTGGTCTCAGCTTAAACTTTTCAACTCGTTTGGCCACAAATCAGATCAAGTGGCCTTCAGGGATGATGTGTTTGGCTTAGCAGTACTTAGAAACTACTGCTGTAAAGTAATCCCCAGTGAGAAGGCGGAAGAGGAAGAGCTGACTCTTTTCAGATCTAAAAGGAGTCACCACTGTGGTTTATGCCATAAGGCTGTATCTGTAGAATAATGTTTGATATTCATATGAAGAGCATGCCTTGCAAATTTCCATCACAGGAAAAGATCTGATGTCAGAAGCAACTGCAGATGTTACCCTTTGACCGCAGTGATTTAACACTTCCTTGCCAATCTAGTACTATTCAAGAGTAACAATGTGAGATACAGTCTGGATAGTTATTTAGAACAAAAAAAATCTTCAATGCAACATCCTCAGATCAAGTTGAACTGATGTAACTCAAAAGTGAGTTGAACAGTGAGTATACTGAACTTGTGCTTATCCAATAAATCAAAGAAAAGTTACTAATAGCTTCACCATGCTTGTTGATGATCCTGTATTCAGGGTCCTCTCAGCCTACATTTATAATAGGAAACATGTTTTAACCTTTAATATTACTATTACTTGGCTTCAGTGCTGTTGGCATCTGTTATTAGAGGGGGATAGATGGGTAGACAAATGAAACATTTGCACAAGCTTGACCACCTTAGGAAATCAGGCTTCAAAGAGGAAAGTCTGCATATACGTAGAAAAAGAAAATAACTTACACCTTTTCCGGTTGATTTTCAGCCATCATTGTAGCAATATCTCTTCTGGTATGGTTTTTTAGTGGGAAGGTAAGTTTATCTGATGCTATTTCAGCTTTGGCACCAAGGGAGAGATTCCTGTTTTAAGTAAAAGAGAAAGCACATTGACAACCTACAATGAGAGCATAACCTAAGCTGGGTGAGGCAGCTGCTGGGGGCTGCAGAGTAACACCCGTGACAGATGATGTGCAAAGGCAGAAAGCCTGTATGCTGCCTCTGTGACACAACATGCCTACCTTGCTGCTGCCTGTGGCCTCCTGGCCTAGATGAAAGGCAGCAGTCAAGCAGAAGATCACTGTGGTAAGTCTATAACATTTTCAGTTATTTGTGTTCACAGCGTATCCCACAAGATACAATTTGAGGATGAAAAATGTCTCTGCACTAGCGTGTGAATGCTTGTGGCCATGAAAGCATATAGGCAAACTAAGTAACTATCAAAAATTAATGTAAGGCTCAGAAATGATGGAGTGATGTAATTCACTAGCTAATAGTTTGTGCTTCCAGGAAGATGTGGGTGGGGGAGGAGGGAGGATGTCAAATGAAGTTTGAATTAAGTGTGCAGATTCATTACAAGCCAATTTCTGACTGTGGAAGAACAGACCCAGCATGGGAGTTCAGAGCATCCACAGTGATTCAGCTGACCCACTTCTTACATAGTCTTACAACAATCCAGCTTCTACTTCCAAGAAAACATGTAAATATGGAGGGTGCAAAGGAAGCTGGATTCCATGGAGTGATGACTTAACTCCAGTTTAATCCAGTAATCTACAGGAACCCCATCTGGCAAACAGTAGCCAGCAAATGACCTTGGTGATTGGGTGTGCTCTAGCCTGAGTGCAACAACTTTATACTCTAGGCTGTCTCTTTCAAGAACTTCATTGTAAAGTTGGTTCACTGAGGCCAAAGAAAGCTCATATGAGAAAAGGTCTCAACAAAATGGATATGTGCCATTTTTATAGTATTTGCACATAAAAATTGTTTGTGTCACTTCCAGACTCCCTTAATAAGAGGATGAAGAACTTGTGTTTGTATTTCCTCATAGGTTTTCTGTCTGAACTAGGTCTAAGTGAATACACATTCCATAAATGGTAGCAAGGTTGCTATTAATGGCAATTCACTGGAACATCCCCACCTAAAACTGGCTAAAAAATTCTTTTTCTTTCTTCCTGTCAAGTCCCATTGAAAATTCCACCTGGACATTTCAAACAATCTATTTGGTAGTGGCTCCACTTTGTTGTTTTTTTTTTTTTTTTTTTTTTTGGGAACTGCAGGCAACAAATGTTTTCATGGGTAACAAATCTGACTTCTCTCTGTCTCTTTCCCTCCTACTCTCAGATTTTTGCTCTACCATACAGTAGAATTTGCTAAAAAACTAAACAAAAAATGCAATGTGAAACTGTTCTACTGAGCTAATACTTGTCAAATGATCCATCTACCTCATAATAACTTTGTTTAATTACCTCTGAATGGTCCATGAAATAACTAAAGTGAAATCAGCCTCAAAGTCTTGAAGTCCCTGTATCATTTTCTGTCTGCTGGGAGGGCTGATGGTCCATAAAGAGTTTGAATTTCCCTCCAGATCTGCTCGAGTTATATCTTCTCTTGCATAGCCCTCTAGAAACTGCAAGGCAGCCTGCAGGTGCAGAAGCAGAAAAGTTCAGTGCAGTGATATTCACAAGACACAGAATCACATTTCCCAGTCAAACAGATTTGTAAATGTTTGATTAATTGTAAATGCAGTGCTGTGCACTGATTGTTTTTCTCAAGTACCAAGTGGAGCTTGAGATAGGAAGGGGAATCAACAAAGTAATCAAAGTAATCAAAAAGGCAAGACAAAAATGGCCTAATTGTTTGATGGCCATGTTGGCTAAAGTGAGTCTGAAAGTTCATGAAACAAATTCTGTAGAGGCTGTTTAAATTTGAGTTAAAATTTTATTCTGTCTTTTGTTAAGTAGCTTTCTGCATAGAAAAGTGACTGCAAAGGATGAACCAACTAGAACCTTGTAACTTCCAAATGCATCTAGGTTACAGTATTTGTGATATTATACATGGGCTATGTGGTAGGATCTAATATCAAATTCTGATATCAAATTCTTCAATGAGGTAGTAGCAAGCACTTATTTTAAAGTTATAGCTGATCAAATGTTAGTTACATTAGCAATACAACAGCTCCTACTAATTACTAGTCCTTTTCCTCTAGAAACCTGTGGAAACTGGGCATGTTGTTCCATGAAACACTGAGACTATGCTTAAATGCTTTTTTTGGACATTTTAATGTCAAAACATTTCTAGGCTATGCACGCTTTCTTTTGACATAACCACCATTCCCCACTGGAAGGTGAAAGATGTGTGTTCTAGAAAGGAGTATGAAGCTTAAAAGTGTATTAGACATTGTTTTGTCCCCACAACATGTTTTCTTTGGCACTACACAAACAGCATCACATCTCCTGAAGGTTTGTGCCATTTAGAGGGGAGGGTTTCATTCAGAAAATAGGACAACTAGGGTTTCTGCCTTCCAGGATTTTGTGCAAGGATGTCTGCATTAATGGTAGCTTGTCTCACCATAACCCAGCACTGTCCTGACAAATGATATGTCTGAACTTTTTTTCATGCAAATCCTATTTATAGAAATGTCTTCCAATTGATGACAGCAGTGATGACCAATCATTACTACATAAACAAAACTCACAAAAGGCCTCCATGGAAACATGCACAGATTTTTAAGTAATGAGATATTCTATTTTTCACTTACAGTGTTACCCCTATAGCTTCTCAGAAATTCATTGAACTCATTTGGATCCAAACTTTTGAGCTGATTCTGCTGAGCACTCATGGTAAAAATAGGCTGGGAAACAAAAGAACACATGCTTATCACATTTACTTCACATTGGCTGCTACATACACAGTCCAACATCCTGTGCATCACAGTCCAAGATAATTATGGCACTCAGTTCAACAAGACAGTGTTATAATCTCCTTCCTCTGAGATGCAAGCTGCCTACAATTATCTTATATCTACCATGTGGACTTGTAGGATAATTTATTCAGTTTCCACTGCCACTAGAGGCTGGTTTTAACTTGAAAATGAAGATAATATTTTACACCAGAGAAAAACTAACAAATTTTTAAACCCAAAAGGGGTCATTTATGGAAGCTTGCCAGGTACCTTGCATGAAGCAGGAGAGTTCAATTCAATGGAAGGAAGAAGAAATAGCACAAGGAAATATAATGCTAAAACCAGAAATAGCACAAGGAAATATAATACTAAAAACAGAGTTTGCTTTTAGTGTTTCTTATTTTTTACCTGATAACCTCCTAGAGTTATTGTGATTGATACATCTAGAGGCTTGTTGGTGATGCCTGCAACAGATTTGATTAAAGACATGAAGAGCAGTGGGAACCAGACAATACAAATCAGCAAGACGATAATCATGCCACCCATTCCATACTTCACAACTTTCTTTTTCTTCTGGCCTCTTGGTTGGGGATATCTCTGCAAAAGAAAACAGCAGTCTGATAACGTCTCTTCTATCAAAGGTACACTACATATGATGTGAAGGGTGAATATATAATGATCTTAAGGCTGCCCATCTCTTGTGGTAATTTGCTAGCCCCTGTGAGGACAGCTATATTGAGGTTTTTTTAGCCAAACCTGCACAGACACACAATTTCTGATGGCAACAGAGAGAAATGAAAATGAACTCAAAATGTGTGTCCAGTGTGAAAAATATTTTAAAGCTCTGTGATTTTGATTCTTTACAACCATAAAAAAAGAAGCATTTAGGTAGGATAATTTTTATTTTTTTGGTCTAAGTGTTAGTATGAACTCAGAAGAACAAAATATAAAATAATAGCAGAAAAAGTGATACAACAATTTATTCCAAAATAGTTGCACTTCTGAAAAGTTTTATCACAAAACTCCTTAAGGCAGACTTCTCATAGGTCCTGCAGTGCTCCAAACTGTATATTGTGGGAGATGGGGGGAGCAGGAAAATAGTTTACCAGCAACTGACATATAAAATCAGTAAAATTTCTGATATTGCGCTACATCCACATTCATTTCACACCTGACTTACAGTATTTCTAAGAGTTCACAGGCTTGATCCAATCTGTTTCTAGTCAATTCCACACTGACTCCATTTAACTAATGCTAAAAATGTTGCTGCTGTTCCTAAAATCTGGATACAGCTGATGTAACAGCTTCTCTTTCTTAGATTCTGAGGACAAAAGTGACTGCTTTTCCTCTCCCTTCAAAGCAGATCACGTGGCATGTATGTTCTGCCTTGCCCATAATTCCTGTCCTCTGTTATTTGCATCATGACTGAATACTCTTAATAATCTCACCATCCTGTAAAATGTTTTACTTTCACTGTAATTTATTTTGGCGTAATTCTCTTACAGGGTTTAACTTCGCAGTGTTTAGTAGCCTGTCCTCCATGCATTGCATACCACACATGCAAAATAAATATGCACTCTACTGCACTGCACCTCAAACACTCCAGGAATCTGGCTTTCAGGAAATTGCTCTTGCTTTGCAACATGAATCCATAAAGCCCTATGAGAATATTACATTTGTAATACAATGCTATATTTAAAACCAATTATTTACTTTTCAGAAGCAAAGTATCAAGTCATTTGTCTTGCACTACAGAATAGTGTTCTCATTAAAATATCATATCAAGATCAGCAGGGGTATTATTATTATTATTTTTCTGGAGGATATTAGTGGAGGCACTTCTATTGATGTTATAGAACATCTCAGAGAGACTCTAGCAGTCCAAATACTTGGGCATTCCACTCAGTGAGAGAGAGAACCAAAGTACCATCAACAATACTCGTAAAGTTATGACACAGTTATTTTTCTGTATGGAATTAGAGCATAGATGCCAGCTTAGACATGGAAATCTTCCCATGTCAGATCTCTGCTACACATAATGTAAATTGTAGTGTAAAAAAAATGTGGTGAGACGGAGAGTCAAAGTAGAGCTGGATTTTTACTTCCCCTACTCCTGAAGTTCTTCAGAGCTCCTTCCTTTCATGGCAGAATTGGGAGTCATAGAGAAAAAGCCTATATGCATGATTTGTGTGCAATGTAACTCTGAGTTAATCTACGTGATATACTTAGAAAGCAATTGCCATTAAGAGACAGGATTATAATAAAAGTGGAAATACGTCAGTAACACTTAAATGTAAATCCACTTCAATACAGATGTAGAATTTCTGACTGGTTTGGTCACTCTTAAAATAACGTTTCATTTCTTTTTCAAATTGGCAAAATGAGCAAGCATATGGTTGCAATCTTTGTAGCAGTTACAAAGAATCCAGAATTTGCAAGTTTAATTTGAACTGTAACTTAAATGATTTAAAGAGACTGAAATTTCAGTGAGACAAATGGTGGGTTTATCTGGCCGGCAGTTCAGTTCTGGATGTGCAGGGACTCTCCTGAGATAAAGGAGCCAGCTGAGTTCCTTCTGAAATTACATGAACCCCATGTCCCAGGGACCTCCACTGCGGGGCATGAGCTCTTCCTTCTACTGACCTTTCTCTCAGCTGCAGCTTCCCTGCTACTCCAGGTTATTTAGTTGTGTTTGACTGTGTGAATACCAGGACTTCCAACCCCAGCCTTGAAACCCAGGCATGCAATTAAACCAGCAGGCACACCCTTCTCTGGAGCTCGTGTTAATGGTGGAAAAATCAGCTGGGCACAACAGAGAAGCCACTTGAAGTTTCATTCGTGGCAGCTGCCAACTAACGTAAAGTACCCAACAGTCTGGATATTTCTGAACACAAGTGCCAGGCATATCTTCCAACAAAGTTTTTGTGGTGAATTCCTCAATTATTTAGGGACTCATGATAATTTCTCTTCCCTTCTGCATGAGGAAGAGAAGGTCTGAATCACTCATATGGGGTTTCCTTACTTTTTCTGACTCTCGCCAACACTTCAGGATGAATATATGAGCATAGATATCTTCAACACAGATCCAGCTGGAAAGACTGAGAGTGGTGTCAGTCCAAACCCAGTCCATTACTGCTCTCAACTCAGTCAAAAATGGAACCAGGCGGAACCTGAAAGGAGACAACAGCAGATAACTTGTCAGAAGCAAAGGCATCACATCAAACAAGCACAGCAAGTGTATGTATGACAAGAGGGAGAATTAAGACATTAAGACATTAGACATTAAGACATTCTGTAAACACAAATACAATCACATCCTGAAATTGCCATAGCTCGTGTTACTCTAGGTCTTCTTGCCAGGCTATACTATGCTTATGCATCATTATGTCCATAATTGTGATTGAGCCAGTGATGGAATAGTGCAAGATTTCTTAGATTCCTCTGACCTGGGAGAGGAATGCATGTTTTCTACAGGATGGTGGGATTAATTTTACACCTCCTTACACCAAGTGTTGCATGGCATCTTTGCAGTAGGTGGGCAGCCCTCTGCTGCATATGGAACTGGGCATTGTGACTCAGGATTAAACAGCAGAAGAAGGTGGGAGTCAACAGGAAATCAACACACAAGGAGCAGCTGTTCAAAGGGCATAATTCCCTTTCCTAGTCCCACACTTTAAAGAGTATTTCATGTGAGGAAAGCTTTAATCTGTAACTTTTCCTTGGAATGCAAAGAGTCCATACTGCAAGTACTGTGAAAAGGCTGAAATGATTCAATTTTTTTCTGTGAATTACACATATGCTTCAAACTGGCTTAATCACAGGGCCACTGTAAATGGAGGATGTGGTCTGCTTGTGTAAAACCACCTTTCACTCTGAGGTAATGCTGTGCCTGTTCCTTGCTCTGACACTTTGAACTCCTGAGGAGTTTCAAATGTGCAACACTTCTCAAAGCAAACTCTTTTTTTGTGCTTATTTTTAAGTTTCTGTTTCACAGGTGTCTTTCAGTCAATTTCTTTCATGTGCTGGGGTGTAGCAGGTAGACCTGCTCCAAATGTCTCTTTAGGATTTCACACCTTCCTATTTTTTAGGACTGCAGAACTAATAACACTACCTGTTTTCTAGCACAATGTGTAGTCCCTATTTCTGTTCACAAAGGTGATTTCTTGGAAGTGTTAAAAACGTCTATTTCATAGGGGACTGAATGGCTGACTGGTATATCAGGCTTCTGGTTTCAGACTGAGAAATGGAATTTTATGAAGTTTGCCTTCCAGAAATAATTTTTCTTTTTCTTGTGGACTACAGGGGACATATGGCCTATATAGAGCGTGCTGTGCAAAATTTACTGTCTTATTTCCAGCAGTCTGTGAAGAAAAGTCATGAATAACCCCAGGATTTCACTATAGCAAATCCTTATTACACAAAAGAAAGAAGAAAGGCAGTAAGTCTATGCTTACCCTTGAAATAAGAACAGGTTGACATAGTTATAACTTTTTGTGAGGAAGTTGCCAAGAACACGAGTTGGATATCCGCAGCGTATCTGATAAGCTGATAAGCCAAAATAAACACATTTCACAAAATACCAGAGCTGGGCAACTGTGTTCTGGCTAAATTTCCTGTAAAGGAAAAGATAAAGGAAAATGATGAGCTTTGTATCTGTGTATGACTGAATTAGCTGGAAATGGTATTTTTCTCCTGGCAGTTTCCCCTTCCTGAGGTCCTGTGAAAAGGTCATGGTTGCTAACCCCATGGCAGGCTTAAAGGAGAATTAGAAAGACACTGAATGAAAAAAGTCTAAAACCAGCATCCATTGCCACTTCAGGGTCACAGGGGAGAGACTGGGAATGGGCTCCCCAAGGAGTGAAGGCCTTGGGCAGTGCCTCTCCCTCTGCATGCCGAAGGTCCCTTGCTGCCCAACACAATCAGTCCTCCTCTTCCCCATGATGGCTCAACCCTCTGTGAGTCCTGGGTAGGGGCTCAATCAAGGCACTTTTAATGGCTACTTGTGTTCATGTCAGCACCTCATACAGGAACTGAAGATGGAGTGACCTCTGAAAATATTTCCCACCCTTCCCTGCTTGACTCAAGTCTTATTCCCATAGTTCAGACAGCTCTACACTTTCTCTTCTCCAGACTGAACTAACCCTCAGCCTCACCTCACATGTGCCATTCTGGTTGTTATTCAATAGCATCTGCAGCAGATGCTTCACGATGGACAGCATTTGCCAGCCAGCCATAACCCAATATTTTCAATTAAATCCCACAGAAGTATTTTGATTAAAAAATTTGCAGGGGGTTCTAATCTCACTTAGAAGGAATACAGGATGTATCAGATGCAGATTTGATATTAACAACTTGATAAAGATTTTCCAAAAGCACAAAGTCAAAATTGTTTCAATTCCTAACTGTTTTCAATGTGCAGTAGATAAGAGATCCATTTGAAAAATGATTTTTTTTTCCAAATTTGTGCACAATTGATATTTCACTTTCTTTTTGAGTTTCACTTTCTTTTTTTCAGTTTTCTTTTACACTATAAAGCAATTTCTTTTTTCCCAGTAAAATAACTTGAATATTAATGAAGTGTAAGGTGCCCAGGTGATACACTCAATTTCCATGGACAGTCAATAGAATGAGGGAAATACTTCAAGGCAACTTAAAGTAGGAAGAGGGGAGTTAGCCAAACACTAGGGAGGGAACCTTATCACCTCTGCACTGCAGACTGCAGTGGTCAGTGCCCTGAGCCATGAAATGAAAAATGTTAAATCTGGGAGTGAGCCTGACCAGGTACGTGACACAAAATTTTATGCACCAGGTGACCGCCTCCACCTCCAGAACCAAGTGTCAGGAGCATGGGAGGAGAACTTTGCTCTTCAGAACAGACACATATTTCAGACATTCCTCAGTTTAAGGAGATTTAAATCCACAGTTCACACATTTCAGAAAAGTGCTAAGTTATGTTACTCTAAGGGAGACATTTTCTACTTGCTCTTCTAAAGCAGCCTGCTGCAGTCTTGGGAGCATGGAATTGGATCAGAGGCCAACATTGTCTCAGCTGAAAGCTCTAATCACTCAATTACAGGCAATTTCTCTTTCACCTGCTTGCATTTTGGCCTAAGTTGAGAATATTTCTATACCTATATAACTAATTCTTCCTCAAACTTATATTGGCCACAGTTACTGCTGTGGAAATGCATTCCAACTTTCTGCTTAGAAATGAGGCAAAGAAGAAACTTGATCATGATTCCAAAGCCTAGCTATAAACATCTCCAATTTAAATACAAAGAACTTGGTAGAGCATTAGTATTCCACCCATACTGTTTCTTTATAAGGCTTATACCTTTCTGTCACTCCAGGCAAGATAAAGAACATCCAGAAATGTATTCCGAAAACAAGGATGACCTGGAAGATGACTTTTCCCATGACAGTCTTTTTGAGGTACAGTGCTCGATCTACCACCATGGTACCAAACTGAATAAGCACCATCACCAAAAATGCCTCTGGGACCTGGTCCTCTGATAATGAAGAGGTGATATCTGCTGCAGCAGAATGTTTCTGAAAAGAAAAATATAAGGGTGGTCAAGGAAAAAGGACACTTGCATAATATTTAGCATCTACAACATGTAAATCCTGCTGAGGATTTACAGATAGATGCCTCTGTGACATACCCCAAAAGCCCAAAATCCAAACACAATGATGATGAAGTCCACTGTATCTGCGAGGAACATCAGCACGTACACATCAGTCACTGCACTGTAGTCTGGATGAATAAGATTGTAGAAAAACTGTCTGATGGGCATGTACACCTGGAGAGTCCTAAAACAATACAGACCACAATGTGATTTAATAGCACATAACTTGCACTGAATAAAGTAAAGGCTGAGTGTGGTATGTTTAATATTTTTAAAGATATCTAAGATCTACTCTGACAGCCTTCACAGGACTGCAGAGACAGCAGTTCTTTGTTGTGATTGCTTCTAAACCACTGTATTAGCATTTGTTCAGTAGAAATATGCATAGCCAACCAACGTCACATGGGATATTTAGCTTTTTTATCAGGAAGATGCTATTTGAACAACTGATGATATGTCTGATCAGCTGGTGGGACATCTGCATACATGTTGAATTAACATCAGTAGTAGCCTGCTCCCTTTAAAATGATGGCTTACTGCTTTACTGTTTGGAACCTCCCGCCAAACCCACACAACCCCTCTTATTGCTCACTTTTTAATTGTAAAAGCCTTGGCTTTGATAATTTGTTCTCGAAACTTTTCCATGAGAAGCTCTTTTCTAGATTTTTGCTTGATGCTTAACACACTGCTTCCCTTCTGACTGCTGTTTCGTGTACTGGTACTTCCTGGAAAAAAGGGGAGGGAAAGAGAAGTCAATTCAAAAGAAAAATTTAAATACTAAAGTTAGAAAGTAATAAATATTGAGACTTCCATGCCATATGACTACCACATTTGAAAGAAGCTTTGAAATGAATTCTTCTTTTTTTCCCCCAGCATGATAACATCTTGAGAGCATCCAGTAAAGGTTTAATGACTGGCAGATCAAAACTTGATTAATAGCTATAAAAAGAGAAAGCAGACTAGTGACAAAAGCAAGTATTTGATTGATCTGACTCAGTCCCTCAATTGCAATTATATGTATTTAGGCTAGAGTATTCCTGCCCTTTTTACAAGATGGGACATGTAATATGCTTCAATTTAACTAATAAAAACTCTTTCTTAATTCATGTTTCTACAAATGTAGATATGAAAAATACATGTGCTTTGCATTCCCTCTAGCTGGAGATTATGCTGGACCAGAATTTCTGGATCTGGGCCACACTGAGCATTCCTTTACTAGCTTTTGGATAATGTCATACAAAAAACATAATGAATCACAAAGTATGGCTCTCCATTTGAACTTTAGGAAGGCTTGGAGTATGTTCAAACATGAAGATACATTGGTTCATATCCTACTTCATCACTGAGAAGCAGCAGTATTCAGTAGCCCCTGGGAGATCCTCAGCAACCAGCCCAAGGTTTCAGTAGAATGATCCTACGGGAAATGAACATTTGTCCTTCAAATCCCAAAAATGCCATGACATTTACCTCTCTTAGATCTGTGTGAGGAGAAGCTGGACCTGTGAGAAAGCTGGGATATGCTGCTAGAACTCTTCCTCCTGATGGCAGTCTGCTGCTCAGGGAAGTGGACATGGATGGACTCCACAGATGCGGCAAGATTGACAGATTTCAAAGAGGCAGAAGAGTCTCTCCTGCCTCCTGTCAGAGAGAGCTCATCATCAGTATCCTCTTTATTACTGGAGCTGTCTCCTTTCTCATCTTCATCCCACAATCCATGGCACTAGTAGAAAAACAAGAAGAGAACATATCAAGCCTGTATTTTTGTCACAGGCGTTGCTCAGCTCAGTTATGTGCTCACAATGGAGAAGACAAATTCAATGTGTTGGGATATCATAGAAACATTAAGTTGCAGAATTTCTTTGACATCATCAATTCAGCTGTTAACCCAGCAATGCCAAATCCACCACTAAACCACGTCACTCCATGCCACATCTAAATGTCTTCTAAACACTTCCAGGGATGGTGAATCAACAAGTTCCTTGGGCAGCTACTTCAAATGCTCAATAACCCTTTCATGGAAGAAATTTTTTCCTGATAATCAAATGAATAACTTCTTCGTATCATGAGTGATTTAAAAAATTAAAATTGAAAATTAAATACAAAATAAAAAACTACATGAACCCAGATTACCTTTAAAATGGATCTGTGAAAGAATAAAGCAAGAAGCTGAACAAGATCATAGTGCACATAACCCTCTTTCTTCTCAATGCCAATAATATTGGGTGGATGGTAAGGTTTATCTTTTGTGTAATCCACATGTTTATTCCAAGGAAAGAAGCCAAACTGGAAGAAGTATTTGATGACAATGGCCACCTGTTTGGAAACACAACACACTTGGAGTGTTTTATAAGCATGTCAGATATAATAGCCTCATGACAGTAAGAGGGATAAAATATGATTACTTTGTCAGTTTTATGAGAATATAAACAAGCATACTCATTACTACAGAGGCATAACACTTTACATTTCTCCAGTAACAAAGTCAATCAAAATTTACCAGCAGATGATACTCAGTGGTACTTGAGATACAACGAGCACTGAATTCTTGGTTAACCATTACAAACCAACAGTTTGCAAATGGTCTGTTCTTGTGAGAACTGCTCTACATGCCAGGAAGGATATTGTTCATTGCAATAGAGTAAACAACAAACAAGACCTTTCCATACCACAAAAATTCCTGAGGACTTCAGCAAATACTTGTATTACTATGAAGGGCCAAACATCCAGCCCAGATCCCAGAGATCAAAACCAGCAAGGGGGCCATGCAAAGATTACAACTTCAGCTTTCTGTCTTAGATGTGGGCTTGCAAAACCAGCAGCATACCTCAGTGTAGACAATGGCTGTCATCCAGAAGCGTTTGCTTGGCCGAGGAACAGACAGCATGGCCCACAGGAATATAAGGATGGGAAGCACCAGGGTTATCATGGAGGCAGAGATCATGTGGTTAAGGATGATCACAAAATAGCACACCATTTCTGACCGGGCCACCAGCGTATTGTACAGGGCATAAATAAGGAGCAAGACTCGAGGCTGACCAACGTAGAACTTCTCTGATTCCTCCAACTCATCATCATGAAACATCCTGTGAGGAGCAGAGTACCACAAGTGAACTGAACATGAACTTCACAAGAGCTGCTTTTAAAATTGCTACTATTTTTCCTTTAGAAATGTATTAAAATTTGTTGTTCAGTTCAATGGAAGAAAAAAAAGGAGGGGATTTGGTCAAATAGCCTGATTCTAAGCTCAGAAAACAAGAATTTCAGGGAAAAAAAACCCTAGAAGCACTATTCTGCTGTTTTTTAATTTATTCAGAAAGATAATCAGCCTGACCTAAGAACTTCTACAAACACGATTTTCCTACAGCTGCCCAACCAACATATCTCATGCAAATCACCCAATACTGGTGTGGATTCACATCTGACTTATCAACACAGATAAGTCAGGCAGGCTGAAAGGCAGTTCTGTGGTTTAAGATTTTGCCCTCACTTTTGGGGAAGCCCTCTCCAAATAAGTCAGGCCAGAGAGCAGCTGAAGATGTGCAGTGGCACCATTCCCACTTCAATGCTGGTTGTGCTAGTGAACACAGTGTCTAAGGGGCAAAGAAGGGAACATCCTCTCCCTTATGAAAGCACCATAACCCTCAACTCTCACTGGCTTAAACAAAAACTGCCAAAGGTCATATTTTCCCTTACAGTAATCCAAAATAATTAAAGGAGCAACATTTTCCCAGATAGCCCTGGAGGAAACTCATTTGAAATCACAGCTGCCTGGAGAAGAAAAGCCCTCTCCAGAAAGAATATTTAGAAAAGTCCTTGACCCCAAGACAATTGCAGCACAGAAATTCAATGCTAATCAGAACGATTAAATATGGCATCTAGGAAGAAAACAGAGATTCCTTCCAAGATGAATTTGAGTCATTTTAGAAACCTCTAATTAGAACAACTGCACAGGAAATGAGCATCTTCCCTTAAACCAAACTTAGCACAAGGTCTGTATCAGAATTTATAGGCTAGTTCTGAAACAAAACCTCAAAGTAATAACAAAATTTTACACAGTGTGATAACAATTTTTCCTGGTAGAGGATTCTTACTTGTTCAGGAGCAGCTCACTAGCTGTTAGCTCGTGCGTCAGTGGGGGCAAAATCCTGTCAAGTTTGTCTGTCCGACTGTCATCCGGGCTCACCATCATGAGGCTCTTCCCAGCTGAGTCATCTGGGGAGCCAAATGGAAGGTGTTCAAAGCTGACAGCTTTGCTATAGGAAGGTGGAGCTTCTGCATTGCTGTCCACTGTGGAGTACAATGGCGCATCAGTATCGGGAGTATATGCAGCTCCTTCTGAATCCAGGCTATAATCTTCCACCTCCTCTTCCTCCAACCTTGATGCAGAATGAGCTCCTTCTTCCTCATGCTCCCCTTCTACCTCTTCAATGGTTTCTGTGGTCCCCTGACGGGAATAGAGCATGGTGACCTGCGTGGGTTCACTGTTGGAGATGGATGAAGAGAGTCAGCCAAGTTTTATATGACATATGATCAGGAAAATTTGTTAATTGTATCTTTATGCAGAGAGCTGAGCAACCTCATTGCATTCCCAGGCCTTCAAAGTTCATATGATCTGGTAGAAAAGACATCATCCTGGTCTCCTCTTACACTGATGGAACATCTGGGTCCATCTGTTCCCTAAATGACATCCCACTGAACTCACAGTGATTCAGCATCTTTTAGCACCATCAAGGGGAAAATTAATATTATCAACAAGAGAAACTACACTACCTTTCTGAAAGTAGTTCAGACATTTCTGAACAGAATCAACACTTGCTATTGCGTCTATTTGAGACATGTTTCATAGTGAAGGATAGGCAGCCATGGGATTCCTTCTAAACAGAGTGCTTTTAACAACCACTGTATGAGCATTGTACACAACTGAAACATTAACTGAACACACACATATCAACTCTGATTCAAATAAAAGAACGTGTAAGTTGCTAGCATGTAGAAATATAAACCAAATTATGAAACTGTTCCAGTAACAGGGTATCTTGCTTACCTTTAGATTGCCCTATGTTCTTCAATACAGTCTTCCCTTTTACTTTACCTGCCTGCTTTTCTTCTGTATGTACCAATTCAGCTCTCTGATGCACTCTGATCAGTTCTTTGCTTGATTCATCTTCCTTACTCTTGGATTTGCATAGACTCATAGAATGGTTTGGGTATGAAAGTACCTTAGAGATCATCTAGTTCCAGTTCCCCTGAGGCAGGTGTCTCACCACCCCCTGAATAAATAATTTCTTTCTATTATCTAATCTAAACTTGTCCTCTTTTAATGTAAAGCCATTTCCCCTTGTCCTATCACTCCATACCCTGCAAAAAGTCCCTCTCCCGCTATCTTGTAGCTATTCTTTTAATACTGGAAGTTCACTCTTTGGTTTTCCTGGAACCTTTTCTTCTCCAGCATGAACAGCTCTCTCAGCCTGTCTCCATGGGAAGTGTCATTCAGCCCTCTGATTACAATTGTGGCCCTCTCTCTCAAGAATTTTTTTACCTCTCCCCTCTCTTTCTTTGTAGTCTCATTCTGCTCCTCCACAGGTTAGACATCAGGCACCAACTCAGTCTTTGTTGGCTGCATATTTCAACAAAGACTAAACAAGATTTCACATAGCCCCTATGAAATTAAAGGAGCCATATTTTCACATAAACTATAATCTTTTAGTGAAAACTGGCATTAGCAAAGCCATCTGGCACTACCATCTTCTGCCAAAATTAAAAATTAAGTTCACTTTTTTTTTTTTCTTTTAAATTGCTTCCAAACTTATTATGGCTATGTTAGGTCACGTTATTTATAGCAGAGTTTTAATTAGACCATGTAACACTTATGATGACATGTGTTTGGATGATTCACAGTAGCACTCTTACTCGTTAAAATGTACAAATTCATAGAATCCCACATTTTCAAAACTGATTGACTCAAAAAATTTGTCAAACACTTTCAAAACTGAAAAACAATGATGCAAAATTATATAAAAATTCAGATTTATAATGTTTATTAAATTATTGAAACACTGCTTCCCAATGTCACATAAATCCCTGGGTTTTACCTTCTAAAAAGTAAATGAACAGTTCTGAACAGTTTCCTCTTGTACTGGATAGTAACATTATTTGCTTTTTTGTCATAGCTATTTTCCCTTTCTTAATTCCAATACCTCACTGTAAATCAATGGTAAAGGAATCAATACATATTTCAAAATCTTTCCCATATGGAAAAAAATAAAAATTGAAAAACTGACACAATGGTGCCTTAGTTTCTAAAATTACACATCTCAGTCCATATTTAGGATAACTGATTAGCTGAGAAACTTAACTTCCAGCTTCCAATTTAAGAACAAGCACTGACTCAGTAACTCTGAAAATAAGACACTTTTTTAGCTGAATAAATACAGATCTTAGCCTGTTTTTATACACTCAGCATAATGTTGTGGAATAATGTTAAAAAGTACATGAATTGAGGATGAAAAAAACCCCAAAAAACAGAACAAAAAAATGAAACAGCAAATGAATCCTAGATTATGACCCTGACTTCGAATCTCAGAACTGTGCCACAACCCTGGAGGGAGTAAAGCTTCCTGTAACCATGCAAACCACCCTGCACACCTCGGGTCTGCAAACACAGACCCTGTATGCTGCAGTCAGAGTAATGGTATGGGTAAATGAGTGAACAAAGCATGCATGAGTTAAGCACCTTGACACTATACTGCCACTGTCAGCTGATGAGGAGGACATATCCATGCTCTGCATTTTACGAAGCCTAGGTCGAGCGCGCTCACTTGTTTTAGGAACAGAGTCTGGTCCATCTAAATCATCAAGGGTTGACTGCCTTGAGAACAGCATGGTTGCTTCAGTGTAGCAGCTACAGCAGCGCAAACAGTTATAGAGACAGTGTTAAATACAAATGGCATTACGGTACACATGGTTCAGTAAACAAATATGCTCGCCATGCAGCTAAACATTGACACGGAGAAAAAAGGTTCAGAGAGAAGATAAGGATTTGTTTAGAGTCACCAGGGAAACGCATTTCTATATGCAGGTTAGTCATGGTCATTTTCATGTAGGGGTTAAGGCCTTCTATTCACTATTCAAGCAGATATTGAACCTACATACTTTCCAGGGGAACAGACTTACATATGTGAGCAGGTTTTATTTTGTTTGTTTATCCCTGAAATTTCCAGATTCCACAAGTATGTTTTGGGAAGGGACCTCCTCTGAACAAATTATTTTTTATTATTGATATCCTGTGCTGAACCTTTTTACACAGGTACAAGCCAATTTCCTAAAAGAGCCCTTAAAACAGAGTAAGCTCATACTCCACAAATAAAAAAAATAGCTGTCAGACATTGGCTAATGCTCTTTCCAAACCAAAGAGCCAAATCGGATATGTTACTTAGCCAGTAAATGCATGTCAAATATAACCTGCTCTGCATGGGATGGCTTTTATTTTGATATTTACTAGGAAGTCCTGAGGATTCTTTCCAGAAGGTTTCATTTATTTCAATCACAGCTTAAAAGTATTTCAAAATTGGTAACATGCGCATCTTGAAATAAAGAACAGATATAATAAACCCTTATCTCCTTTCACTTATCAAATACAACAGGACACCAGAGACATACACAATACACTGAGCATTCATGTGTAACTGCAGAAAAGAAGAACTGGATGAGTTATGAGAAAGTAAGTATATAATTAAATACAAGCATTTAACAGAGCAACAGGAAAGAATGACATATGGCAGGTAAAAAGATTATTTCTCCTGTAAAAATCTTTGACAAACACAGATGTCAATGAAAACAGTTGAGTGGTCTGATGTTTTAACACATGCAGTGACCTGCCTGAGTGTCTCAAATAGAATGAAAGAAGAAAAGACCCCAAAATTCAGGATTTACACTCTAATTTTCTTCTTTTGACTCCATTTGTATTACACCTGAGCAGTGGCAGCAGGGGATTTGCTTCCTTGGCAAGCATGATGTTTGTCCAGGGGCACAGAGAATTGGGAAAAAGGTCAGAAAGGAAGGGCAACGGCGGTTTCCAGGTTCCTTTGGCCTTGCTAGCTTGAAGTGAGGAAAAAAAATCTGCTGGCATGAAGTTACAGTCTGCAACTATTGACTTTAAAAAATGGGAAGGAAAAAGCAAAAATATGTGGAGAGAAGAAGCAATTATTCTTCCCACACTGATGATCTTTTTTGACTGAATGGCATTTTTGACTGAGGCTAAAAGCATACCTTGGCCTGTGAACAGAAGAAAAGAATCACCAAGATACCAAAGGTATTGTGAAATATTTTCCTTAAGAGCTGCCTCAACGGCAGGGGCACCTCTGTCCTGCCAGTTCACTTGGCCAAAACCCCTTACAAGCCACTTCATTATTTCTGTGTGTGCACAAAGGCACACAAGGCCCTCTAGACAAAACCTGGAGGGCTGTCTCGTGGTGCATGGTTTATGATAGGGGACCAGGGGTCTGTCCTGAAGGTGTGATTCAGCACCTTAGGAGTTCAGCTGAAGCTTGGTGTTACCAACCTGAGGAGCTCTTGAAGGAGGAGGTTTCCCTCTGCACATACAAACATGGGAAACAGCCAGGCTGTTGCTCTATCTGTGAGGATTTGGTGCTAAAATATGGGAAAATGGCAGCAAGTAAACAATTCAGTTTTGCAGACGACCTTTCTGTCTATGTACTATGATCTTTTATGCATGTGTAATTTTAGATCTAAAGGGCTGAGTTTATTCTTTTGAAGGGTAACACCTAATAGTAAGGTGTTGAAGGATGTTAAATGCAGACATAGTTCAAAGGGAATTGTCCAAAGGACTTATGCAGAACAGCTATTTATGTTCACATGCCCACTCATATATTTTCAATAGGAAAAAAGATATGCCACCTGCCCTCCCAAACATGCCAGCTCTGACCTTGCTCCCAGAAAAATCAAAGGAAAAGCATCTATTAATCCAAATAGATAAAAACATTTGTCCAGACAAGTGCCTGCAACGTTTGGTTTAGAGCTGTTTTAAATGAAGAATAAATCATCAGAGTAATTACTGACTGAGCAGCTGCACTGTATCCTCAAATATCAGGAGATGTGAGTGAGTTGTCCCCTGAAGCACAGCCTGTGTATTCTTTATGTGCTTTAGGAGCACACTTCCAAATGGGGAGAAAATGTGAACACCAGCAAAATGGAGAGATTCACACTGAGCAAAGCTGGTGTTGACACAAGTCATTGCCTATCACATAAATTTGATCCAAACATATCTTCCCAACTGATTTTTCAAAATTTTGTTTGGGACCTTGAAAGCATTAGCTTTTTACAATCATTCAATGACTACGTATTTTAAATTGAATTCACATAAAAAGTCCCAAGTTCAAACATTTTACATAAAGTTGATAAGATATCCATTTTAAATAGGGATACATATATAGCAGAGATGTTTTCATCCTCAGTGAGTTGGAAATTTTTAAGCTCATGGCTTCCTTTTTGCTAAACAAATTTACCCTTCACAAAGTGTTTTTCAGCTTAGTGGGTGAATTACATTTTTTTCTGATTTTTTTATCTTGTCCGTGGGCTGATTACTCACTGGCATTATCTGTTTATTATCTGTATTACTACATTCACCATGTCTCCAAGAAAAAATCCTAATCAATCCCTAAAAATCACAGGCCTAAATTAATCACTTTGATCCATCTGAAACAGGGGCTCTCCTTTCGTCCTTTCTTCTGCCTCCCAAGGAAAAATTTCTTCTCCAGTACCCCCTGCCTCAAACTTTGTTCTCTCTCCTAGTGAGGGAAGCACAGATAAAAGGTGATGCTCTTAAACACCCTGACAGGGATTCCTTCCTTCAGCTCCTATAAAAGTCTACACAAAGGTAGAGTGAGGAACTGAAAATTTTATTTGTGATTGGCAAAAATGAATATAAACTGAACTGGATATGAAATTTTAGATAACCTGAAATCAGACTTAGAACCTGTGTGTAGCTGCTAATACATAATTTTAGGCAAAGCCCCAGAAAGACAGTCAACTAGTTTTAGTAAGTTCCCTATCATCTTACTGAAATTCACAGTTTTTTTAACCTAATAAATAGAGTATCAGTCAAGTGGAAACAATCTGCAGTAAATGCTCTGCCATGCTAGATCCCAATCCCTTCTGGTGGTGCTCCTCAAAGGACTTGGTAAAGAAACAGCATCAGTCCTTTCTCCTGGCCTGTATGAACTTTGCATTTTGCCTGTAGGAAACATGAGGGTATTTATACATAAAGAGAAACCAAACAAATACCCTATGGGTACCTCATAGTTTCTACTGCATAGAGAAATTACTGAGAATAAATGACAGCCCTACTAAAAGAAAAAAAAAAAACAACAAAAAAAAACAAAACCAAAAAAATCCACAGAGGACACTCTACATAAGTCCTTTCAGATCTTTATCCAGCCTAAGAACATCCCTTGATTACACTTGTGAGGGTCAGCCCTCAACTTTACAAGAAATTTACAGTTCCTGCAGCTGATCAGGAGAATTTTCCTCTTTGGCTATCCAATGTTTACCTACAGTGATTCCTATCCTGAGCACTGAGGATTATGTCTTATTATAATGGAATAGCTTCTGTGCTTCAGCATTCCTTTATGCTTACAGACTTTTTCACCTAACTCAGGGACCTAAAGTCTGCTGCAGAATTTTTAGTAGTGCAACCAAAGGATTGCAGGACAACCAGAACAGAAACCCTCTGCCCCTTCCCAGAAGTTTTCCATTGCAACCTGGGATCCACAATCATAGGGATGCTTTAGATTTAATTGTCACTTCTACATTTACTGGAAATCATTACTTTAAAATACAAACTGCCACCTGCTCTTTTTTGGGCAATTAAAAAAAAAAAATCAATCAATAAACTCATAAGAAGTTTAAAAGATTTCACCTTTCTGAAAAACAACATAGGCACTTCTGTAATAACTTGAAGAGATATGCAAGAGTGCCCCAACAGACAGCTGGCATTATCATTCAATCAACAGACTCATTATTACTTCCTCTATTATTATAGCAGATGTCCAAAATTCATAATACTCAGTGCAAGAATATTTGATTGTTCATTACCAGAAAGAGAATTTGAGATTAGAGAAATCAGTCATTACTCTGCCTTTTGCTATTCCTTTGTTTATAAACCCTGTGACATCTTCAAAGGAAATGGAGATGACAGAAACCCTTGTGAAAGATTTAAGATATAACTTTTTCTGCTGCAAAGCATCACTACAGAATCATTGAATTCTCTGAGTTTATAAAGAGATTTTAAATGTGAAAATGTGCTTAAAGAAGTGTGAATAATGCATGCTTAGTCTAAAAAAAAACAAAACAAAGCACAAGTTGAGCTCAACACTGGATACTGTCTCATTGAAGAGGCAGAATCCATGCATTGAAATGACAAGATTTGTTTTTCTTTTTTATAATTAGTTTTGGAATTGGCTTCCTTTTGTTTATGGTTAAAGTTCCTGCTAATGATTTTATAGCAATTATAACTTCTATCTGTAGCTAACAGGGTGACCAAAAACTATTCAATGAAAGCGGGACTGATATTACTATTCATTATTTAGGTGAGACTGAACTTTGTGGAGTTTAAATCTGCCCTGAAGATATCAAAGTGAGTCCAAGTGAGCTGGCAACACAATTTGACTTTCCATTTTTCTCACACCATCTGACTCCTGTAAAACTTTGAGACAAAACAAAAAGGTGTTGCTCAGCTGGGCAACAGGCCACTGAGAAAGATTTGCTCAGGTTTAGTGTTTTTACTGGAGTGAACCTCTCAAAGGCCAGCGCTCACTGAAGAGCAATTTGTGGATATTTTGTAGAAGCATAGCACTCACAGGCACTCTCTTACCTTTGCTTTTCAATACTATCAGAAAGGAAGACAACCCCTCATTAGTTTCAGTCTGCTAACATGTACCCATATGTCATTAGTAAAAGCTATGCATAATTTACTATACACAGAAGTTTCTGAGTTTGCTGGGAGTATCAAACACAATATGCTACTGCCACAGTTCAGAGAGGAGCAGGACACAGCAGAAGGCCACGGATTATGAAACAGCTGGATTTCCAAAGCCCTCCCTTCTCCCCCTCACGTTATACAAATTCTGCAGTATCCTAGAAGTGAAGAACTCCAGGGACATGGTGGGAACAGACTGCCTCTGTAAGAGAAGGAAGTGTCTGTGTGTGCCTCTGTGTGCATGAAGCAGCAGGAGCAGGCAGTAATTCTGGCAAAGGACTTGATGGCATCCGTTTTCAGAAAAGAATGAGGAAGGTGGTTTTCCTGAACTAGTTTGGGTATTTGATTAACAAACATGTAGCTCTGCTGGGCTGTAATCATGGCAGTTGGGAAACCAGGCTCTTCAGATGGTTTTTGCCCTGTGGGTATGAGAGGGGATTTTGTTCTTTCAAGTGCAGAATCTCTTTCAATGCAAAGCCTTTTCTGATTTGTGGACAACAGACAACAATTTTTTATACAAAGAAAATGTTCACCATGAATGATCCCTCAAATCCCCCAAATTATGTGCCTGAAATCCTCAGAAACATCCTCAGCACCTCTTATGTTCCATTTCTTTTCACAAGGAACAGAATACCAATGACAATGACTCCTAATTCTAGGGGAAACTAAAAGCAGTGGGGTAGTCATGCAGTGGAAAACAAGTTAAGCCAACAAGTGAGTCCATCACTATAAAGGAAAAGTAACATATAGTAATTTTCACTATTAAGATGGCATAGACAAATCAAAAATAATTCAACATTGATTAGAAACTTCATCAATACTTAAACAATATCAAATATTTCACCTACTGCATGATCCCTCTGTCTTTTGCAGAATAAAATTAAATCAATACCTGGAGATGCTGTCATGAGATGCTGCTGAATCTAAACTATCCATTCTTTCAGATGCTTGCAAACCAGAAGCTTGACTAGGATTTTTATCAATTGAGTCTAGTCCTGACTCCTCAGAAAGTTTCATCATATGGTTCTGGTAATACAAATGGATGCTCTCCCGTGTTGGAACATTTCCCTGTGGAAGAGAGTAGAGGTAGACATACATGGCCAGGGGGAAGTGTATTCTTCGAGGAAGCAGTTTCTTCTGTCATTTGGAAAGTAACAGACTGTGCAAACACCTTCCTAGCAAATAGCAAACTACAACCTAGAGCAAGTCAGATTGTGACTTAACCTACCATGGCCCAGAGTGTTTGGTTTTCAAGCAAAACTGGAGCAACCCATGTGGTTTCAGGTTATATTTAGCCACCACAACTCTGCTGGATGGACTGCAGATCCTTTAGCATGGGAATGATGAGTGAACTGCATCCATGACTCAATCTGCACTCCAGCAACTTTTGATGGACCTCTCTTAGCTTTTCTGACTCTAGGAACTATTATTAGTGGCCAGTAGGAGAATTTTTAAACAGAAAACAAAAGCCCAAGAACAGTTCATGTGCAAACTGATCTAGATTTTAATTAGTGTCCCAAAGTCAGAATTTATTCATGAATTATGGATACAGATGGAAATCCATGAAAAAAAACCACTGAAGACCTTTACTCTTTCTCTGAAGTTCATGAAAGGATAGTTTTATTAACTGTCAGACCAGATCTGGGCACAAAATCAAGTCTTTCTGGCTGTGATACTGTAATCAGTATTTTAAAGGTGTATTATCAGAATAAAATTGAGAATTTTCTGTTCTTAGACAGAAACACATCCAACTCATTCCACTTAGTGGTTGCATTGACTTCAGATGATAAACTGAGAGATTTCTATTCTTGAGTGGTATTTTTTCTAACTTATAATGAAGCCTTATGCAAGGACTTTTTCCACCTAACATAATAAATGTAGTCTAAAATATTGCCTGTATTTTCCTTACTAATTTTAATTAGTAGTATTGTAGCATTTCAACTTGTAGTATTTCTTGTAGTATTGCTTGTAGTATTTCAAATCTAGTCCTCTACAGCATTCCAAAATGACAATACTCAAACCTTTATGTTTTGTGAAAAAAAAAAAAATTAAAAATCTTAACAAAATTTGACACTCGGGTTTTTAATTAGGTATGTTTATGTACAAACTGTGTTGCTTCTTTAGTGGTAAATGTTGTCACCATTATGATATCTTGAATCTGAAATGATGGCACAAGTTACATGCTAGCTCCACTGCAGGCCTGGCATAAAGGTTAAGAGTTATATCATCTACTTGCATTTTGGAGATCTAAATTTCTAGTTACAATAACAACAATAATCTCTGCTAATATAATGGGTTTTGCTAATATACATCTAACTTGTGAAGGACCACACAGCTCCATTCTCACTGAAGAAATGTATGCCCGTGTGTTGTCAGTCATTTTCAGTGCAAGTTGAGCTACAAGAAGAGTGAAATATGCAGACTGAGGCAGTTTTTGACCTATTTAAAATGCCAGCCACTTCTGACCTTCTTGAATCTATTCTGTCCCTTCAGAACCACACTAAACTACAGAAGTATTTCAGCCAAAACCTTACATCAACCTCTCAAAGAATTACTTTTCTCTTAATTTCCTATGTGTCCAGGCAATAAATCAAATCATTTATTCTTTAAGGATTTATAAACCACCAAGCAGTAAAAAAAATCCAAACTTATTTTTAAAATGCACATGTATGTGAAATTTTCATAATTTTCCTCCTCACTGCTGTCATCTGAAAAGACAGTCTTTCATTTTTCACCAAGCTGGAAATGGTATTAGCAGACAAAAAAGACTGAAGGAATTACCTTCTTAATCTCCCTGGTCAGCATACAGCGCTCAATCCTGAGCACGGTGGAGATATCGATGTGTTCTCTGGAGATGGAGTTAAGCCAAGCTGTGAAACTGTCCAGCGTTGCCAGGAAAAGGACCCAAGTAAACTTCAAGATATTAAATATCCTCTTGATGATGTTATCTAAGGGAGAGCAAAAGACACAGGGAATTAATGAACATAAATATCTTTTGCCTGGGGTTAGATTCATTTTTCTTTTATTGTCTAATAATGGTAATCCAGGCTGTGAAACCCTGTCATACTAAGGAATCTCTGAAGATGGCTGGAGGCCTTTTGGCTGTCTGGACCATTTTCCTGACTGTATGTCTAGGCTTATCATCTGGAATCCCTATTCCACCCTGTAAGTCCTTGGTCCTGCCACCATTAGTCAAATAAACAGTTCCTGATTTTAGAGGGACACTATGCACAGGTCTGTGAAATGAAACACAAAGGTTTGGGCATCTCCTGAGAGTATTAAACATCCCCAGGTCCTGTGATCTGAACAAGTGTTCAATCAGTGTGTTGAGCTGAACCTCTTCAGTGTCTAATTAATTGTGAGTGTTTCTGCACAGACTTTGCCTTTTGTGCTTGAACCTTGCTAAGCTGAATTTTAAAGCCTAAACAGTCTTTGAATCTGACCTCACTTCACTTTGAATCACACTTCTCTGTATTTACTCTTTTCAAAGCCCCTGTTTATCTAAGTAGGCTGCACTGTGCCATCAGTTATCTCAGATGAACAAGCACAACTCGGATAAAAAATAATTTATAAAACTTTATTCTTGCACCATTTTGGCAAAACAGTACACTTTATAATGAGTAAGGCTTATGGGTGTATACCAACAATAGTAGCTTTATTTTGCTCAACACATCTGTCTCAAGTTAATTTCTCATTTCAGTAGTTCATTTGGCATTAATAATGGTATTTCTCAGCCAAAGAGCAGTGCTTTCACCTTTTTTTTTATCCACTCACAAACACCACACTAGAGTTCTCATGTAGTATTGCAAATGTTCAGGTCTAGGCTGGATGGGGCTCTGAACAATCTGGTCTAGCAGATGGTGCCCCTGCCCATGGCAGGAGGGTTGAAACCAGATGATCTCTAAGATCCCTTCCACCAAAAGCCATTATATTATTCCACGAATCAATGAAAGACTAAAAAAAATATTTTCAATAGCCAGTTGTCCCTGCTAGGTTACAAAGCCCAGAGCACTGGGTGTAAAGACAAATTTTCAATTAAGCAGCCTAAGAAATAGTAGAAAACTGTCAATAATGTGCAATGCATGATACTCTCAACAGCATCACTTCTTAGCTGTTCCACAAGATGGCATGCAAAACTCTGCAGAATGGGTGTACAGCTTCTTACAAAGGTTCCGAAAGGAAAGCTATAATGAAGTAAAAGATTACCCTGGGCCTCCAGAGTTGTTGCATGCACATTTATGGGAAAAATTAATTAGTGGTATTTCCTGGAAAGTGGGTGCTGAAGTAGCATTATGTCCCATTTACCAGAGCTATGCCATGGAACAGGTCTGCTAGCGCTGAGCATAAAAGCACCCTTCATTTGGTCATATAATTATTTCAATAATATTATGCCCTTTTTTTTTCAGACCTTTTCTATGTAATTTAGAATTGGAGATATCTTTTTGAGCTATCCACTTAAATTTTATTCATTCAATGTGCAGGTCTTAAAGTTGAGGAAAACCAGACACTAAAAACTAAATGTAAAACTGTTTCTACTTCAAGGACCATCCATTATCTTTGAATTCCATACAATATTATGAGTAGAAGAAAAGAGAACACCACACATACACAAAAATGTATAGTATATATTCCTTTTTAACCCACACTCTTCCTCTCCAATGTGTAACTTTTGCTAGTGACTTCAGGAGAACTCACTGCTCTCAGGCTATTTTTTTTATTTTTTTTAATGACCACCACTGGCCTGGGATAGTCTCACCATGGTGCCAAGTACTTGCAGTCTAATCTGAAAGGTCATTTTTCTCCCTGGGATGGAGGTGTTTTAGCAAACATTTTTAATGACATTGTAGTTGTTCTGGCACCTTTGCTGTTCTTCAAAATTTAAAAAAGAATCTTTGGGGGATCAATTGCACCTAAACATCTCCAAAATGGAAAACAAATGCTTACTTTGTGCAGGGAATGCTTCTCTCTGCCTGAGAGTGTGAGATTCAATCTAAGGTTACTAATGATATCAATGATTTATTACCAATTAGTGGCTAATTTTTCTAGGCATCTTCTTTAACAAATTTTACCTAGGAACAGCCAAAGTATTTCAACAAAAATATAAAGCACTTTAAATGTATTATTTCCAATATAAATTAATTATAAACCCCCATCTTTTTCCCCTAGCTCCTGTGTAGCACCAACACTACATCCCTAGAGATGCATTTGTGTGATTCACTTCAGTGTTTTAAGACAGATAACTGCATTGCCATTAAGCAACAAATAACAAACCCACCAACTTCCCTCTCTCCTCCCCTTTCTCATAGCAAAGCAGCCCATTTATTTGAGACCACTGCTCTTGTGAGATAGAAATTATACCTCCCACATCCTTTTAGCCTGTTCTACCCTGTAAGTCACTCAGGGACACTCAGTTCTGGATTCTAACCAGAACTGTGGGAAACAATGTTATATAGAGAAGAAAAGTAGCTCTTGGTGATAAAGTCTCATTGAAGGTAAGCCATGATGAAGATGGCTCCTACTTAAGAGGAGAGTCTGTTTTCTTCCTTTACTCCAGTTAGAAACAAGGAGCCAAGGTTGGATTTATGATCTATTAAATTTCTTTGCAGGAAAAATTTGAATGTGGGCAACATCCTGGGAACTGCTGGCATTTCTTCTGTTGTACAGAACTGCCCTAAGTCTGATTTTGAATGAGAACATGTAAGATCAGAAATGTGTAATTTTTTTAGAGGTGATAACAGTGCCGTGCTGAATGGGTGAGTACCAAGAAAAGCATTATAGTAACCTTGCTGAAACACACTCAAAATCAATGGAGATTTCAACACAGGTCTGTGTGCAGTCAAGTCTAGAATCTTAGCTTAAGTTATTCTGTAAGTAAAATACACAGCAGTGATCAAGTCTGAGCTGGCAGGTGTATCTGCTAAAGTATTTAGAGAGTGAGTGCAGTAGCTAATAATCCAGAACCAGAAGCTCCTATGCTCAAGGCTTGTAAATCTTGCAATATAAAATCTGATAGTAGTTAGGAAGCTCTTACTGCATCAGAGTGGATCACTGCAATGCTGTCTCTGTGACAGGCCACTGGTCACAGCTGCATTGTAACAGCAGAGAAACCCTTGTTTTGCCTCTATACCTGGTCCATCAGATTTCTTCTTGACAGGTTCTTCTTCGCTGTCCTCACAGTCTGCATCATTGCCTCCTCCTGCAAGGCATGAGCAAACCAGTGAGTGTTACACCTACAGAAGTGCTGGTGTAAATGCTGTTCAAGCTAGAGAATGCTGCAGTTACTAAGCAGTAGAGACTGGTTCCTCACCTACCACCATAACAGAAAGCACATTTCCATTTCCAAAGCACTCAAGTGAAGGGACAACCCTGTCAGTGAAGGTGTTCATGGATGACCATCCCTCTCAAAAGTGAAGGCGTTCATGGATGACCATCCCTCTCCTGTAATTTGCAGTGGTGTTTTCTTACTAGATAAGCTGCTGAGTGAGATCGTCTGATGGTGCAAACCCAAATAGTTTCTCAGTTGCTCCTCTGCCACACTCAGCAGTCTCACCTTCTGCTGACTCACACTTGAGCTCATTTCTTCATCTCCTGAAAGGGCAACCTGAGCAGTGCTCTGATCTTTTCCGGCCTCTGGCCACCAAACCTGAAGGAATTGAATGGGACCTTCAGGCTGACAGGAAGCAGCAGTGTTGGTTTGACAACACCACGTGCATTTATGGACCCTGTAGCCAAAGAGTATTGTGGAATCACAGGCAGAAATGAAGGACAAACAAGTGCTCCTCCTACTATCTAATGCACAGTAATTGCAGCTGCAGTTTCAGTGGCAGAAGCCCAATTATAAATTCCTTCCTTTTGACAAGTAAAGATGCCAAATGGAGGAAATGTCCAGATGATTAAACCTGTATGGGTCCCTCTCTTCCCTGTCCATACTGACCAGAAAAGCTTTTGAATTTCTATTTTTTAGCTAAAAAATGGAGAAAAAGATCAAGATACATAAACCACTTATAAACTGGTGTTTTCTTCAGAGGCATGAAAGATTTTACACTGCCACTAAAACCAAATCAACATTTGCATGTTTTCCATTCACTATCTACTGAATTTACGGGTTTGTGGATATTTGGGTTCCTTAGTGACTGCAACATGGAAAGGGAAAAACAATTCTTTATATTCTTCTTCATGTATCAACTCAAGCTTCTTTAGGGAACAATATAAGAAATGTGGCCAAAATAAATAATATGTATCTATTTAATGGAATTTTTTTTTACAGCTCCACTTGAACCACAGGTGTTTGGCGATTCCCTCATGAAATAGTTCATCAGCACCTTTCCCTGGGAATGCACATGACTTGCCCATTGAAAAGACTGACTTTGGTGAACTCTAACCTGGACAGAAAGATGAACTTTTTTATGATATGAGGAAGTGAAAGGGTAATGTCCTTGCTCTGACAAATGCCTATAGTTTACACTCCTGTATTCTGGAGGTATGCTGTTAAGTTCCAGGTTATTTTCTTTATAAAGTTATGTCTTTACAATTTACTATTGCAAATACTACCACAAGTACTTTCACATAACTGATGTTTTCCGCAATGTGTCGAGTCTTCCTACTCAACAGAAGTTCTGGGCATTTCTTGCAACTCCATGGAAAATAGATATATCCCATCTTCCCCTGTACCTCCCTCAAAGTGTGCCATGCAGAGCAGAAGGACGTGGCTGTCACTGACCTTGCCATGGGTTGGTGCAGGAAAATAACACCAGCCAAAGTTAACTCATTTGTTCAGTTCCTAGCCAGCACTGAGAGCACTTCTCCTCTAAACCTTGTCTGTCTTTCACTACCAGGAACAACAGGCAACAGTTAATATTCTATTTTTTTAAATGGAAAAGGCTACCTACCATCCCCAGATTCTTTTCGCCTTCTCTTCTCTTTCCCAAAACTTTTCTTCTCTTTGCGCCTCTGTCGTAGAGCTGTTTTAGGGTCAGTTATCCAGGCTTGATAAACAAACTAGAAGGAAAAAACTCATTTATATCAAGGTTCCTCATGTTCTGAGAATAAGCCATAAAATAAGCTACAAGCAGGACTATACACTTTGAGTAAAAGCATTCAGACCTGTGGGGGCAAGGAAATATTTTTAATCCCAAATCAAACACCTTCCCCGCAGATCTGCTGAGTTTTCATATGCTATTTTTGTAAGTGTAAAACCAAATGTGAAAATACTTGTGGGTGACCCAAGCTTCATTAGAATCCACAAAAATGTATGCTCTGAACTTTGGGAATTAATACCTTTTTGTGTATATGGGCTACCTTGTCTGAATCCCTCTATTCTGTATTACTACTTTATCACATTACAGGCAGGATACAGAGCAAACAAAACTTTTAGAGAAAGTGCTGCAATCCACTAATTAAAACATCAAAAGATGTAGAGATATCCCTGTACAGGTAACTGTATTTTTCACAGCTTAGGTATTTTTCCCACTCTGTATATCCCAGTGGAATGTTCATAGATTACTTATCTATACACGGTCCCAAAACTGGCACTCAGGAATTCCTCAGATTGTTTCCTGATTTTAATAATGTTGTTTCAGATAAGTCACTTACGAATCCTGCTGCCACTGTTTTTCCAGTTGAAAAATGAAGACAGTAATACTTACCTATTTATCCAAGGTATTTAATGGGACAAAATCCTGCTCACAGCACTCACTCAGGTCAACAGTCTGTTGACCTGTATGACTGCATGAAGCATTGGAATTGGCCCAAAATATTTATAAATTATATAGCAGTGTGGGTAACAAAACCCAAAAAGTAAAAGGAAAGTTACTGAAATGTAACTTTTTTATAGTTCAACTTAAGGTTGAAAGAAGGTTACAGAAAAAAGGAACAAAACTTGTATCTTTTAACCCTATGTGACATAAAATTTACGTCAATAGCAGAAACGAAAGTAACTTTATCTTCTCCACAGTTCTTTAGGGGAAAAGGTGTTCTTTTGCTCATTTAATGGTTTTCATTGAATAATGGTAATTATCTTCAATTGTCTTCTATTTCTAAGCAACAGAGGTCACTGGCAGAGAGTGGGCAGGGAAGCACAAAGATGCAGGCAAGAGGCTGAAAAAGCACAGTAACAAAACAGCACTATTTAATTAATTCACAGCACAAACATGCAGATGGTGGCAACAACACATGTATATCTCAGTGAAGCTGGAATTGCCCCTCATAGGACAGAATGGTAAAATTTCTATTTGATTTCTTTATATTTTTAGAATTTTCCTATGCAAATCACTTTGGAACATTTAAAGTATTATTTTGAAACTGTTAAACTGATGTTAAATTACTTTAAAAGGGAAAAATGCTTTCTTTTGTGAATGTGCACAGCCATGGAGAGGAAATTATTTTGATACTGTTGAGAAGAAGGTCCTCTCTCAAATCTCTCCAAGTCTGTGCATTTAATTTTGTGTGTCTGAGTTGTTCCAAACAAGCAGCACATGAGAAAATGTGTGGGATCAGAGGCCCTGGTTTCCCTTTGCTTTGTAACAGGTGTTTTCTAATGAAGGTGCTCTGGGGGAATGGTGATACTTAAATGAGCTAACACCATATTACTTTAATGGAAGTCAGAAACCGTCAACATATTCTATTGTCATTTCACTGTGAAAGTGTATGCTAGCCACAATTATAGCATGAATAAAGAAATTAGAGCTAAAAGGCAGACTTTGAAGGGGGTTAGAATTAAGAAAAGGAATTTGATTTATAAGTTTAATGTAACTATCTATGCTAAGCAGGGGGTATTTTAAGAGGATACTGGGTGGATATTAGTTTAGATTTCTACCACTGCAGAAACTTCCAATTTAGTATCTTTTAGGCTTTGGAGCTGGTACTCTCAATCTGTAACATTCACTCCTTACAAAAGTCACGTTACATATGGAGTGGAAAATGATACTCAGTGCCCAAAGTTAGGAAATAATAAATGTATTCAAGCAGGGCAAGAGAGAAGATGGACAAGTCTTTTTTGTGATGATAAAGGCCAGAAGAGTAGAAAGCTAAAAAGGGGTTTGGAGCAGAATGTGTGTTTAACAAACCTTTCACCAGCTTTCCGAGGTCAATTACCACTGCATCCATAAGATACATGCAACTTGATGTGACCATCTTGTAAATCAGTATCAAAAGAAAATAAGAATTTTGGTCTGCATTTTCTCTCTGGGGTTATATGTAAAAAAAGGATAGACCTCTTTTCTTTTGATTTGACCACTCCAAAATTATGAAATGCATTGCATTTACTAGGAATGAGAATTTAGCTGTCATCATTTTTTAAAATTAATTCATATAAGAGGAAAAATGCAGATGAGGACAGAGGTGTATATACACTACATCAGGAAATATAAGGTGGGTCACATACTGAGCATTTGAAAAATGTCATGTACCTTTGCTGCTTTGATTAAATACTGAAGAATAGTTTTGGGTAGTTTAATGATAGACTTTGGCAAGGCTAAAATGGCTGAAGCAAATTTTCCAATAGCTCTCTATAAAGAAGGACAAAGCAAGAGTAGTTAGTAGAAAGGCAGAAAATATTAATAAAAAGGATCTCTTTAATTACTGTATCTAGAATACTAAGAACAAATTTACATTCATAAACTTCAATATGAGAAAAAATAATTTATGTTGTTCACATTAAAATTGCAATAATATGACTCTTAACTGCATGCATTCTCTAATATTTAACATCTCCAAGTTAACTCTTGAAGGGGCTACTGCACACAATTTACACTGAAAGATCATACATTCAAGTAATTCTTCCACAGAATCTGCATCAAAGTTCACTTGGCTAGTATTTTTACTAAGACCTTGTGCATGATGCTGGAAGGCAAAGAAAGTAGGATGACCACAGTATGAACAAAGTCTTTGTGAAGAAAACCAATTTTCTGTTTTATACACTTCTCTGCTTATATAAAGCCATCCAGTATATTTATACTGCACATATTGCAGAACAGGCCACCTATCCTGAACATCTGACCAAATTTTGAATTAATCAACAGATCCTCCATCCTTAAACTGATAGTTTCAGGACTGAGATGAACAAAAAACCCAAATCCCAGCATAAATGAAACAATCTTGTTAACTTCTGACCTCAAGTTTAGAACTCTTTAACTCAATGCTTGGCACCAGCACATCTGTAAGAAATGCTATCACCAATTTTTTAAAAAATCAGCAGAAACAAGAATGTAAACTTGTTTCTATACCTGCATGAAAACCAGAAAGAAAAACAACCTAGAAAGTCATTAGCCATTTCTGTGGCCCCAGGTAAGTTAAATGCAAAACAAATTAAAAAAAAATAGTACAATACTAGAAAACAAAATTTAGTTATCACAGTATTTTGATCTAGATTTGTTTTGCCTTTATTAAGGCCAGATTTATTTTTTTGTCATGTCATTGCCATGCAGGCAATTTAACAAATGTAACCAACTGGCAATGTAATGTAGTGTTAGTATATAAACCAAAGGCACATTTTATTAATGAGTTAAATAAAATATTACTTCTTGTAATTCAGTAATTCTGGCTGGGAAGTTTTGTTTGAAAGATTTTGGCTTAGGGAACAGAAAAGCATGGAGGGAGTTTCTTGCTCTTGTTTGGGTTGAGTGTTCCGCAATGAGCCAGTTCTGCAGTGATGTGAGGTTGCATCTGGATGGGAATATTCAGCTGGAAAAAGATGCTTATTTGATTAAGATTTCAAAGTTACAGACCTGAAACATTTCTGCAGCATTTAAAAAAAAATTCTTCCACAAGTGGAACTTGAATCTTATAAAACCATAAGCAATACCCAATATAGGAGTATTTCACTAACTTCTTTACCCATGTTCTTCATTTAAGCCACTGCATTCAGTATCTGTTATTGTCTAATACCAACCAGTCCACGTGGAGGAAATCAGATAGGAAACCTCAGATATCTTTTTAACATTACAATGTTGTCCTGCATCAGCACAGTCTGGCACTAAAAATGCAAATATATTAATTAACACTACCCTGAAAATGAAAGAAAATAAATGTATGTAGTCTCCTTTCATAATGTTAAATGTCAAGCTCTTTCTAATCCAAGGATATATTTCTCTGGCCCTATGGGTTCAATGATTTTTTTTTTTTTTATTAAGTATATATTATTTTTCATGAAAACATGTTTATTTTGGGGATTATTTCTTCATGGAATAACAACTCCTCAAAACTTAAAAACCACTGGAGGCATTCCATAGTAGTATCAGAAGCAAGTCAGCTTCCTCAACTGTCTTTATTACAATGGAGAAAAAGGTAAAGCTTGGGTTCTTAACCTTTATTTTTTGCATTTTTGTTATCTACAGGCATAAGTGAACTATACACTAGTATAGTTTCAGTAGGAATGTGGCAGTGCTTAAAGCATAAAACAAACTTACATTTTAAAGTAGCAAGAAATTTAATTTCTAATACTTTTCAGGACTACTTTAGAGGAACTGGCAGCTTTAACATATGTGCCTGTGCTATGAGAAATGTACATTTTTTCCAGATGTCAATGAGAGAGCAAATTACTATAAAGTACCTGAAAAGCTGACTTTTTTCGAGGCTCTTCCTCTTCTTTTTTTTCCTCTTCCTCTTCTTCTTCACTATCCGTCTCAAACAAATAATAATTTCCACTTCTGACCACTAAGTGAAACAAAATATTTTTTTACTTTTCTGAAAAGTTCTATTCTCAACTCCCCCAAGACCTATAACAGGTAGCCAGTCATTTAAAAATTCATAACCAGGAGAGGTGAAAACAGAGAAGAAGCAAGAGGTGAAAAGGTCTCAGGCCATTTATTTGATGTTAGTCTGCAATACTTTGGGCATGAATAAGAACTATACAAGAACTAAGGAAAGCATCCCTATAAGAAGAAAATGTAAAGAAAAGGATTGAAATTTATCAAGTTACAAGGTTACATTTTTAGAGAAAAATGACAATTAAGTCTGCATTTATTGGGGATTTAGGATTATTTGAGGGAGTAAAAAAAAGCCCAGCAGGTAAGTAAATGAACTTACGTGAACAGTACCACTGGACAAAAAATACAGAATTTCTCTTTAAAACACTGAGGGAATCCTTTAAACTAGGCAATGGGATAGTATTAGTTCGATGAGGTAATGAAAAACCCTGGCTTGTTTAAAACAAATGACTTGGATTCTATTAATATGATTGAAATGAGTTTCAATTTTTTGCCCATGGATTCAGAATGATTCTGAAACCTTGATACAGCATAGGTACACAGTGATTAAGCTAGGCCTTATATCCTTGAACAGAAGCAATGTTTTTATTTCACAGATGGCAACAGGCCTACATGAATAAACAAGGGAAACAAAAGAAATAAAAATAACATAATTAGCAAGAGAAAAATAAAAATCACAGCATTACATTCAGCAGTGAAAACTGGTAATTGCCACATTTAAGCTGAAATATTTGAATAAAGAGTTATTTAGATGAAAATTTACAAAATCTGGATATATGAAGCAATATATATTTATATAAAATTGTATCTATCAATCATTACAGGTTTTTGGAAAGGTAACAGTTGTAATTCAATCATACCTTGAATTCTACACAGATCCTGTGTGCACAGATGATCACATATAACTATTTACAAACCTCGGGGTAAGACTGTGAAATTTGCCAGAACTGATCTTTGGATCATAACTTTGCCATCTAAAACTCTCTCACAGAGGGAATTTTGTGCTTCATGTGCCCACTTATGATTTTTAGCATCTACGATTGCCCTGCAGAGGGACAGAAAGTCCACTTCAGCCATTCCAATTGTTGCACTGAGGTGAAAAGAAAGTCTGGAAATTTCTTGTATGAAAGAAATGGATTTTTTGGTGCTGAGCCTTCCAAGAAGGCCCGTTTAAATGCATTGAAGAGACAAAAGTATTTTAAGAGCCAGCACTCTGCAGTTCTCTTTCATAAAATGGTATCTTGTAGTCAGCAACAGAAATTTTCAATTGCAGAAGATCAGCTGGATAAGGTTTGACATTAGGGAAAACCTCTATGGCTGTGCAGCTTTGTAAAGCTCAGAGTAGCACTCAGTCAGGCTTGGAATGTCTGATCTGGAAGCAAATAAAACTACATTGATCTCCCTACAAAATTTTTAGGTTAGGGACCCTCCAGCACAGCAGTTACATCCCTTTCACAGTTCAAGAGAGAGGTATGATTGAATAGCAATAATGCATTCTTGCACACATCAAAATGGAGCAAGTGGCGTGTCAGTCACCTACAAGGCTTCCTGAAGAGACCAAGTTCTACTAGCAACACAATTCATGGCCAGACTGGACTTGAGAGACTCCGCTTGTACTGCAAAATGTGGCTTCCTCCTACTGAGAAAAGGGACGTACAGGCTTTTTGTGGGATGAGATGGAGGAAGCAGAAGAGGAACCATGCAGGAGAATGCATCTCATCATCTGCTTGTGCCCAAAGGGAAAGTGCTCCCCAGGACAGCTGAGGTCACCATCTTTTGCACTACATCAGACACCACTGTGTGACCCAGGAGAATCTAAGCATGTGGTCCTAACTCCTGCTGATCTTTGTGGGACCTCAAAAATAATCCACAAGCACAGGAGAAGCCACACCACCCTACAAGGGAGATTTTAAGTGACTGTCAATGAAGAAATCCTTACTGATATTTTTATCTGATTTACTCAGACCCAAATTCATGACTGTTTTAATTGCTATGATATACAAAATGAGGTCTCTTTCCGCACAATAAAATTATAACAAGTGATATAAAAATAACAATAAAAATCTAAATTTAAAACTTCAAGCTTGAGTGACTTCAATGTATGCATATATACACCCACAAAACCATTTACTGAGATGAAGAATGGTGCAGAATGCTGCAGTTACAGAGGTGTTCCAAAAAGAATGAGTGTGGAATATCAGTCTATTCCCAGTCTGCATGCTTGTAAACACCTACTGTCAGTGCCATGCTTCACTGAGTATGGATGCAAGAAGGCACGTGGCAAGAAACTGCTACTTGTAGGGTCAGGGTCTGATGTTTCCCACAAGGTTTTGCATTATTGCAGTAAATAATTTCAAGAATGCTCAATATTTAAACACCAAAATGCAACTTGCCATCTAAGAACATTAAATAATGAGGATGAAATAAGTAAAAGCCAAAGTCAATATCTCTCTGTGCAATTCTTCTTACTACAAAACCAGTAGTGAATAAAGAAGAGACCATATCCAATTCCTTCAAAGTCATGATAGGTTGAAATTCTATAGAAAAAACTCAAAAATTATAGTTTTAATCTGTTTTTTCATTGTTTTTCTAATGAAATTATGGGACAGGAATTTTATTTTCATAAGGCTTTTGAAAAGGATAGGTCTCTCTAAAGTGGCAATGTGCCCTTTAGAAAAATAAAAATAGAGGCACAGTTTACTTGTGACTTGATAGAAATAAAGATCCCATGTTTTGGTAAACACTGCTGGCAAATACATGTCTGCTGAATTTATAAATAAATACACATAGGTAATGAAGCAGTATGTAGAGGCATAAGATTATGACTTGGCGTAGCTCTTAAAGTAAATGACCAAACACAATATAGACATTCATATTTTTCATGCATGAAGGGGGTTTAGGATGGATATCAGGAAGTTTTTCACCCAGACAGTGGTTGGGCACTGGAGCAGGCTCCCCAGGGAAGTGGTCACAGCACCAGCCTGTCAAGAGTTCAAGAAGTGTTTGGACAAAGCACTCAGCACACAGTGTGACTCTTGGGGATGGTCCTGTGCAGGGCCAGGAGCTGGACTGGATGATCCCCGATGGGTCCCTTCCAACTCAGCACATTCTGTGATCCTGTGTTTCTATGATTTAACTCTGATCAATGCCCTGCATTTAAGCTTTTTTTTTTTTTTCCATTTTCAGACATTACTAAACAGTTAATGTCTGATTTCATTCAAGAAACATCCAATTGAAGGATATCTGATTTGAGCTTGCAGCCTACTCAACTTTCCTGTTCTACCAAGTGCATAACATAGCAAAGAAGTCTATCATATGACTGGGCTAGGCTACAAACACATTAAAATATCATAATGCACCAATTATATGATTGACATTTTTGCTCTCAGGTAAACACTAAAAAAATGGAAATACCAAAACAACAGGCATCAACAACACATTGAAGTGTCATCAGAGAGAGGGAGCTGAGCTCTACACAGCCTATTCTATGTCTTCCTGCCTTACTGCTCTGCTCAGATTGCTACACTTGATACTAGAATGACTGATGAACCATAAAAAGATGCATGATATGTGTTTATGAAAAAGAAATTATGTATGATATGTGTTTATGAAAAAGAAATTATAACTAATCATAGAATGCCTTGTCAAAATTTCACATTCACATTGTTAAATATATTGAGCTCTGCAGTATTGGGGAGTTGCAACCTTTGAGGTCAAGACAGATTCTTTTCAGCACATGTTTATCTGATTTGCTATTTTTCTAACAATTGTCAAAGAATCATGAGCTAGCTATGCTTCCAACACACAGAAGTCCAAAATATAGTTAAATTATTTGAAGATTAGAAAGTAGAAATCACTTTTTTAAAAAAAACCCAAGCCTTCTATCAAGTCACAATCACAAAATCAGGCATAAAACAAAGAGGCTATGGGAATGCCTTCATTCTGGTCAAGGATATAAGGGTTAAATCCACATATTTGTAAGAGGATTGAGAAAACCTACTGGAAGCATGATCAACCCAAGGCCGCCACCACAGCTTTTTTTTGCCCTTGGCTTTCTCTTTGTCTGCATCTCCTAAAATAAAATATGTTCAAATATTAATTTTACAAAATGAGAAACATATTTCTTACACTGATTAATAATTTTAAATTTCTCTCAAAAGAGCTAAAATCTCCTGAGCACGTCAGATGTTAGGTCTACTGAGTACATTTAATATTAAAATAATTCAAAACCATGACTACTAAGCAGAAGTACTCTGATTTATGCAGTAGTTAAAACAGCATTCCACTCTAAAACAGCTGAAAAGTTTGGTTTAGTGTTTTAAAATATACTGTCACAGTTGACTGTAATTTAAAGAGGAAAAAAATTTCTCTCCTCTCAAATCCCCTTACGTTTCAGGCTCCAAATTTTTTTAAATCCAGTAAGTTCTGACCCCAGGTCAATGCTGGAAATGTGGCACTAGATAAGTATGATTTTATCTGTGTCCATGACTTTAAATAACATTTAAAAGCACACAAACATTTTGGTGACTGAAAAAAACCCCAGAACAGCATCCAGCAAACATTTCTGGGAAAATGTTGGTGCTACCTATCTGTAAAACTGTTTTATAGATAATGATTTATACCAAAACAAACCTCTGACTCTTTTCAGCTCTTTGCCAACAGCCTGAAGTTAACCAAAAATATCCTCAAAGCAAGCCATTTTCACTAAACCTTGTTATAGTACATAACACAGATTTTTTTTTTTTTTGGTTGTTGTTGTTGTTGTTTGTTTTTTGGCTGAATCGAGCCTGAAACTGATACTCAGCTAACAATGTTGTTACATGCTGGTAGTTTTCAAGAAAAATTTATCATTTGTCCAACTAGCAGGTCTAGCAGATCCTTATGCAAATATGGTAAAGGAGTAGCTAATGGTACCTTCATCATCTTCTTCTGAAACCTTCCGAATCTCCGGCCCCTCTGAGGACTCCTGGTTCATGCTTAGCATCCTCTCTTTACCCTTCTTGTATTTTTGCTGCCTGGCTTTGATGCGATCCATTCTAGCAAAAGGAAAAATCTTGTTAGATTTACACCTCACCAACTCTGGAAAACAAGCATTAAACACTTGCATATACACACACATATTCCACACTGCTGTTAGTCCTACCCTTAAACAGAAGGAATTACATGGCTGGGAGGACCAAGCACAGATGTTCACTCTGTGTCAGTGAGAGCTGGATTTCCTGCTGTCATGACTGGTTTACTTTCTCCCACTCAACTATCATATTTTAAAGCACTGAGAAAAAAAAAAGGACTTCTACCTAATGCAGTGCTTTTCCTGAAACTTGCCACTCTGAACCAGGGATTTGGCTGTTCCTGCACTATTTGTATTACATCTTCACCCTTTAAGATCATTTGTCTCAATGGACATCAGTAACAAATTGTGTCCCTTGGGGTCCAGTGCTATTTTTGCTGTCTGGGGATGAAGTGGGATCATCAAGTGTACCTTCAGCAAGTTTGCAGATGACACCCAGCTCTGTGGTGCTGTTGTCACAGCTGAAGGATGGGATGCATTTCAGAGGGATCTAGACAAGCTCAAGAAGCTGGTGTACAGGAACCTCATGAAGTTAAAACCAAATTCAAGGTTCTGCACCTGGGTCAGGACAACTTCTGATATCAACACAAGCTAGGGCATGAACTGATTGAGAGCAGTCAGAGGAGGTGCTGATGGGTGAGAGGCTGGACATGAGCCTCAGTGGGCACTCCCAGCCCAGGAACCCAGCTGTGTCCCAGACTGCATCCAAACCAGAGCAGGCAGGAGGCTGAGGGAGAGGATTCTGCACCTCTGCTCTCATGAGACTCCACCCACAGTGCTGCATCCAGCACAGGAAGGACTTGAACCTGTTGGAGAGAGTCCAGAGGAGGGCCAGAAAGGTGATTAGAGGATGAAGCACCTCTCCTATAAGGAAAGGTTGTGACAATTAGCGTTGTTCAGCCTGAAGAAAAGGCTCTGGAGAGACCTTATTGCAGCAATTCAGTACTTGGAGAGAGATTACAGGAAAGATGGACCCAAACTTTTTTGCAGTCTGTTGTGAGGACAAGGGGCAATTGTTTTAAACAGAAGGAGGATTGCTTTAGATTGGCTACAAGGAAGATGCTTTTACAATGAGAGTGGTAAAACCTGGAGCAGGTTTCCCAGAGAGGTGGTGGGTGCTTCATCCCCAGACACATTCAAGGTCAGGCTGGATGGAGCTCTGAGCAAATCAGTCTCTTTGAAGATGTCCCTACTCATTACAGCGGGGTTGAACTAGGTGACCTTTAGATTTTTCCCTTCCAACTCAAACAATTCAATGATTATGGGATTCTATATAGGTAGAAAATAGAGTCCCTGAAATCTTTGATGATTCTTCTGCTACGCAGGGTGGAAGAAACTGTTGTGAGTGGGCTTTGACGCTTGGTTAGGAAGCAGTTAGGGCTTTCCATACATCAGAGTGGAGGAGCTTTGAAACTTTTTTTTTGGAACTTTCTGCAGTTACCTAAGAAGCATGCAAGAGAAACCAAAGTGACTTATGGGCTGTATAAAGAGAAAGGATCTCCAGGCCACTTGAACTGAATGCAAATATTTTCAGTGAAGGTAAACATATATTTTGCACTTAAACACTACAGAATGAACCACAAATAAAACAGAAAGAGCAGTCATGCAACAAATCTTCCGAGGAATACAGATAAGAGATATACAGAACAAAATTGTAATAATGGTAAAGCATTTCTATAAAAGAAAGTGCTGGATAAATATCAGAAGAGAGGGTTTCTATCAAAGAAAGTGCTAGATAAATACCAGCAATCAGTTAAATAGGTATATGTATATGCATAGAAATATGCATATATATATATATATATGTGTGTGTGTGTGTGTGTGTATATATATAAATGTATTAAATACATACTGTCTTTTCAGTTGATCCATTGATTTTTTTTCCTCTTCAATTCTTGCCTTTACAGCCTTGACAATTGTAGCCTGAAAAAGCTCAGCACCCCTACATCAGAAATGGGATAGAGGAAAAGAGAAAGAAGAGGATATGTTACATGTTTCTAAGCTTTCCTTATGGCAAATAATCACAGAGAATTCTATGTTTCCTCTATACATGACCATCAAACAAAACGAATCCAGGGCCTGAAAGAAACAATCAGTTGCTCTAAAATAGTAACATCTTTACAGACAATAATTTCAAGCTCTGCGGCCAAATGTTGTGAATCCTACTCAGCCTGTATGTTCCTCTAGCATCTGCCCAAGAAATTCAATTTCCAGTCCTCAAAACACAAAACATAAGTAGGTTCAAGGCTGAGGAAGAATTTCTTGCACATCCGCAGGATTTCTTTACAGTCATTTCAGCATTATAATCACCTCAATCTCCTGCCTCAGTCCTCCTGGAAGTTGTGAGCAAGTTTCAGCTTTATCCAGGGCCATGGTGAGCGTATATTGTTTCACTTTTACCCTCTGAAAACTATGGTGTTTTCAATCTGACATTACAAAGCCTTGAGCAAGTTTATGGTGTGCCAAAAGAATATGGCTTTCCACTCTATTACATTAGAAATGTAATCAGTTTCTTGATTTGAATGTTATGAGCATTCTTCCTAATTTACACATGAACCCTTAAGGCTCTTAAAAGAATCCAAAAGTCCCTCTCAAAGAAGTAGCCTATATTGAAAGCCTTTATTTTGTCAGAAATTCAGTAAGAAAAGCTATAATTTTAGAAGTCCACTCTTCATTTCTGGAAGCACATTTCCCTATATAGGATGTATTTTGATATTCATGATTTTGCTTTATGCTGTTTTCACTGTGAACCCAGCACACCAAAAGAGGTATGAGTACAAAAATTCTATTATCCAGCATAATTGGGCATCAGCACTGAAATTCACTCCAGAACAAAAACCTAATGCAATGTGGCATGGAGGTGGAGGTCTTTTGGTAGCTCTCTTTACAGTGCTGAATTTTGTTTATTATAGGGAGCTAAACATGTCCCCTTCTTAACATGATCCCTGGAAGAGGAAGATAAAAAATACTTCATTTTGTTACATGCAAGCCAAATTTTGCCCTGAAACACAGTCAGAAATCAATGTCTGTATGTCTTTTGAGGAAAAAAAAAAGCCACAATACATTTATTCCAATATTAACAAAAGTAATTTCTTGGAAACCTTATGGAAATTAAAAACAGTATTTCATTCCTCATCTGCCTTCATATTATAAACCAGAAGAATGTTTGTGCTAGTGATGGCTATGAGTGAATGCTTGTGGTGTAACAGGCCCAACAAGGCTAACACTTCCTTGCCAAACCTAGTCAGCGTTCAGTGATGTGACACTCCCCAAAAGTGCTCCCTTTTCCTCCCAAGCCAGATGTAAGAACTTTCCTGTCATCCCCCTCTTGCAACATTTATTGAGAAAGGATTTCTAAGGACAATTGCCCCAAACAGGCTCTGACAACAGAATGTTTTCTTTCCAAGACTTAGAAACTCTGGCATTTCTCTCATGCATATCAATGTTGAGAGAATGCTGCAACACAATTTCAGAGCTTTTAATAGGAGCAGCACATGGTATTTGGTAGAAAGAATTTTTTAATTTCTATTTGATTCTCAATTAATTTGTTTTCTTGTTTCAAAGCTGGGTTTTAAATTATGAATTTAGTATGGATTGTTTAAATCAATGTTAAAGGACTGTTTTGGTACTACCTATTGTAAACAGTTAAGTACTGCCGCCATGAGAGAATTGAGCTGTTTAATTTAATTTCTTTTAAATTTTCTTTTACCTTGATGCTAATATCTGAGAAGCTTTTATATCTGCAACCACATGAAGGAAGTAGTAACTCATGAAGACTCTTCTTTGCAGCAACAGGAAAGCAAAACATATACTGTCCCAAATGATTCCTGCTTCTCCACTGGGCAGTTTACAGTCTGGGTTGCTCGTTGCTGGAAAAAGACACCATCAGTGTAAAGAATGCTTTCATAATGTTCAATCAATTAAATAATCCTAGCCTTTAAAAGTATTTGAATTCTTTTAGATTTTCCTAAAGAAAATTGTCATGCATTTCAATTTGAGGTATAGCATAATTTCTTTTACAACAAACTGAAAAGTTTCTGAAAATGTGATGTCCCATGTGCTACTGTCCCACAAGTGAATTAATTAGAAGTGAACCATTTGCATATAAATTCACCCTACTTTAGTATGTACTTGAAAACAAAGAATGGAAAAGGCATATTTTTTTGTCACACTGAATTATTTGATTTCAGTGTTTCCTAAAATGGCATATATAATTTTTTTTCTCTTCTCTTCAGAGTGACTTTTTCTCTCATTTTTTAATTAATAACACTATCAACAGGAGAAATAAGTGGTTTATTTTTGTCAAAATGACTTTTTGACTGCCACCATCTAATATTTTTATTTTTCCTCTCCACAACTCTGTTCAATGCTCCTTTCCATTGCATAAGAGAAGAAATATTTGAAACCACAAAACTGCTTCCTTTGGGGTAGGAGGAGACAGGCAGAGAGGAAATCCCATTCCTCCTACCCCTAGATTTTGGCTTGGGCTATGTCTTTATTTCTTTATTCTCTGTAAGACAACTCTCTTGGGGATATTAAAAAATTAAAACTGGGTTTTGTGGAGCTGGACTATAAACTCCATGGCCTATGCTGCCCTATAGAAGGCAGTAGAAGGACTCCAGGGACAGGCTCTGGCTCGAAGCTGGCTTTTCAAGCAAGCAAGCCAATCTAATAGCTCTGGAAGGTCAAACTCCAAGAACTTCAAAGCCTGCTGTGCCCAAACCCTGGAGGGGGAGGGTTTGAAAACCTGTGCCTAAGTTTCTGTTGCTGCCTAAAATGTTTTGGATAACACAAAAATTCCTGGACACCTTTAATCCTGTGATTTGCATCTTCATATTTACTTTCTTTTCCCCTATTCCACACTTACCTATTAGGCTCAATCATGATGACCAGAATTTTGCTGCAGACTCACTAGACTGGAACAGCTATTTAAATTCAGGAAAAAAACAAACCAAACCCAAAAAACAGACAAAAAAATGCCTGCAGGTGTTTTTAAACTGTTAATCCAGGACAAAGTGGAGACAATTTAATAGCTCTCTGAGATGTGAAAAGCTTTGCTCTCCGTACCTCATTCATCCCTTCTCTCACATCCATCCACAGACATTATCCACTCCATTCCTTTTAACACCCCATGAGAATAATCACAAGGAAAAAAATTCCTAAACTCTCTATGCATGCAGAAACATTACCACTTTCATGCCATTTCAGGGAGCTGAAGTGGTTTACCCTTTGAAGCACTGAACCCGGGTACACAGGGAGGAGTGGGAGCCCACACTGCACACAGGGCGTGCAAGCTGGGAAGAAGTGCCCTGTCCATGCAGTGATGGTGAGCTGACCTTTTAGCTCAAGATGTACAATAAACCAGAGCATCACATCACCTACATGTATGGGAAAATATGTTAATTTCCAATATCTGTGAATTGTTCATTTACAGCAAACGCTGGCTGCAGATTGATGTATGGGAATGTTGGTAGTTTTCTCTGTATACTTGTCCCCCTTGTTTCTGTGAAATATTTTCAATATTCTGTGTTGCTAATCAGTATAGGTCCAAGATTTTTCAAAAGGTAATACATCAAGGAAAGGCACAACTTAAATATGATTGTAAGGTGATTCTTTATTTATGGAAAACTATGGAGAAAAATAAGGTGTACTTACGAATATGGTAGCCTTTAACTGTACAAGCCAGGCTAAACGCCTGAATCACCCAGCAACTCTTCTCAATTAATGATTCAATATAGCCACATGCTCCTATCTGCAAAGTAAAAGGGCAGTTTCATATAACAAGACATAGCAGTAATAAGGATAAAAAAAATTGCATCTTTCTACATTATATGAGAAATAATACAGCCAAGGGCAGTCAAATTATTCTCATTACAAAAAGAGCTTGGAAGGAAGAGTGGCTTTACCAGTGACACACAAACTAGTCTTAGACAGGATTTTATTATTTGATTATTAGTGAGATAGGAGGTATGTGGGCCTTGTTTGTGTTTTTGCACAGAAAGGGACACGTCTGGCATACGATGCAATGTGGCAACTAAACAACTTGTATAAATCACTGACTTAATCTTGCAAACACACATGGACAAGTTTAAGACACATGTAGCTCCACTGAATTCCCGAGCATAAAATGAAGCACATATGTAAGTATTTAGAACATTTGCAAATTCAAACCACACATAAATCAATTTTATTTTAGTGTAGTGACTTAAATAAATGTAAAAAGAAAAAATCTGTTCTTTGCAGTCCAGCACTAAAACTGTTCAAAGTTAAAAAGCAACTGCCAGGAATAAATCCAAATTTATCTTGAAATTACTGGCTTGTCTTAATCACCTGTCAGTACCACTGCAAGAATACATATAGGAGAGTTAATTAATGCAAGAAAAATCTTTCATATTTTGCAGAAGAATTTGACATTTAATTATCAAATACATCTATTTCCACCTGAATTTCACACTAGTTCTAAAGGAAACAGGAATGGAGTTTGTAACTTTGTAGTCCACCTCACTAATTACATTACATCACACAACTACATCTTGTACTAGTTTGAAAATGCTTTATTTAAATAAATTCTCTAACTAAATATGCTCTACTTATCAACAGTATGACTAATTTTGCACTTCTTACTCATTTTTCACTCCACTTTTCATGAGACTTCTAAGGAGAGACTTCATTAGGCAAAGAGACCAGAACCTGGCCCTTTGAAAGTAGCTTGTGAGGTTTTACAGAGCTCAACTGAGCATATGGGTGCACATTTTCCTATGATGGATATGCACTGCCATTCCCTAGCAATGCTGAATTGAAATGGAGACTGCTTTGTGCTTGCAGAAAGCTGTAGTCCCAAAAAAGGATTTTTAATGACCACTCAACACACTGTGCACACTTCCAATGAAACAGAGGGCAGAGGAAAGGCAGCAGATCCCTACCGACAGGATGTTCTTCATGGTGATCACGAAGACGTTGTAGGCAATCAGCCAGTCCCAGTAACGCAGAATGCTCCTAATGGGCTTCAGCAACAGGTCCCCACCAAAGAGAAGGAAATAGAAGCAGGCCACCAAGTAGCCCATACAGAATATGCTGATCCTTGTGGTTCCCGTGATGAAGATTATGGTAAGCACAAACCAGAAGAGGTAACTAAATATTATCACCTTATACATGTCTAAGTAGGACCTAGAAGTAAAACAAGGAGAAAAAGTTACATTTTTTTCTGAGGGCAATGCTATCTTTCCTCTTTCTGCACTACTGGCTGACACTTGTGCCCAAGGTCTTCTGGCCGTCCTCACACCTCAATATTTGTGCAGGCACTCGACACCTACAGTAAGGGGGTTTGGTTCATGCATGGGACTGCCCAGTTCATCCATTTCACTCCAGCTCCTTCCTGTACATAAGCACCTTACTACACCTGGTCAGGGTGACGTGCTTGCTTCAGGATCAAGCCTTGTGCCATGGAAGGGAGGAAAACCTGTTCTCACCAAAATTCACAGTAGAGGGATATTATCTGCAATGCCATATATGAGATCTAAAGGCTGTCTGAGATCATATTACAAGAAGTCTGAGAAATAGTATAGAAAATCTATTTTAAAAAGCTAACTGCAGTACGCCACTGCAAACAATTCCATATTTATTGATAACTTCTAGGGAATTCAGCCTGGTCAATGACTAGTTTTCATAAACAGCTGCAAAAATATCTTTCTCTAATGGAGATCAACTGCAAAATTTTGAGGGGCAAAAGGTTTATACAGAACAGAAATGTGATAGAATTTACTGAAATGTTTTCCAGGAAGCTCTGAGAAGGAGCTATCTGAAATCAGCCTGGCCCACAGTGAGAAAGAGAGAGAAACAATTTGGTGTTTTCAGATTCCTTAAAACATTGACTTAGTATTGACTCAGCAAGCTTTCAAACAAGAATATCTGCCAAAGGCAATACCAAATACTACATATAGTTAAACACTGCAAAACCAACTAATTCTTAGTTTCCTCCTGTTTATAATGTTTTGATTCCAAATCTGTGTTTTCAGAGTCTGTTCACCCAGGCTGTGTAACTACATTTGTCAGGAAACCAGGCAGGGAGACAGAGCTACAGGAGTGCACATATACCTAAGCCAAACCATGCAGGAAGTAAATGAACTAAATGCACTGTATGAAGCCACAAAAAAAGGCCCCTGCTGCTTGATGTTCACAGGCTCAGAACTTTCTAGGAGTATGTATTTATAGTCTTACATTTATAGGCCTGTATTACACATTTTACCGGAGAGGCATTTAATGAAAGGTAGAAAGAAAGCTCCTTTATGTTTATTTACCGCAAATATTTAAGAAATTTGTGAACTACTGCCTGTGAAATCTGAAAATATAATGACTTTGGAGATGTTACTAGGTTCTGGGTGATAAAACATTAACAAAGAATCAATATGCCCTGGGACAATGAAGAAGATATCAGTTGAAGAGGTCTTCATTAACTTGATGTACACCAGAAATGGTGCTCTCATTGTTTCTCCAGAAAATAATACTCTGTTTGTTATTATTTTAATAATAATTTTTGGTGTGTGGAATGGCTAGGAACAGATCACTTTCCTGACAGTGCTCTATTTCAAAAGGCTTGTCCTTTGCTACCAACAAAACGCATCAATATATTTTGAGAAAAGCCAAAAATAGAATCAAATTGATCCAAAAACCAGCAATGTCTTAATACTCTTCAATAAAAATGAACTCTGACTCCTAGAGACAACCAGGACTGTCTCAATCCAAACTTCCCAGCATATTCATGTGGAATTTGCTTCAGTCATAGTCAGCAGCAGGTATCACTCTTAAATTAAAACTTCTGGAAATTAGAGAGAATATTAAAAGGAAGACAATAATCAAACTATTTCTTCACTATAATGGTAGCCATTTGATACATTTTAACAGTCATCTAAAATATTAAATGCACCTGTTCTTCTTATATCCAAAATATACATTAAATATAATAGCCTTGGGCATCTCTAAAGCAACCAAACAACAAAACCACATGTAATGCAAAAAATTCGCAGAAGGGAGGAGGCACTACAACTGTGTCAAGTGACAAATGATGTAGTCCTTTAAGATGGAAAGCATTTATAGCTGTGCAGTTACAAGCAAATCCAACAATAAAAATGGCTCCCAAGAATTCATCTTGGAGTGGACATCTCAAAAAATGGTGTTTGAAAATGCCAGCCAAAACACACCTAAACAATGTAAACCACCAACCACCCAAGGTACTTCTGTGCTTTCCAAGAAGCACATGTTCCCACACTGAACACAATAGAAAGAACCACTCAAGTTATTTCAAGTAGATAAAAATTTTCCTGAAATCATGTTTCTTTCAGTTACAATATGCAAGATCTTTGTTACAGCAAAGAGTCATGCATGTCCCTAATTTTCACTAATTGACATGGATAGGTCAAGTTCTGTAAGAGCAGGAACAAATACATGTCTTGCTGGGGAGTCCTCTACATGTTACCTCTCAAATCATTTGACACACTCTCATAGGTAAATCTTTAAATTCTGCCTCAAAGCCCAGAACATTAAGAAGTGAGGAATTTAGATTCCTTGGTCTGGGATCATAATGCAACAGTGGGAGGCTGAAGGACAAAGACACCCCAACAGTTAAAAATACCCTACACAAATCCATGAGGGTTTTGTTTCTCCTGTCTTCTACACAGACAGGAGAAAATGCTAAATCTTCAATAGCATATACTGTGATTTTATGCTTTCACTGCAGACCACACAGATCATTAGTTAATGTAATGTAAATCTACCAAACTCTAATTTTCTAATTGTTCTTTAAATCCCCCTTCATTCATCAAGAGCAAAAGGCCCCCTCAGGATGTGATATTTAACAATACACCTAAGAAATGTGCACAGCTGGTTCCCAAGGGGACAGTCCCACCCCTTGTCATCCCTTCAGCTCTGCATTTTAGCCTCTTTTTTGACTTTGGTTCTTTGAAATGGTTTCAAGAAGAAAATTTGCAAAAGCTTCTTTACTTCGAGGGAGGACAGAAGGAATGGATACTTTTCTGTCTAATTAGCCTCTGAACCAACTCAGTGCTGGTGTGATGAATGCAGAAAGGTGGGAAGGTGCAGCGGGAGGCTAAGAACACAATCACACATCCGAGTAAGATTAGCCACTACACCAGTGCACCAAAAGCATCTGACTACGGCTTTGACTACGGCATGACAGCCTCTGAATGAGAAATTATGCAGAAGAAACCCAAAAGATTAATGAGAAATAAAACCCACTGATTTTCCAACCATGTCATTAGTAGAACCCACTAATACTCTGGATAACATTTTGGAAAAAATTACCATATCCATTTGCTCAAAACCAAGGAAGACAAAGTCTGAAGTTCATTCCACACATCCATCAATGCTATTTTAACTTCAGATGACTCTCTATATCAAATTATCTGCTTTTCTTTTCTAAAGTTTTATTTGTCTTACCATGATTGTTTCAATATTTTATTTCCACAGGAATTAATTTTTAACTGTAATATAATCCAGCCTGTTGCAGAGAGATTGCTCTAGGTGTAGTTGTTTTCCTGGCATGCTACACAATGTGTTTGGCTATGACCAGCCTAGTGTCTGGACCTCTGCCTGCAAGCACCAAGAGGTGCTGATGCTGCAGCCAATAACCCCTTTCAGGAAAGGTATTTGTCCTCAGCCAAATGTCCTCCTTTGAAATATAAGGGAGGAACACACTTCTGCTTACACACTGGTGAGAACTTTTTTTGGTGATGGATGCAGCTCAAGGTTTCTTCATGCTAGAGGAGCTGCTGTTACGTTGCTTCACTGTTTTTCCTTAGCAGCCCCCTGCTTTGAGTGTGATACCCACCTTCATATAACCCCAAGGCTCCTCCTGTAGCCTTCCTCTGATGACATATTATCCCTATACAGATCAGTAAACTTCAGCTACTCCCAAATTTCTTTTTTCTTTCTTCCGTGTCTCCTGTTCATTACACTCTTAACAGCCTGTGTGACCCTGCATCAGAGCTTGTTTCCCCTTCTAATCTCAACATTACTAATGTTCCCAACCCAGATTCCATCCTCAAACCCTCCCCATGGAGCTCTATTTCAGCTTTCAGAAGGGAGTTTTGTTGATTTTCCCTCTGCCAATAGCAACATCTAATCTTCTGAGAACCACCTCCCTTATTTCAATGGTCTTCTTCAAATCTGGTGTTGTGGATCCCTAGGTCTTAGTTCCTACTATTTTTGTTACACCCTCTCAAGGAACTGATATTCTTTTATGATTATTTTTTATCAGTGAAGTCCTTCCTTCATGCTTGTATCCACCTTAAAAATACCAAAATTCACAATTGTGTTATTTGTTGAGGCTCATTTTTTAGCAACAGAATATTTATCTGTTTTAAATATGACAGGAAGCCTGTAATGTTCATTTGCAGGTTTTATCTCACTAACCTAAGTTGGAACACAGTTCCAAAACTGGCATTACAGTTGTCTTTCAGACATTTTAGCTGACTCCCCTCATGATGGTTCCCAGAGTACAGGTATTAAAGGAGACACTTCAATGACTATTTCTGCTTCTAGGCTGAAAAAAACAGATTACAGTCCCAAGGTTTTTTTTCCCTGACAATGTCTAAGTGAATGTCTAAAAACTGTTTGGGAACTGAAATGAGAATTTTCCAGCATTAGAGACTGTGGGAAAGGATTATTCTCAGTGAGGTTGCTTTAAATCCTGTGTCATTCTAAAAGCTCCTATTTCTATTCTTTGTTCTTATTTCTGTTTCAAAGTCCTTTGGATGTGCACTCCTTTGGGGTCAAGCACATATCCCCTGGGAAGTGTGGGGGTGTAAAGACAAGAAAATTTCAGGAAATCTCTTACTTAGACTGTATTTATCAATGTTGAACTCAAGTATTTCTCCAGAGAGAAGAAAATGAAGCATTTTGGAAATATGTTCATCTTCTGCCATTGTTTATGTTGCAGTTAAACGTTTTTTATCCATGTCTACTAGAACAGTGACCAAATAGTGTCTTCTCAAGCAAAGTGACAGTTCAGAAAGGGTGCTTTGGTTTGCAGTTGCCATTCTTCTACATAACAGTAAATACACATCAGGCTTTTCAGAAAACACAAGAACACCAAGCACAACTTTTGTAAAAATATTTTCTTCTGCTTCATAATTTATTCATAACCAGGTTGTCTTCTCTTACTGTTTGGCTCTTTCTGACTGACTTTTGGAGAAATGCCATCATTAATTTCACTTGCTTGAATAAGGTTTGAACCAAGTTCTTGTCCATGTTACTAAATGTTTAGGCCATTCTCAAACTTCTCTTGAAAAGCACAAGACACATTTTTAGACAAAGCCCTTTCAGTTCCAAATTGTCTTGGATGGAGGCCAGATAAACACATTTTCTTCTGAGGTAGATGTTCAGTGGATTACCCAGAGCCTGAGAGTCCTTCTTTTAAAGATTTATAACTCTTAATAAAATATTCAGTCACCTTAAGGTACTGTCATCTATTGGTCTATCTACTGGTGCTTCTTTGAAGCAAATTAGGCATTTAGGATTGTATATGTGCAATGTAACCTCTCAAAAATAATGTAATCTAAAGCCTGGGATAATCTATATTGTAGTGAAAGCATTGAAAGAAAGAGACACTTAAAAGCTCAAAGAAAGGTAAGATACTTTAAAGAATGCAAGAACTATTATACAGTTCCTACTAAAGGAAGGTCTGTTTATACTTAGGAACACCATCCTACATGTTCCCATTACACATTCATACAGCTAACACTACAAAGAAAAAAGAAAAAAAAAAAGAAAAATAAAAAGAGAGAGAAGTTATAGCTTAAAAGGGGGTGGAAGGAAGACCTGTAAAACTACAGATGAGTGAGCCTTCCCTCTGTGTTTGGGAAGACCATGGAGCAGGTCTTCATGGAAGCAATGTTAAGGCATATGCAAGACAAGATGGTGATCCTAGCATGGCTTCACTAAAGGAAACTTGTGCCTGCCCACTCTGGCAACTTTTTTATGATGGAATGACTGCAGTGGTCTATAAGGTCAACATATGGAGAAATGCAATCCACCTGGACTTTTGCAAAACCTTCAAGATGGTCCTGCGACACTGCGCAACACCCTTATCTTTCTAGACTGGAGTGCCATGGATTTAACAAATGGGCTATTCAGTGGATAGAGAATTGGCTGAATGGATGCAGTCAGAGGCTTGGGGACAATGTCTCTATGTCCAGATTTTCTTGTAATTTTCTCTTCTGAAGACAGCTTTAAAACACATTCCCATCAGTTATGAGTTTTTTAAGAATGATTTTTTTTCTGGACTTAGGGAGGAAAATTTGATTATTATGTCAGAAACCAGTGATGGTTTTCAGAGCTCTGTCCTGGGACAGGTGCTCCTCAATATCTTCATCAGTGACACAGAGAGTGGGATTAAGTGCACCCTCAGCAAGCTTGCAGATGGCACCAAGCTGAATCATGCAGTTGGCACAACAGAGGAATGGGATGCCCATCCAGAGGGATCTGGAAAAGCTTGAGAAATGGGCCCTCATGAAACTCATAAAGTTGAACAAGTCCAAGTGCAATGTCCTGCATCTGAGTCAGGGAAATCCCAGACATGAGCACAGGCTGGGACAGGAATTCATTGACAGCAGCCCTGATGAGAAGGACTGGGGATTCTCATGGATGAAAAGCTGGACGTGAGCTGACAATTTGCACTCACATCCCAGAAAGCCAACTGCATCCTAGCTTGCTTCAAAAGAGATCAAAGGAGGTGATTCACCCAGTCTACTTTGCTCTCATGAGATACCATCTGGAGTACTGTGCTCAGGTCCGGGGTCCTCAGTCAGAAAAAGACAGGGACCTGTTAGAGTGAGTCCAGAGGATGTCCAAGAATGTGGTCAGAGGGATGGAACACCTCTCCTATAAGGAAAGGCTGAGAGAGTTGTTCAGCCTGGAGAAGAGAAATCTCTGGTGAGACCTCATTGTGGTATTCTAGTAATTAAACACATCCTATAAAAAAAGAAGAGAAGCGTTTACACAGGGATACAGGGATAAGACAAGGGGAAATGTTTTAAGCTAGAAGAGGAGAGATTTAGATTAGATATTAGGAAGAAATTCTTTACTCAAAGAGTAATTAAGCACTGGAACAGGTCACCCGGAGTTGTGGATGCCCCATCCCTGCAAGTGTTCCAGGCCAGGTTGGATGGGGCTTTGAACAATCTGGTCTAGTGGAAGATGTCACTACTCTTGCTAGACAGTTGGAATTAGATGATCTTCATTTGAAATGAAAGGTCCCTTCCATTTCAATGCAAACCAGTCTACGATTCCATGATTCCCCGCCCAAATATCTACAAGAAAAGGTATTATAAACAGAAATATATTTTGTTCTGGAATGTGTTAATTAATGGGTTTTTTAGTAATTTCTGATTCATTTTTTCAAACAAAAATATCCCTGTTCTTTTCTCTTTCTCTGCCTTGTTTTCTTTCTTCTCCTTATTCACACAACATAAAACTGTCACATGAAATGGTTTCACAGATTTTTGACATTTAGGAGGAACAAATATAAAGTGATTGCAGTTTATTTGTTCAGCTCACCTCCACTAATGGGTTCTTTGATTTTATGGGGCTTTTTGTATTCTCAATCACCTTCTTTCTAGTATGTGCTGCAAACTCCCAATTAAATGATTCCATATTGTTAATCCATATTGTTAATCACCTCTCCAACGTCTCCTTGGTGAGCACACACCCAACAGTGTGTCTGAGTGGATGTCCTCCCACCAATGGCTTCAAGTTGATGTATACCATGCACATGAACCAAACCACAGAAATTAACTCAAAGGACTGTGGAGGGACAGAAGGCCAGTTCAGCTTGAATTTTGCTTTCCTGACTCAAATTACCACCCCAAATCTTCAAATATCCTCTGTGTTTCAAAGTTTCATGTTTTTCAATTTGGGAATATTTACACAGATGACCAGAATTACCTATCAGATTCAAGAGAACATTGAAAAAAATCCCAAAAGAGGCTGTTTAAAAACAGTGATTTTCTTGTAATTTTCTCTTCTGAAGACAGCTTTAAAACACATTCCCATCAGTTATGAGTTTTTTAAGAATGATTTTTTTTCTGGACTTAGGGAGGAAAATTTGATTATTATGTCAGAAACCAGTGATGGCTTTTACCAGTGACAAAACACATCAGTGTGCCCAATGCAACTACTGCATCAGCCTTTGGATGGACACAACTTCAAGTGGCAAGAGAAAAACTCTGGCAGTCTCCACTACATTTCCTCTCAACCAAGCCCTATTTGTCAGTTATCTTTTAGAAAGCATTCTCACTTGATGAAGCCTTTTGAAGACAGATTAATACTTCTCCCTTCCTGCTTATGTTACTGAATCTAGAGCACTGGGTCCACTGTGTAGACTGGAAGTTCTTAAGGAGGAGAATTGTTCAAACTTTGCTCAGTAGCAACTATAAGTCTCTGGACAAATGAGTCAATTGAATGTTTCCATGTAATAGAAATAGCAGGATCATCCTAAAGATCTTGAATAGGACTTCTAGTAATACCACTGTCTCGTAAAAGAACTAAGTTTGTCATCAAAAGGGAGATCCTTATGGAAATTAGTTCTAGACATTTTTGTATTCCTGTCATACTCAGACATCTGTTGATTACATGCATTTACAGATCAAGTCTGACAGAACACCACAGCTAAGAAATATTACTCTTTCCATTTACTCTTGTGACACTGCACAAACTTTCAGAGACAACTTCAAATAAGACCAATGTCCAGCAAAATTTAGAAGAGCTGAGCTAATCTGTGTTTTCTGAAATGATCCCACAATGGAACAGTTCCGTTGTTTGAAGGCAGTTCAGAACAGACTGCCTGAAGCTCTGCCCCTTTATGTGTTATTCACCTTCTTAAACAACCTTGTATGCAATGCTCAGGAACAGGACATGTCAGTTGTCCTTCCAAGACACTATGGTTTTTATGCCTAGATGAAATAGCACAAAGGACAGTCTCTTAGAGTATTATTTTGATTGTGCTTAGACAACAACTTAGCAGGACACAACTGATAATTTTATTTAAACACATACATGGGAAATTGTAGACTACAATAGATTCTTGCTAAAACATATGTGTTTGGGGGGGAAACAGCAGAGCACTTAAGTCTACCATAAATGCTGCCCCACTGGGAATTCATGGAGTAAAACTCAGATTTGAGCACTAAGATTTTTTTCTGGAGTTGGAAATATAGAGGGTTAATCTAACAGCCAAACTATTCTTTTTTCTCAATCTTTCTAAATCCACATGTGCACAGATAGCATGCAAGAACTTGTGACCTAAAGATGAATATTTTGCAATGTGTTGGTTGTCTAAAACAGTGGTGGGACTTAATCATCGTAAAAGGTCTTTTCCAAAGTAAACTATGATTTCCAAACTCACTATGATTCTGTGAGTGCAGGCTTTCAGGCAAATTTTTCACTGAACTTCTCAGGAGAGCACTTAAAACAATCATCAGTTTTGGGAAGATGTGTTTGCATCCACCCTGTTCTAAACCAGATGCTGATTATCCAGAAATTAACTATCTGCTCTCTCATAGAGCAGTATGTTAGATGGAAACATACATGAATACAAATTCCAAGTAAAATTGGAAGCTATGAGAATGACTTTTAGCCTAGTGAACTTTATGAAAAGGAAGCACTATATTTTCCAAGTGTTTAAAATTCAGTTTTTACCGGCAGTGAATGAAGTCAGGAACAGGATTATGCTGGCTGAAAGATGCTGCATCGAGGTTCATGCAAATTTCCACATTGTCACCAGCCATGATTCGTACTGCAGCTTTATTTTCATCCTCAAATGTCTGCCTTTGCAAGGACGCACACAGAAGCAGCATGAAGTCATCTAGGTGAAAGTAGTGATTGCAAGGAAAAATTCAGTCATCAACATAGGTGTAAGAAGAGTTGCGATGTATCATAATGTAGTTACCAGACTGTTTTCCCACACTCTGAACCTCCAGATTGAGTGGTTTCCAATGCATTCAACTCTGAATTGAAATTTATTAATTAGGTTTTTTACCTGTCATTGTCTACGACTTTTATGGAGAAATAAATGAGAAAAGGGGAAATATTAATACATTTTTATATTAAATTAATTAGAAAAGGGATACAGGAAAAATAGATGCAAAAAGTACTAACTCTGTGAATTTTTCTACTACATCCAAAGCCATGCTTAGTATTCAATCACCCAAAAAATCTGTCATCTTGCTGCTGAAGTGTAAATGAAAGGCTGGCTTCAAATTCCACTGTACAGATGATTTAAGCAAAGGACATACACTTTATAACAATGTGCTAAAATACTTACACACAAGGAAGACAGGGTTTGGTCTCACAATAAAGTCTGGAAAGTATAACCACTTTATGATGTTGGAGTTGAAGTTGGCATTGCCACTTCTCCATGGATAGTCTGTGTGGCAGGAACATGCAAAAATTCAATCAGTACTTCATAACAATTACTTAATCCTTTTCTTCAGAATACTTAACCAATTTTCCAGTATTTTTCTATAAAAGCAACTAGCAGTAATTTTACATAAAGGGTGTCCTTACCTTTACAAGGAGCAGGTGGGATGCCAATGCAAAGGAAGTACTGGAATGTAATGATGCATGTTAGAAAACAACAATATTTTGGCCAGATCTCTGCAATAGCTTTTCTCCTGCGTCGATACAATACAGCAATCAGCCAGAAGGCATGAATCATTGCATAAAAATCCATCCTTTGACCAATTACATTCACTGATAGAAGAAAACAGGTCTGGAAATGAAGTAAAAAATCATAAACAACTTTTACAACCTCATGACTAGTCAACACAGCAATAAAAAAATTATTGTGGATCCTGACAGAATGCTTGGATGTACCTGTGTCTGACTGCAGGAACCCTGTGCAAACCAACATGCTCCAACAGCAACTTCCACCCCTCCACCCAAACTCCCAAATTTTTTATACTCTTCCATCTAGAGCAGGTTTCCATTATGTGATATCTAAAGACACGAGAAGGAAAGAGCCGTGTCATAATAGCCAGTATGTGAAATGTTTACTTGTTGCCAAGCAAGGAATGCATTGCACAGCCACATATTTTGATAGGATGTACAGATGTGGAAAAGAGGAAGAACTATTAAAATTGGTAACAACTAAAATGTCTCCTTATGTAGGAAATGGACAGGGCATTTAGACCTTCTAAATGTCTATTGGTGATAGAGAAATCCAGTCAATTCCTGCAAGACAGCTTTAGTTTTCCATTATTCTAAAGGGTCTACATTTCAGCATTTCTGTTCTCTGGCTTCACTGAAAGCAGTCCCTTCACTCAGTTCCATGAAACATTATTTTGAAACTTTGTGAAAACTTCATTTATTCAGCCCACTATGCTATTTTGGCTTTCTCTCTCCCCAGATTAGAATGATTTAAAATTATTTCCCAAAGGAAATAGCTTGCTGGACTTTTAAAATTTCATTCATTCTTAATCCTCAGATGGCTGCAAACAGTTTACTCCATTGATCACAGTGGTGGTAATGTTTAACAGACAGGTCAAGAGCATCATTATGATTAAATTTAGGATGCATTCCTCTGGGAATTGCCTCCTTCAGATAGGACATAGAAAATTGTGAAAACTCACTGTTAGACAGTGAGTGGAAAGTGGACAGTGGAAAGATTTTTCAAAAGTACATTTCATGTGTTCATGAACAAACAGACAAGGTAAGGGAACAGAGATGACTAACATGAATAATGACTAATATGCCTCTAGATATCAAACACAACCCAAGCTACTGTTCAAGAATAACATATTCAAAAGGTTTGGAATGTTAATCTAATGAAAAGTATTGGAGGTATTTACCTCCAAACCAAACTTGTAGAAGAAGTAGTTTATGAAATACTTGACACAGTTTACAAGTCCATCATCCAGATGTGCTCTTGTAATATCATGGAAAATGGTTTTAGTCACAGGTGCGGTGAGGTTATTTCGACATCTGTAGTATTCTTGGTGACGGTAGATTGTAACTTCAAAGGCCAGAATAGCCAGCATCAGTAAGTTATTCTATGGGAGACACAGTCAATAGAATTTAAAATAGAAGTCAAAGCCACAAAAAGATACAAAATTTTCTGATTAGTATAAACTCATTAATATTCAAATTTATGTTATCACTGAAGACTTCTGCACTCCAAAATGCACTGGCACCTATTCCCAGCTACTATGATTGAAACGAATTAAGGTTCACACCAATTTTTGGATTTTGATGAATCATCCAGACATCCAGAAGACACATATAAAGACATTATTTAAAAAATACTATAGTAAAAACTAGTTGTGGAAATGAATGGATGGAAAACATCATCAGTGTGCCCTCTCATATTTCATAGCTTCTCTTGAGGTATTACGGTTTTGCGGTTCTTTGTTGTTTTTTGGATTTTTTTTTAGGAGCTAGAAGATAAAAACCTACACAAAAGTCATCTGCAGAGGTTTAGCTGTCAAACACTAGCTTTCCAATACAAAGATGTTGGGTAGAGCAAATTTAACCTAGGCACTCTTTCACATGAACAGTCTGTCAATCTTCTCTCAGGCACGGCTCCTTCTGAGCCAGATTGACCAGGTTGCAGTCAGGGGTGGCTATGAACTGATTTTTATTTATCTCAGAAGGGAGATCTGCCCTATGCTCAATAAAAGAAGAGGTAGTGACTAACTCCAAAAGCTGGTTAAAAAGACCAGCTCAGAGAAAGTTCCTCAAGGAAGCCATAACTGAAGCAGAAGTGGCAAACTCTAGATCTGTGTTCTCTGGGGGATATTTAGGACAAGAATATCCTGAAACAGGTGCCACGGGGGTTTTTATGTTTTCTGTCAACCTTATACTGTGCATATAGAATGTTGGAGATTATTCAAATTAATAAGAGGTATGGTTTTCCCCAGGACTTGGTACATTTTCATTGTAAATAAAGTTTTTTAATCAAGAAAGAAATAATAAAACATTGCTCACAGGCATAAACCAAAACCAAGAAGAAAAACAAAAGACATCAATTTAGTAATGTCTGAATGAAAGATTCTCTTAATTCATTATGTTTTCTAAACTGTGGGTAAGGAATAAGCACTTAGAAATATTAACTTCTAGCACACACTGTCATTCAGGGCAATTACTCCAATTAGACCCATCAGTCCTTTGGTACCTGAAAGCCATGTACCTCTTAATTACTTAGAGTTCTTAAATATCACATTTCTTAAAGAGCTTTTAACAGATGGTAGAGTCCAAAAGTGATAATTCTACATGAAAGAATACCTTAATTGCTACTGGATCCCTTCTGGAAATGTTCTGTGTAACAGATGTGGTTTTCTGTTGCCCCTTTCCCTCTGTACTTCTCTATTATCAATGGTTTGCATTACTTTTTTTTTGTGTTTGTGACAGATTATTTATTTCAAAGACAATTCTACTTTCATCACAAATAAGAAAATATCTGAATACAGATAAGAAAAAAGTTACCCTTAAGTACACAAGAAGGGGACTAGATTTTCTCAATCCAACCCACTCTGAAGGATCAACTGGCCCACTGTAGAGCACTGAGGTTTTCAGCTCTTCTAAATTGACCTTAGTTTCATTCTCTCCTGGCTAAAAAGAAAATGCAACAGTTATAAAACATGACTTTAAGACTCCTTGGGAAGGGTATGATAAACAACAATAAAAAATACATCAGGTGAACTGTCATTTTTGTACTTGATATGCTTCCTTTTGTTCTCATTCACTGAAGAAGGCAGCAGTCAAACTTTTTAAATACACATTTGTACTCACCAATGTACAGTTTCTGGAAAAATCCTTGGGATCAATAGATGTGAGCTGATACAACATTTTGCAGACAATAATCACACATGTCCAAACAGTGCAGATACTTGATGCCAGTGGGCGAAACTGAGCATATGGCAAAGCAAGGGCCCAGGCAATTAAAAACACAAAGTTAAGTAGAGACACCTGAAAATACAATAACAGTACAGAAATTACATGGAGCAACAAAAGAACTGAGAAAATTTGACCTTTTCCACAGCAGACAAAAAAAAGAGTAATTAAAAAAAAAAAGGGAAATGAAGAAACTTTGAGGAAAACACTGGAAAAAAATTACAATACCCACAATAACACAGACACAAAGTAGTAAGTGGTGAAGAAGGAGAAACTTTACCATAGGTTTAGGAAAGAATTTACCACCCACATAATATTAATACTACTCCATTTCTTCCTTATCAACAGACATGAAATACAAAGGACCACGGGCAGTTTCTCTGCTTTAGTACACATGAAACAGAGATAGCCCAGATCTGTGTGTCTGTGCAACTGACCTTCTTCTTGACTTCTCCCCCACAAAAAAAAAAAAAAAAAAAAAAAAAAAAAAAAAAAAAAAAAAAAAAAAAAAAAAAAAAAGAAAAAAAAGAAAAAAAAGGAAAAAAAAAAAGTGAGAAAAGTGATATCTTTTTGGTTTTAGTGAATCCTGTCTTACTACCCTGTTCAAGAAATGGCTTTGTCACATAGAGAACTCATTGCCCACACCAAAACACAGTTGAAAGTGTTGCTCCCTTTTTCTTCAGGCATAATTCCACATTCTTTTTTCTTAAGCACCAGACCAAGTTAAAGCAATTTTCCTACATTTACCTTCCCAGTCCTTCTATGCCTTCCATCCTTAGATGGTGCTCACAGACAGTTTGAGCTGGAGAGGGAGTATGTCTCTTAAATCCAAAGAATTGGACTATTAAAATTTTAATACCTGGAGAAAAGGTGGGGACTGAGACTCTTGAAACAGAGAGAATGTGGAAGATATCAAGGCAGCTTCCCAGCAGGTGAACAGACCCAGCTGGATCCCACAATTTCAGTGAGGTCTGACAGGAGGAAATCTTCTCCCTACACTTGGGTGTGTAACCACATGGCAGATGCTGACATGCTGTGCAAGAGTTTGACAGTGGGAGTTTACTTACCTCTTTCACTGTGACCCAGATGATGTAAGAGGAAACAATTTTGATGATATGCAGCTCCAACAGCCACCACACAAAGACTTGCATCTTGTGAAAATACTCCAGGAATTTCAAAAACAGCACTGTAAGGCGGTCGATCACCAGATGCCACTTGTTCCTTAAGTCTGCAGGGATGTACAAGCAGAACCATTGTAAGGACAAAAACAGAAGGTCTCTCTTGTAAGCCTTAGAGTAAGATAAGATGAAGGATAAAGGCACATCTCAGTGGTTAACTAACTAAAAGTGGGGTTGAAACTCACGTAGCTGGGGTGCTTTCCCTTCTGACCCACATTCCCTGGAAGGATTCCACACTTCAAAAGCAGCAGTGGTGGCCTCCCTTGCCAATTGTGCTTTTATTCCTCTCATCAGAGCTCTTTTTGGACTCTCATCCTCCAGAATTTTTGGACCTAAGCTTAGAGATCTCACTCAGGAACTAATTCCAGCCCTGGTCCTTTTCCAGCTTGGAAAACTAAAAAATTTTTTGATGCTTGGAAGCTATGGACCCAGCTTATTTTCAGAAAGCACAGACTACTACTACTACTACTACTCAGAAAGTTTTTCAGCCAGACTGGAAGAAATCCATGCACACTAGGACTTGGATTCCTGTCACAAGGGTTTAGACAATTGTACTATAGACATATTCAGATGTCAGAATTATCTAAACTGCCTTGAAAACAGCACAGCCTCTTAGTGTGTGACCTGTGCCTTCACAGGACAAGACAGACAAACTGTAGCCCAGTCAAATATTTCCCTCAGTTGAAAAAGATTTATCAAGCAGAGATCATGAAGCTGGGTGAAAGTATCCCTTCACAGGAGTGTTTGGCTAAAAAAGCCATCCTCCCAAATAGTACTCCAGTGAGCAAGCTTGTGGTATTACCTGTTACATGTGAGCATACACGTGAGTGTACATGACAAAATATTTGATGAACAGTGTTCTCTAAATGACGACTTTGCTTGTGGGCTGGCTGTAAAACTGTTTCATCTGGCTGGTACATATTAATATAGAGTTTTCACACTGTATTCAGGGTTTCAGAAGCATTTTTGAGATTAGGAGGGATTTTGCATGCTGTGAGAACATTCTTTATATCAGAGATGGAAACATTTGGAAGTGATACCAAAGCAAATTACTATCTAAGCTGGTAAAAATGCAAAGGAGTTACCACCTTCTTTATGAAATTATTTCAAATTATCACTTTATTTTATATACAAAGCACACCAAGATGATTACTCCATGCATATTTGTGTGAATAACACATGCACATATGTGTGAAAAAGTAGACTTCTGGAACACCTCACAATTAAATTCCATTTTTTCCCTTTGCCCTTATTCTCCAAACACAACTTAGAAAATCCTAATAAAAATGCTGAATGATATGAATTCTGTAAGCACGTAATTAAACTTGAGAAATTAATTAAGCTACAGAACTCTAATCTTACATGTGTTTTTTATAAGCACAATGAGAGTATTTAAAATAAGTCTTTACAGAGTTAGATGTTCTCACTCATTCTTTCATTGCATTTGCTTTCATTTGCAGTGTTGCATCATGCAGGATGTATCCAGACAGTGCCAGTTAAGTGGAACAGGCAGATAAGGTGTTCTGTCTAGCATGGCCAGGCAATACACACACAAGGAATAAAACACAGGCCTGACTGCATCCACTGAAAGACTGTGCAACACTCTGTAGTGAAGTCTGCACATGTGAATGCGTTTAATGTCAAAGCTCCAGCCACATGGCTCTGTAAAAATGGTATAACTCCAATAGAAATTAATGCCATGTGCAGCTTAACGATGGATCCCCTTGTGCTATTCCAAGCAACATCAGCTGCAGCTCCCCACTTCCCTGCTTGCATGTGTCACTGCACAGAGTAATGTCCACCAGGTCTCTTTCCCAAAGCCCTCCCAACAAGCTGAGATGGTTGGAGTGCACCAGACCCCCCACCCCCCACAGACAGTATGAAAGCTTGCCAATAAAGGTTTCCATGGCCCATGACCACCTCTGTGATGACAGCTGTTCCAGCCAGGAAAGGTGAGTTGTTTCAGCTGAGGTTCAAGCACTGGAACAGGCTGTCCAGGAAAGTGGTCTAGTCACCATCCTTGAAGGTATTTAAAAGATGTATAGGTGTGGCATTTAGGGGCATGGTTTAGTGGTGGATATGGCACTGCTGGGTTAATGATTGGACTCAATGATCTCGAGAATGATTCCCTGATTCACTAGGGCTACTAAGCCTGAAGTGCTGCCATTTTGCCTTGACAAAGATCCTCTCCCTATTTAGGCGTCACAGTCCAGTGATTATTGTCATTAGTAACTAAATTTGTAGTAGGCCCTTTCCAAAGATTACAGCTTCCTTGGGTCTTAAATCATCTTTCCTAGTTTCACTTTTGGCTCATATTACAAGCTAAGTTATTGTAATAATTCATTTTAGAAGTTCATATTAACAATATCAAGGATGATAATATAAGCCATGTCTGCCCTTAAACTTTTTTATGTTCATCTGGCATCAATTACATATTCCATATTCAGAAGTGAAAAATATTACACTAATGTACACATAAATAATGAAGCAAAGCCATTGGGACTTCTGGGGAGAGGTATCTTGAAAGCATGGACTATCAGATATTAAATATGTATGTGTATTATTTTCTTGGTTGTAAGGAGTACTTCTACTACTCTAAAGAAGTACTTAGGATTTGGGGTAGCCTTCAAATAATCTAATGCAGACCACCTAGAAGAAATGGGCATTGGGTTTCTGTTGTTTTTTTTCCTCTCAGCACCCTACAGTACAATTTTTCCCAAGAACAGCCTGTAGCCTGCTGAATAATTGACAAGTAGCCATCTGCTCAGTTCAGGCTCTTTGACACAGACTGCAAGTGAAACTAGAAGCAAAACTTGGTGATTGAAGTTAACAGGGATGACCAGTAGCAAACCACCTGTTGACACTATGACTTAAGACTGAGGAAGGAAAAATTTGCATTCTGCAGAGCTTACCTGTAGTTTCTTCTTCCTCTGATTCATTGTCTTCATTGTCATCATCATCCTCTTCCTCTTCTTTATCCTCATCCTCCTTCTCTTCTTCTTTTCCTTTTTTGACCCTCCCTTTCCCTCCCTCCCCCTCTGGATCTTCCATTCTTTTCTCACCAGCCTCTTCCAGCATTTTATCCTCTTCTCTGCTGGCTGTTAGATTCATCATAGTTATGTCAGGCAGACTTCCATCTTGGTGCACCAGTCTGTAGGTAAAGAGTAGCATGTCAGCAAACTGAGGAGTAATGACATTGCAGTCTTTTTTTTTTTTTTTTTTTTTTTTTTTNGGTATAATTAGAAAAAAATTAACTGTTCATGGAAAATGCCTTAGAAGTAGAATAGAAGTAGAAAAGTTAATGATTCTGGTACTCTCTCCAAACACACACTGAAAACTGAGTCGTTGGACTGTATTAGTAACTACTTCTCACTCAGATACTAATGGTTAGTAATGAGTGGTATTGACACTTAAACTTGACATTTTCCCCAGTGGAGAAAATGGTCAGAGTTTAAGATGTAGAAGCATGAAATGACATTATTTAAGAGGAAACATTTCATGACTTCACAGGGGACTTACTCATTTTGGTGGTTTGGTATTTTTTTCTTGAGGCTGCTCAAAGTAATTGGAACAGAAAGAAAAAGGGAGATGAGAACAGAGGGGTTACAGAAGAAGGTCATTGACAAATACATCATGCTACATCACAAGTCATAAAGCATTCTCCTACTCCATCTGCGGAAGCCTTCTGATGCCAAGAGCGTGCCATCATGACATTCATGGGGTGCTTCTATAAAGAAACATGGATTTGCAGCATAGATGGAAAGGGGGCAACCTATTCACACCAGTGCTAAGCATGATCAATGCTGTACCATGCTCTGAATAATGCAGCTGAATCATCACAAATATTTGACCTATCACTGTAAATGCATTTCCACCTTCCTCCAATTAAAAGATGCACCTGGAAAGTCAAAGAATTTTCAATTTTTCTTCTAGCTATCAGTTTGGGAACAAACAAAAGCAGGAATTCCATGGCTGCACCTTCAAAAGATTTTTATAATAGTGCCATTCATTCTCTCTCTCTTTGCCACATCTCACACAGAATTTTTCTTTAATTTATAATAGTCTACATTTAAATCTATCAGTAACCTTTACACTACCAAAACTGGGATATGACCAATTTAACACAGAAACAATATTTCTCTAGTGCCATGGTGCCTTTTCCTTTTTTTCCTGAGATTATTCAGCATATGTATTTTCTTTACCACAGAAGATAAATATTTTCTTATGGTTTTCTTTTTTCTCCCAAAGCTCTGCTGTTGGGACTCACCTCCCATAGCTGCAAAAAAAACCTGTTTCCCTTTGAATATGACTCTTTGCAATGAAGTCTCCCTTTGGCAAATGTATGATTAGGTCATTAAATATTTGGTTATGCTATTGAAATTATTACACTCATCATACTTTCAAGCACCTGTAAGGCTGTTCTAAAATGCCATAGTACCATCTCAGGGATTTATTTTTCTTGATGTGAAATTCTGGCTTATAACCATTTATACAGGAAATTCTGCCAATTTTAGGATTTTTACTGTTCAAGAAACCAAAAATCTATTTTTTTCCTGATCATTAAAAATTAAGAGAATAGGCTAGGCAGTTAATGAGAAATTCAAACAAGCAGAATTATTTTTCAATAATTTGGGAGCTGCAGTTTCTTCAAGATGGAAACTTTTGAGTCTCAAATGCAGGAAAAACTACAGAAATGTGACTAAACAATCCTGAAGTAGAAATACTATGCCAATTGTCAAAAAGCAGAAGAGGTGGTCTAAAATAAAAGGTTTAACAAGACATTCAAATAACAAAAAATATCAAGTAATAAAGTATAATCACATTTTAGCCATATTCATAATGGGTTGGCAATAAGCCTGAGTGTCTAATAACCTGAGAAAATCTTATACTCAAGAATTTATTCAGTAGCTTTTGCTATTGAAAACAGAATCATAGGATAGTTTAGGTGGGAAGGAACCTTAAAGTATCCACTACTATGGGCAGTGATACCTCCCAGCAGACCAAGTTGCTCAGAGTTCCATCCAGCCCGGCCTTGAACACTGCCAGGACTGGGTCACCCACAACCTCCCTGGACAGCCTGTTCCAGTGTCTCACACTCAACAGTAAAGAATTTCTACCTAATATCTAACTAAAATTTCTCCTCTTTCAATTTGTACCCATTACTCCTTCTCCTGTCACTACAATTCCTGATGAAAAGGAATTCCCTCTTCAGATTCCCTGTAGGCCCCCTTCAGATACTGGAAAGCTGCTGTGATATCTCCAAGCAATTTCTTCTTCACTAGGCTGAACCCTTAGTAAAGTCATGTTGGCTGCTACTAATCATCTCTTTTGGACTCTTTGATTATTTTCAAATCTAAATCATGTATCAGCTAACATATACACTAAAAAGATATTAAAATCTCTATAAAGTTACTAAACATCAAGGTTCCCTAAAATGACATAGCGAACTTATATTTACCTAAAACTCTAATGAAGTACCAATAGGAGGGTCATGTATAAAGAAAAGAGAACAAATTTTCAGTTCAGTTCAAATGTCATAGAGATCCCTGGTTACTATAAACCATCACTGCCCATTTAAAAGGCAGTACACCATGAAATTAAAATAACCATATAATCAGACAAGTTTTGTATATATGTAATTGCATTGATTTTTATGAGGTATAGTCCCAAGTAACTTCTATAATGAAAAAATCTATTCACACTGGTGTAAATCAAGGACATAATTACTTACCTCAGTGTAAACTTGACAGAAACACAGCAACTCTATATGATTTGGTGTGCATGGACTCATCTTTCTCTTATTCATATAACTCCCATTTGTGTTCTGGAGATCCAGGAGCCAAATGGGGTTATAAAGATCTGTATGTGTAATTAATATAGCTGATAAAGCCTCAGCATGAGTTTAGTTTTCATTAGGCTTAGTTTTAATGGTATCAGTAGGCTTGAGCATTGGATCATTTACTTAGGAGATCCAAAATGCCCTGTGCACTGTTTGAAAAGTTAAGTCTATTTGGAATCTTTTTTCCAAAACTTTCTTATGTATTGCTAGGGTTGTTTTTCCAATTTCTTTTTTTTTTTCCACAATGAGATTACATTATATTGTAACTGACAACATTGAGGCATTAGATATAAAAACTTCAGTAATTTAGAATTTTTCAGACAAGCTACCCATATATCTTCACAGCTAGTGAGATAAGACTTTATTGTTGGAAGCCACATATTATTGGGAAATTACCCCATATAGCATGAAAACATTGTTTCTGACCCTAAGGGAGAGAAATAACTAAATAATAATGTAGGCAACAAGCCTTGAAGGTACAGCCACTACTGCTTTTAGCTGAGAGCATTTCTTACTGTCAGGTCCATTAAATAGGTTACCAATAATGAGAAGTATACCAATAGATCTAGTTTTTGGCAACAAAGAAATTTCAGTGGCTGGGTTCCTAGTATTGTCATCTATCTGCAATTTACTAGAGCAGAAGATTAATTAATTGGATGCATTATTAAGCATCTTTTGTCCTTGATAATTTTTTGCCATTTATGAACTGCTTGAAACTTTCTAGCTATAAGAAGTTCTCAAGAATCTTCCATGCAAAGCCTTAAGAACAGAAAGCTTTCTGCTCTGCTGAACACTAGTGACCCATCTCCTGAGTATTTGGTCTTCAAGACTCAAACTGAGCACACAGTACCATACCTCCACTGGCAGGACCTTGAGTGCCTTTACAGAGCCTTAAGGGGATATGCTGCCTGGATCCAAGCCCTGTTGGGGTATTAAACAGGCCAGGAAGCCTTGGTGCAGAGGGTCTCTCTCCTTTCATTGGGTGCTGCTTCCACACTGAATCCTCCACCCCTATGTTGTGGCTGCATCAGAGCTGTGTCTGTGCCTGCTCCCTCACCTCCCTGACCCTAAGCCTGACATGCAGACTGACACCCTGCCTTCACTGCAAACCTGGCTTATCTCCATGGACTCGCTGGGGCCTCGCTACCCTCTTACCAATTCCAGATCTGATCCTCACCTTCAATTGTTGGTTCATGCTTCTGACTGCCCATGGGTGAGAGCCCTTCCTTGCCTCTTGGCCATTCACCTTGACCTTAAATCTACCAGCTTGCCTGCCTTAGCCAAGGTGCTTGCCCTCACCACTCCTTTAGACACAGGCTAAGGGAGTGTGTTTAACAGATTCTAGGTCTGGTGAACTTTTAGTAAGAGTGACTCAAACTATATGATGACATTTGAAGAAGGAGAATAAACATGACTCATAAATTGACTTCTTGTAAGAGCAGGTAGTCACAAATATCTAAACAACGCATCTTCTTGGTTTTTCTGTTTATATTCAGTAGTGACAACAACTGAGAAGTCCTTCTATTCTCAGAGATGACTTAAAGATAGCTCACATTTATTCCAGTCAAGTATTTTGAAAGGAATCTAATTTACTGAACAGTTTTCAAGATGCCATTTATAAAGGGATGATCATGATGGCAATTTTTCTAGTTTGGATCCTGCAGCCTCCAACTCAGCCCATGTATTAACAGCCTTAGCATGCAGTGGGTTTAGTGTTCCTTTTCCAACTCTGAAATTTCAGTCTGTAGAAACTGGTGTAAATACTACATATTTAACTGAACAGGCCCTCAGATTCCCATTCTTACATGCTTGGAGAAAGACAGGGATGTGTGTCTATCTGCTTGTGTGTTTGTGTGTACACAGGCGCATGCAGGCATGCATCTTTCCATGCACAAAAAAAGGGTAGATAAACCAGCCTCCTCGACCAAATCTATAGTCTGCAGCCAATTACAAATAGCACCAATTATTCCTGCATTGAGGCATGGGCAAAGTTTAGGAGAATTCTCAGCTGGGAGAAGAAACTCACAATGTATAAATTTGCAGAAGAGGTGTATTAATTGCTTCATCAGCTTTAGGAAACTGCAACACCTGAACAACATTATCTCCCTGCTTACTTCACAGTACTGCGCAGCAAGAACATACTTTGCTTTAAGGCAACTAAGAAGTAACCAAAAAAATAAAGTATATCGGTTTTAAAGAAAAGGAAGAATTGAAGTACCCACCTATTAATTATTAGATATACACGGCCATTGACTTTGGCATGGCTATGAGGTGGGAGATGAAAGCAGAAGATGAAAATGGGAAATGAATTAGAGAGAGAAAACAAAGCCGTTAAATAAGAATGAATGCACTTTCCTGTCTACCAATGTGTTATGACACATTGTCATAACAACACACACTCAAATTTTAACATACACCATGCTGTGAAAAGTCTAGGAAGCTTATAAATGCAATTCTTACACATTTAGATCTATGCAACTTCAGTCAGAACTCCAGATCATATTCATAATCCTCAAAATGTTATAACAGCCTTTACTGCTTTATTTTAAGTTTTAGATTACCACCATTTAAAAAAATAACCTTTTTAAAAAATAAAATGTAAAGGTAACTATAGGAGAGCATCATATCAGAGAAATTATCTACCTCACCACCTTTATCTCTGCCATTGCATAATTCATGGTACAACAAGGAAATGGATTTCGAAATTACTAATCAGAGAACTTTTCTTTCTCTTGCAGATGTAAAACCGAGACACTCAGTTCTGACACCTTTATAAATAGTAAGAAGTCCCTCACTCTGCCAATTCCAATGTGCTAGTGTGTCCTCTCTTTGCAGCTGGCAGACCCTTCCTCTTCAACTCATTCTGCAAATTTTGCTCATGAGAAGCTTCATTTTAATAAATGAACATTCTTAGCGATTTCAATAGGACCCTTCAGTTACACACAACTGTAGTACTGTAATCACACCTGGCAGTTCAAAGGCAGAACTGGACGTGCTTTCTTTATTGCTTTCATGAGGAGCTCTCAGCGGCTGTGATTATTTTAAGTTTACTATTAAAAGGTCTGAGTTCTGTCTTGTTACTCAAAATGGAGGTTGTTTCTTTAATTTTTTTGTGCCAAAGGTGCAGCATAAAAGCAGTTTAAAAAGGTAAAACATTTGTTAAGTGAATGCTAGTGTCTTCAAAGCAAAAAGAAAAATTAAGTTTTAGTAGCTTTGAGAGAAAACTATACCTACATATGAATCTTGAATCTGTTTTAATTGCCCCTGCAACTGATTGCTAGCATTACTGTTAAGTTGAAGTTGGTTATTGTGTTAGTTTTTTATGCATCATCAATACAAACATCAGCTGAGCTCTTATTGTGAAGCTTTGAACTATAAAGTCAGTTGATACTCAATACTTGATTTATTGCATCAAGGGAAGAAAAGGGCTAGATTTTCATATGCCAGGCAGTGTTAGTAGGAGTGCAAATCAAGAAAACTCTTTTGATTTGGGTATTGGTCATAATAGTTAAAACTTCTCAGGATGAACAAAGGAGATATGTGATATTTGTGATTTTGAAAATACTGCAAAATGAGAAATATAGCACATATGAAACATTTAACAGTTAAAAATATTTAGGTACTTACGTGACTGCTTAATACAATCTAGTACATATTTACATTCAAAAGAAATAGCATACTAATTCCAAGATAAAAAAGCTGATGATATCACATGATCCTCTTCATCTGTGACTTCAGTAAAAAGCCTGGTATAACAATGAATGTCCACTTTCAAAATTATATCTCTAGGCTACTTATTCCTGGCAAAAATGTTTGCTTGCAATGTATTAAAACATTTTGTGTCTTTACCATCAGCAGTTCCATTCTTCGGGAATAAAGTGACTTCAGTCACAGTAATGCTCTTCATGCCACCATTTGGAAAGCTGTATAATATTTTTGTATTTTTCATGTGTAACAGAGAGATTTTCAAGTCGCGGTTGCACAGGCAAAGTGAACCCATCAAAATCCTATGAGTGCCTCAGGGTTTTTTTCTTTTTATTCTGTTTCTATTGAATCACATTAGAAGGGAGGTGGAAACTTCCTTTGTTACTCAGCACAAGTGCAATCTTTGGGTTGTAAGAGAGCTTTTGGAGTTACTGCAAACTGCAAAGCATTCCTCCAAATGCCTCAGCCCAGGAACAACCCCATTTCAGCTCAGACACATATCTGGGCTCTGTTTTCAGGACTTGGTCAATTCTGAGCTCTTAACATGTACCTACTGCTGCACAAAAGTCTACTGTGGGCAAGGGAAGTTTGCTCACAGGCCATTACAAAAGCACCCTTAAATCTACCATCACATTTAACAATTCAAGAAGAGCAACAGGAGAGTTATTACATGGACAGACATTTAAGAGTTAAGTTTAATGCCTTCACATCTTTATTAGGAAATTGTATCAAGTTTGATCTGTTCTGGTCTTAACAATTATTCAAATACAGAAACTGGAAGCATTCCATAAAACTGGAGCTTAATCTCATGGCACAAACTTATACCATATACTGTGAAGCAGCTTCATATCAAATTGAATGTATGAAAAATACCTGAAATGCTTTTTAAATCTTGCATAACCTAGAACATAACTCCCTGTTAAGTAACTGGCATTATTCCCTGTGGTCTATGCAGTGTTATGCAGTTAGCTCCGTTCATAGAAGTGCAGGTGAGATACACTTATCACTAGACAGGTGAACATTCTAAAAGTGGGTCTAAATTAATTGTTTTCTTCAAGGAATGACCATAGTTGTCATTGCATAATATAACACTATGTATTACATAACCATTTCCCTCTTATACTCCTGGCTCAGGATCCTAGGCCAGACTGGTTTTTACACAGGAAGATATGTAAGAATTGACCGCTGGAAAAGTGATGTCCCAGATTAATGAAAAAATGCTAATGAAAGTCTGGATGAAATCACCAAACGTCTAGCATAGCCAAGGGTCAGTACTATGAAAAGTAACCACAAACTCAGAATTTTTCCATGTCTGAAGTTCAACTTTACAAAAAGGCCTAACTGTTCAATGCAGATATGGTGTTTTCCACAGATATCCAAATCTTCCTGTGGCCCCCAAAATGGATGTTGAAAATAAAGGAATGACCCAAAATAACAGCTGTATTTCTTATTACTGATAGGAATGCACAGTAATTAAGCACCTAACTCCCAGTAAAGGTCAAAGCCAATTAAATAAATATATAAATGCCATTAGTACCTTTGAAACTGTATCTTAAAATGAGAAAGTTCAGTATGTAGGGGAAAATGGGGAGAGACAGATACTTTGGTTGTAGTGGGGTGCTGGACACTGTGCACTTTCTTTTTAAGTCAGGTACTCATCACAAAGGCAAATAACATCTACTGAAAAGTGAGCATTACAAGGTAGTAAGAAACAGCATTTCCATACAGATAATCAATAGTTCCATTTACTTTGCTTCTTACCTGTAAATAGTGTTGTCCTGTTTGCTGGTTACAGCTTTTAAATCAGTGATCTGCAGAAACCGATCATGGAAATAGTGAAGGTGTAAGATACACACCAGTAGGAAGGAGGTGGGGATAAAGATGCGTGTGAATAGATCAGCCACAGAAAACTGTTTTAAACCAAGGTCCTCTAGTCTGGAAAAAAAAAAATTCCACTAAGGCACCTTTTCACACAAAATATTCTTTCCATGAGACATTTCTACAAATTATTTGCAATAGAAAATAAGGGGATTGTTCATCAGTTCCAAACATCCTGCAGATCTACCCTTAATCTTTCCCTGGATCTGGTTCTTATGGTCAAAGTGGGTAAGACAGGTATTGGCACTGTACTGAGAACAGAATCAATCCAAACACCTAAGCAGCCAATTGGAGAAAATACAACTCTGAGCTCCTCTCTTGGCCTTGCTCACTTCTATGGTTACACCAATAAATCTACGGCTTCATAACTAAGTGCCAAAAATCAGCTATGCCTGAGAATGGCTGCATGACATTTTTCTCCCATAAGAAGGAAGACTTCTCTCAGATCCTTCCATCACACTGAACTCGGATAAAAGGCACAAATAAAAAATTAATCAAAACCACTTACTTCCTTTCATCCAGGCCTGTCATGTTCTTCCACAACCCAGGGAAAGACTCAAACTGGTATGTGTAGATGAAGATAAGTACCAACATTGTGTAAACAACCACTGACATCCAGAAGTACTTTAAAATCTTTCTCCACCATTCATAGTGTACCTGAAAATCACACACTGAAGATGCTGACACAAGCTGAAGGCAAAGACACTAGTAGAAATATTGACAACATTGTACTGTTGAACAAGAATGAACATTATTTTTCCCAGCTGATCTGAAGTAAGCAATGATTATCCAGTGGCAGACACAGATTCTTGAGATAGTTTTTACAACTTATGCAAATGCATTGAAGTAAAGACTTTTGTCCAAAAATATCTGATGAGACATGGGCCACAGAAACAAAGTCAGGGATAGCTTCAGCCAGCTAACTTCACCACCATTAGTGATGAAAGTCCAGGAGGAGAGGAACTCCCATGCTCATTGGGGTGTGGAAGTGGTGTGGACCAGCTGTCAAATAAACTGGTGGCTATATAGAATGTGCATAGACTCAGAATATTCCACAAAGGTTCCAAAGCTTATGGTGAAGTGGCATGGCAGAACAGAGGTGTGCATTGTATCTAATTTACATGTACTTTGTCACTATAACTAAAAACCAGAGGAAAATTAGTCTTAATTCCTTCAACTAGTCTTACTATTCAAATTCACTGATCATGAATTCTATTTGGAGCTACTTTATTATGAAGCTGAAAGTATAAACAGTTCTATTCAAGGATAAAATTCAGTTAACACAGTTCTCCCTTACCTGGTAGAGGGCCACACAGAAGAGGAACAGTACCATGTAGATGATTTTGTACATGACAATTGTACCCTCAAAGCTGACGAAGAAGAACATGCCCCCACACACGTAAATCCAGTACTTGATTAACATAGCCATCACCAGCTTCCCCAAGACTTTCATAATATCCTGTTCATCCTCCTCCTCTCCCTCCTCCTCCTCTTCCTTCTCCTCTTCCTGTTCTTCTGACACTTCTCCCTCTTGTGAATCCTCTTCTGCAAATACAGAGTCACGTTTGGCCTGTCTCTTCTGGGGACTTTTAGTGAATTTAAATGGGTGGAAAGTAAAATCTCTGCACACAACAAAGAAACTTAAAACTCAATATTCACAAGAGACTGTAATTCCTAATCATGCATGCCTCCAGAGCAAGGAAAAGGATTTTAACTTCATATGAGCTTAAATCTGCTACTGGAGCCATAGAGCACATGGCTATACATCCTTACCAGACACCCAGCTTCAATTTGTCTGAAATGTCAGCAGCTTTAGTGGAAAATTAGAGTTTAAGGGTTGCATAAGGGATAATAGCCAAAACAATTCCCATATACTCCTATACTCTCAAGTAAGCATGGAAAATGAAGAAACCACCAGCACCACCAGAAACCTCTTGAGTTTAGACTCTCATCTTGAGTTCAAGCCTCTCATCTTGAGTTTCACCCTTTAGATAATATTGTGTTTATCCTCAAAAACCACAAGCAAGGGAAAACATTAACATAAACCCAAAGAAGCTTAAAAATATAAATGTTGCACTAACACTGCCATTAAAAAAAAAAACCTACCTCACCTGGGCCAGAAAAGAAAAGCTGCTTTTGCCCTGTGAAGAGGCCAAGATTGCCCAGTTATTAACCTTAAGAGGTATGTGGAGGGCAGGGTAAGTGACCCCCAGCAGCCAAGTACATGTGCAGTGTCTAGATAACAGGGCTTGCCAGAACCATAGTACAGCTGTTTTTCTTTCCATTGAGAGCAATATTGAAACTTCACCATCAAGAGGCTTGCCAACTCCTTTTGTTGCACACACCATCCTCCTCCTGAGGCTCTTGCCTTGAAAGTCCTTGTAGTACAGCTTTGACACTAATCAGATGCTTTACTGAGACAAGGATTGTAATTAATCAGAGACAGAACCACACCACTGCTTCAAGGGCTCACCTTCTACCATTTCAGTGCATTGAACTTTTTCAGCTAAACATCCAGAGAGAGGAGGCAAGGCATGTTTGGAGGAACATGTGTCCAGTAGTGAAAGAAAGAAGTGGTCACTGAGTTATTAGGTAAGCTGAATCTATAAAAGTAAACTTTGCTCTCAGGTGTGCTTGAGCCCCTGCACTGAAAAAAATATATGCTTACTTTTTCCACTGAAATTTGTAATTTAACTTCTATGTCTGTATGAGAGTTTATGTACCAACATAACTTCCAAGGAATTTAGCAACTTTTCCTAGGTAAACTTATCATCCATGGTTAAACTTTAGGGCAAATAATCCTCCGGTTTGAGTGGGGAACAGCAGTAAACTGATCATTTGAAAGTTCCACGATCTTTCTAAAATGAGTGATTTTATTACCTTCCAGTAAAAACATTGTATATGAATTTCTAAAGTTCAAAAATGTTTTTACTTCTATATCTCAGAGATAGCTGAACATAGATTTTGCAATATCTTTCTTAGCTAATAACAGATACCTTGCTAATTGCTTTCAGCATCAGAGAAACGCAGTAACTGGAACTTCTATCATGACTGAAGGAGACTAAATTGGATCTGGCTTTACCTTTTTCTTCATTTTCTTCACTTCCAACTTTGACCTCAGATAAAGTAGCTTCTTTTAGCCGAAGTGCTTTCTGTTCAGTGAGGTGTTGCCTAAGCAGTAGCCAGAAAGTAATTGTGAAAAGAATCTGCAAACAAAAATCAAAACAAAACCAACAGACTAATTGTATATCCTATGTCCTACTGATACAAGCATAGGTTTTCACAAATTCTGCATGCCTTTGTTTTCTCTGTCTCTCAGAATATGGCAGCAATGGCATCTTATGGCAAGTTATGTTATTTAGGAAACATCCTGCATTACAGATAATTTTGCTTCATTTGCGCATTTCCACTTCGTAAACATATTCACTTATATACATCTATTCCTACCCTGTTTTATTTAGATTTTAACTATTGTCTTGTAAGTTTAGGCATCTTCTTATTATGCATTGATTGATATAATTCCCATTTGTTGGTTTTTTGTTCATTTTTTTAACCTTTTTGTTTCAGGGAAGAAGCACATACAAGAGAGTACTGTCATTATCATGGTTTTGTATATCACAAATATTTTGATTTAGGAGGTTTTTTACTTCAGGCACTTAATCATGATTATTATAAAAATCTGTGTTTTGGTATGTCTTGCAGTTACAGAAGAATTATTAGAGAGAATATATCTTGCATTTGCAACAGCTACAAGAGCTGAGATAGCTCTTAATTCTTTCAAGAGCTTCAAGAGATGTTACTTCAGTACAGCAGGATACCTTAGAAATAAATGGCTCTCTTTAATGAAGAATGCAATTCTGTGTGTTGCAAAAAGCTACCTTCAACAGCTTGCAATACCAAGAGATGGACAAAATTTAGAAAACAACATAATGCCTGTTTTCACACACTTGATTTTATGTTTGCTTTCTACATAGCTTTTGCTCATTTCCCTTTGCAGAAGGAGACTTATTTCACTACGTAGTTAAAATAACAAAATTTCAAAGAGGAAACACATAAGAGCCAAATACTTTGCATACACTAGAATGACAAAGCCAGTGGTACAATGCATTTTTTTATTTAATGCACAGTGGGGAAAAGGATTGCTCCCAGGAGATGGAATTTTTATTGACACTACTGCCAACACTGAGCCATGGCAGCAGATTGTCAGCCTGTATGACTTGTCACAGCTTCCCCAGATACCTCCTGGAGCTCTGGCTTTTGCAACACAAACCTTTAATATTGTAAAGCACAGACTTCCTTCTGCAGTGATTAGCTCTGACTTCCCACCACATTTACTCCCTTGTTCTACTTGGCATTTCAGAGCCAGAGCTGGCTCTAAGAAAAGTCTTGAAGGGTTGCACACCAAATAAATGCTTTTAATCACCTTTTACAGTATAGATTTCATCTCATTTTCAGACCAGGAAACACATATTGCATGCAGAAATTTATGCAGAAAGAATTACAGTACACTTCTATTCTTCTTTACACAGAATCCAGTATCCAGTCTTCATTTAAATTCAACCATTATTCAAAGGACTTTAAATTAGGAATAAAGAGGGGTATAGAGTTACTTGTAGAGAAACTACTAAAGAGAGACTGATGGACAAGGCTAGCAAGCAAAGGGTGCCTGGGGTGTACAAAAGGAAATACATAATCAGCAAAACAGGGCTCATGCAGGGTCACCACAAGCCTTTGTATATAAGCAAAGCAATTACTTCAAGGCAGCCTTACAGGGAAACCTGCCAGATTCTTTCCGGGAAAACAGCATGTCAGGTGCCCCTCTGAAGTGCCTGTACACTTGAGCCCTGCAGCATGGGGAACAAACCCAAGCAATCAGAGATCTCTGTGCAGGACTGTGTTCTTCTTGGGATGAGAGAGACAGGGTGTGTTACCTTGAATATTTGCAATACAGAGCTACAGGCTCTTTAGGAAGCACAGGCCGGAAAGATGCAGAGGTGAAGTTGGGATTTGCAGAGCAACACAGTTGGAATGCATAGACTCTGCCTGGGGATGGACTAGGTAATCTGTGGGGAATGCAAAATGGCCATGCATGTACAGACGTGATTAGAAAAGTCAAGGCCTGAAACTGAGACTGGCAAGGCATGTCCAGAGCAACAAGTTTGCTTCTGTATGTGCCTGGGGTGAGGGCCCTGATGACACAGGGCATGGAAGACACTGAGGTAACCAAACGCCTTCTGTGCCTCAGTTTTTGCTAGCAAGACTGGCCTTAAGGAAACACAGTTCCTGAAGACCCTGGAAAAGTCTGAAGCAAGGAAGAACCTTCCTTTGACAAAACATGCTTGGATCAGGGAATATTTAAAGAAAGTGGGCATACATAAGTGCGCAGATCCTGATGGGATGAGCCCAGGAGCTGACTGATGTCACTAGTAGAGGTTACTCTCAATAAACTTTAATCAAATGTGGTGATAAGAGAATTGATGAAGGAAAGCAAACATCATTCTTATCTTCAATCTCAAAATGAAGGATCAAGCCTGGATAATTTCACTTCAATCCTTGGGAGTGTGATATTGGTGAGATGTTGGAAAAGGCTTCATGGAGAAGCTGTGGATGCTCCTTCATTGGAAGTGTCCAAGATCAGGCTGGATAGAACTTTGAGCAACCTGATCTAGTGAAAGATGTCCCTGCCTATGGCAGGGGGATTGGACTAGATGATCTTGAAAGGTCCATGCTGATCCCAAACCATTCTGTGATTTTAATGTGATGGAGGAGCTAATCCTGAAAAACATTTCCAGGTGTGGAAGGATGAGAAAACCATCAGGAATAGTCAGAGTGTATCCAATCAGGAGAAGTCATGCTTGACCATCTTGATAAAATTTTATGATAAAATCAGTGACACGAGAGCAGCAGATACTGTCTCTTAGACTCCAGACAGAAACTGTCTCCCATAAGGTGGTCAGGGGAAGCTGATGAAGTGTGGGCTGGATGAGCAGACAGTGAGGTGAACTGAAAACTGACTGAACAGCTGAGCTCAGAAGGCAGTTATCAATGGCATAAAGCCTAGTTGGAGGTCAGGGAGTACCAATGTGCCCCAGGGGTCAATACTGAACCCAGTCTTGTTCAACATCTTCATTTTTGATCCAGACAATGAGGGAGAGTATACCCTCACCAAGTTTACTGATACCACACAACTGGGAGGAGTGGCTGATTCACCAGAGGGTCATGCTGTCGAGTGGGACTTCGACAGGCAGGAGAGAAGGGCTGGAGAGAGGGGCTGACAGGAACATCAGGGCATTCAGCAAGGTGAAGTACAAAGTCCTGCACCTGGGTAGGAAGAACCAGCTCATGCGCCATTGGGTGCTGGGGTCCAACCTGGAAAGTAGTTTGGCAGAAATAGCCTGTAGATCATGGTGGATAACAAGTTACAAGTAAGCCAGCAATGTGCCCTTATGGCAAAGAATGTTAATGCCTGCATTAGGAGGTGCTGAAAGCAGGTTGAGGAAGGTGACTGTGAGATGAGGCCACAATTTGAGTGCTGTGTCCTGTTCTGCCACCCCAGTGCAAGAGACATGGATGTACAGGAGAGAGTCCAGTTGAATGGCCATGAAGGGACTGGAGCATCTCTCCTACGATGACAGTGTTAGGGGGAATCTCACTCAATGCCTATAAATATCTGAAGGGAGGTGTGAAGATGTTGGAGACAGACTCTTTTCTGTGGTGCCCAGTGATGGGACCAGAGGCAATAGGCACAAACTGAAACATGGTAGGTTCCCTCTGAACATCCGAAAACACTTTTTTTTTCCTATGAGGGTAATAATTCAGTACCAGCACAGGTCGCCCTGGGATGTACCAAGAGTTTCCACTCATAGGGATATTCAAAAGCCATCTAAGCATGGTCCTGAGCAATCAAATCTAGATGACTCTGCTTGAGTGTTGGACCAATAACCTCCAGAAGTCTCTTTTGGCTTCAACTATTGTGGGATTCTGTGAAAGTTATGGAGTGCATTTAATTCAGCCTAAAAACCCCACTAAACACCTAATGGCTTTATGGATCTGGCCAGATCACAATACATACACATCAGCTTCCTTTCCTGACAGCATCTGTTTTTAGACAAGATATTTGATGATATAGCCAATAAGAAATAATATCAAAGGGAATGAAGTGTTAAGACAGTTAAAATTCCTTAGAGATTCACAAAGTCATTTTAAAAAATGGTACAATTTCTCTTGCAGAACCCCTTGAGCTTTCTCCCTCTTACCAAACTAGCCCTACCTTTACAAAAGAAAGAATATAGCACTCACTAACTTTCAAATGCATTAAAGACCCAGAAATGGCTGTCCAAAGGGTATTGCCAACAAGGAAGATGACATACAGAATCAACTTAAATTGTAATTAGGAGTCACAAGGGAAGTGATCCACTTAGCACAAGGGAAGCAGTGCCAACTAGATGCATTCCCTAAGATGCCCCTCTTGGGTGCTCTAGGAAGAAACATCCCATTTTCACGCAGTCGCTTCTCCAGGAGCAAACTTGCAGAACGAAATGCATTTTCAAGACATTGAAGAAAAAAATCCATCATGCACTGGGGTCAGCAAATTCTCTTGGTTCTAACCTAAAATGGATTTCAACTCATGCTGAGTCAGGTGTAAGGATAAAGAATTAAAACTCAGCCACAGCAATGTGCTGCTGCTTGTGCCAAACCATTAGGGACTGAGTAGTATTGGTAATTGCAATGACAACACAGTTCCAGTTGCCATCATAATTGCAGACAAATCTGACATCCCATGGGTATTAATCTAATGAATCAAATAACATCTGGTTTTGAATCTAGTTTATAAAACCATACAAGTGAGCAATTTCAATCCACCAACTATTTTCTACAGAATTATCATGAAAACCTAAAAGATGTTTGAACCATTTGCTCTAGTATTAGCTTAATATGCAAGAAGCAGTTTTCTGAACACTCTTTTTAATAACTTACCCTTTCCTTTAGAATCGCTACTGAAAGTGGTTACACTGAATACTGTGGTTGCACTCTTAAAAAAATATCAAGAGATCCATATTTTTATCATAATATGTTTTGTGGTTTCATAAATAAATCTCAGCTGTTTGCTACACTTACCTTTGATGCCAGCTCCCCAGGTTCCTTTCTTTTTAAAAAACCAGATACTTGAGGAAGTTCATCATTCTTGAGCTCAATACTCCATATATACTGTAATATTAGCAGTAAATTTCCATAAAAAACCATGAAGGGTGAACTGATCATGGCATATTTCCTTCGGTCCCGAATCATCCACAATGTGCAAGACCAGATTAGTAACACAAAAGTCAACCAGCTGTGATATGTGATGCTCCACGCCTTGTGGAAGGAGGAAAGAGAGGAAAACATGTTCACAGATGCATTCAGGAACAACACAGATGCAGATTTCCAGTTACACTTCATTTACACTTCTCTACTCAGCAGATATTTTCATTTTCATCAGACTCTCACCTATATTAATCACCTACTGGACCAGCTAAAATAAACCCTTCGGAGAACATGCAGAAAGTAGATTCTGAGGGCAAACCCTTGATTCATTAGCTGCACTTTGTAAGCAGACTCATTGCTTCTCATGACACTAAACTAAAAGAGATGGAAAATAAAGATTAAAGTTTGGGCACAGATTTTTTTCTTGCAAAACAGCAGCAAAGAATTAAGAGTAGGAATGGCAAAACCTAATCAATGGGTACTGCACTGAAGGCCTTTGACAGAATTACAAAACAGCATTAACTCAATACTGCTCTAGATTTTGTGGAATCAGTTTAAAATGGAAAGCTATGGTATGCACCCACTCAACCTGAAAAACATTTAATCTACAGTAACTGTGGTAGATTACCTGAATACTCACAACTACAGAACAGCTTTCAGAATTTTATTTTCAAAAACTTCTCTATTAAACACTGAAGAAAAGGATTTAGGGGGTTGAAGTGTTTTTTATCTACATTGTGTTATTGATTAAGGACGAAATTTAGCTATATATATGCTGCTATAACTGTGGAATAACTGTCAATAAAGCATTAAAAAAAATATTAAACATTAAGAATATTTCTATCAGGTTGGTTTAGCCCTACAGAAAATTATGTCTTTTAAGGGTATGTGAAAAACATGGACATGCTTCTTCTCCATCGTTGTATGACAAAATAGCTTACACTGAACTATCTTTGGCTCCAGTATAAACAGAATTTCCATCAGAGCATACCACAAATAAATTCATAAATTAATTTGTATCACATAAAATCAGAATATGTCATGAAGATAAAAGCTAGCATTAAACTACAAGTAAATAACTTCAAATACATAGTCTACTTTTATATTGAGAGATATAACCCTGGGAATTAATAAAAAGGGAAATGCAGACCTGGTCTAGTAGAAGGTATCTCTGCCCAAGGCAGGGGGCTTGGAACCAGAGAACTAGATAACTTTTAAGATCCCTTCCATTCTATGATCTAAGAAGTACATGAGTTTAAAAAATAGGAAAAAAACTACCATGTCAATATGAAAATAACTAATTACTTGTCAATACCTCAGAATATGCATCAATTCAGATCCATATTTTGCACAAGGAGACGGCCTTATTTACAGGGGAAACTTTTTCTGTTAAAAGACAGCCAGTAAAGTTTGAAACTTTATGCAAACGAGAAACAGCCAAGGTAATTTGTTTTACCATTTTTAATGAAAAATTGGGCCAAGAAGCTTTATGGCTAATTTCATCATAGTTGAAACTTCTCCAAAACAGTAAAAGCAAGGCTTGCATTGGGAATATAGAAAGACATCTAATCATTATGTGGAAACCTTGGTATAATGCAGCTCAAAGTGTTTGCAACAAGGAGGCTTAAAAACAAGCAACAGCATGAAAAGGAGAAAGAAGGGTGATAAGTAAAACAACACGAAAGTCTGCCTTGGCACAAAGTGTTTTCCTTGAGATCTTTCTGTGTCAATACAGGAAACCAGGCTTTACAGATCCTTTCTTCTCAGAGAGTCACTGGATGCATGCATTGCCTGCATTAGGAACTATATTTTTACAGTTTTCTATATCAGTATGACACACATTAATTTTATAGGTACATTTCTGAGTGGTGCAAACACATGACAAATCTGCTTGTGCAGAAGCTCAGGAATCAATAGGAAACTGAGACCCAGTGGCTTTCCAATATTCAAGAGACAGCAAAGCCTGGGGCTCTCAGTCCGGGAAGTGTGTTGCCCTGTTTAAAGGTCTGTAGCAGGCCTAGGAATTATGCCTTAATAACCTAAAATGGGCTCAAAATTATGCAGACACCATCTTAATATTTTTTTAAGCCTAATACAAAGACTTGATGAAAACCAACCAATGAGACTACTTTCAGAAAAGCATGGAGAAGACACTTTCATAAAATCAATAGCATTCTTTTTGTTGCTAGTACTTACCATCATAGCTATCAGAGCACAAATATAGCTTTGTTTCATGATAAATTGAAACACAGAGACCAGGGCATGTAATTTAACATTTTCCTTTTCCTCCTGAGTAACTTCCTCTTCTTCTTCCTCCTCCTCTTCCTTTTCTAAGTAGAAAAATAAATTCTTATTTGCAATCCATGCTGGTGTAAAGATAGCACATGCATCCTCTCCTGAAATTACTTTGCTTGCAATCACTCTGATGGCTACTTCAAATCATTGTGTTGGTAGGCAAAGTATTTTGGATGGTATACATGTACAGCCCAATTTAGAAAACTGCCGTATGGCCATCCATCATTGTAAGGTGACAGCAGTTATTTAACAGGCCACAGAGCTTACCAAAATGACAAGAAATGCTAGAAGCAGTGACTGGAGATACAGAATAAGAAAAATACGTGGAAAAAAGTGACAATTCCAAGGCAATTTACTACCTGACAAGCCATCCGAGGGCTCCCACTTGTACTGTGGTGTGGAGTACACGTCTGCTTTGGCTGGACCATTTTCCAGTGGCAGTGCGGGGTGGATGGTGTGATAGTCAGCAGGGTTCCCGTTCACTGTCACCAGCAGCACCTGCCGGGACACCGGAGAGAGGCACCGCATCTACCGTGGCTCTTAGAGGAGTGGGACTCCTACTTCTGCATTTTGCTACTCTTGGAGTGCCAGTGTTAAAAGAGGTTAGCAAGCAGCTGCAGTTACTTCCAAAAAACTGGTATGTCATAGTTGTGTTGCATGCAAAATTAACTCAGAACAGCTTTCAAAATTGTTGTTAGATTATTATGTCATACCAGTAGAAGTAACCAAAAATTCATCCTTCTTCTTAGGCAAACTACTACATCAGGATTCTCAGACTTCAGTTCACATCTAATTATTTCTAGTAGTTATTAAAATAATGGCTATAAATTACTTTCCAGTTGAATTATTAGTGGTGAGATCTATATTTGCAGCTGTTAATAAAACCACTTGTGGTAAACATTGTTATTGATGGCACATTTTTGTCACTTGGTAGTCCTAATTCAACACTCTGTCATTTTTTTATTTTTGTGACTTCCGTTTCAGTCCTTGTGCTTTTTTGGATAAAGGCTCCAGCAATAACAACCACCAGTATCTTTCCTATTGGCAGAAATTCACATGCACTGGGTTAGTGATGGCAATACGTGCTCAAGACTGACTTCTTCTCAGGCTATGAGACAGGAGCGTATCTTTCTTGTTAAAACTATTCACAGGCATATGCAACAGCCTGTGAACTATTTCAGAACAGTATCTGGGTTATGTTCAGTCATATCCACCAAGTACAGACTGTGGAGCAGGTTTACATTAGGCTATGGGTGCTCCTAAAATTCACCTTCAACTCCACTCTTCCTTTGTATGTGCTAAACAGAAGGGACGTTTCTGCTTTCAGAGTCTGCTAAGGTCTATAGCAGTCAAGATAAATGGATTATTTGCTGTCTGTTCAAATAAAGACTTGAATTTTCTGTAATCTATAAACTGAATTCATATGTGCTGTTGGTCATGCTTTAAGGGCCTCAGCATTCCAACACGAATGAAAGAAAAAAATATAGCAAAGAAACTAAAACAAATTTACAGGTGGCTTGCATTAGAAAGCATATTTTTGTATCATATTCAAACCCAATGAAATAGCAAAGATCGTTTGCCAGTTGGTACTACTACAAGCAGTTTAATTTTAAGTAATCAATCAATGGTTTCTCAGGGAAATTATTAAGGAAGCAGAAGACAATTACATTTGGGATAATCAAAATTATAGGTTAAAATGGCAGGCTAACCATAAATCTAGAAGTTTACAAATGTCATCTAAGGTTTTGTCTATATGTATCGTTTGTATTTACACACATTGAGAAGAATTGCAAAATTACAAAGACTAGTAGTATACTAACATCCGATGGCTTGTATTCATCTTGGGTCATTGACAGAAGCTGCAAAAAGCAATGCAAGAACCAATTATTATAGAAGCAAGGCTCAAGCATTAGTAAGTTTGACTTCTTGAATACATGCATGCATATGTGCTGACTTTTGCAGATTTGCACTAATAAATTCAGAAAGAATTCTTAAAAAGTCAGCCGAATTGTACAATACCATAAAATTATATTCAGTGTGCCATAGCATTGACATAATTTTACTGTATGTTCCTGTGAATTTTTAAACCAGAAGTGAGAATGTTGCATGGAAATTTTGGATACTAGGTCAAAGAATTAATCAGTATTGCATTATACTGATTAACTGCTTTCTAATGTCTTTCTAATGATCCAATGCTTAAAAACTAAGTTTTTAAACAATCATTAGAATTACTACAATTATAACAATAGTTCCAGTAAAATAGTGATGCAAATATAAAATACAATACTTTATGCATTTACCAGCTCTCTTATTACTATTATCATAGTGGATTTCCTGGGGCTTGAGTATATGTGGCTTGAGTATATATGAATGCTCATATATCCCAAATTTGACAGTAACTCGACAAATGAAATTTTGCAGTGCACCTGGTGCAGACAGGTAGTAGAGAGCTGGACCCTTCCAGGGTATTTTACACAGCTGCCTAAAATGCCTTGCTTTGAATCTTCAAGAAGGATGCCAGTATGCTTAGGAGAAGATAAGCTGGCAGTCCTCACTCATCAGTGACAGTGCTAATTAGTAGCTAAAAGGCAGATCAGATCTCTACACCAGGTTTAGCTCCCTGACAGACTTTCTAGCTGGTTTGCCCAAATATAATGGCCCCAAGCCAAAAGCCCAGTCCTACACTCCTTAAATGTGGAAGCCAAAAACACAGAGCATGCTTTTCATTTACATCCTTACACTGGCTCCTGGTTTTCTTTCATTAATTGTAACAAAATATATTCCTACCCTACTCTGCCATGCAGCCTTGATTTTTATATTAATCAGATATTTTATCTGATTTATAAGATCTCTCACATGTGGAGATCTTACTTGCAAGCTACGTAACACAACTTCCCTTAATTCAAAGCAAATGTGTAGTGCAGAGACCCTTCCCCCTCCAGTCTTACTTTTCTCTCATCAGTTGTATAGTGGCTTGCATACCACAGACTGCGTCTCCTCTCCGCTGTCATTGGAATTGGGCTGCAGGGAATTTCTTTGTCATCTTCCCTGCTGACAGATTTCTCTTCATCGGGCGTCTGCTAAATGACAACAGATGAAGCACTAGCTGTAGCTCTGTAAATACAATCTCAGCAGAGGAACTGAAATTCTCTCCTAACTGGTGTTCCATCTCCAAAGCATGTCTGAAGCACCTTGTAGTGGCTAATGCACTTGGTTTATGGTAGATGACTCTGAGATGACATTTTCAGAAACAATGACAGAGCTTTTCTATAACTGCTAGTTACACGACACCAGAATTACACCAAATAATAATAAGGTAGACCTCCAGGTACTACCTTAGCTTACCATATAGTCATACCATAAGCATATACAAATACATAAAATATAAAATCCACAAGGTACAATGTTTAATTTTTAAGGCAATGTATGCTATTTCAGCATCTTTGATCACTGTTCCATAACGTCTTTGCTGACAAACCAGTAAGATAAGGACTTGACAAATGGAACACAAACTGGCTGGAGAACTGGCTAAAGTGCCAAGGCTCAAATACAAAAATGGTAGACTGCAATGAGTGGAGTTTCTCAGAGACTGGCACTAGGTCTAGTCTTATTCAAAACTACCTGGATGGAATTGCACCCACACAAATTTCGTGAATGACAAAATTTGTGAACTGGGAGGAGGTAAATGGGCCAGAAGAAAGATTCACCATCGAGAGATGAGACACCAAAAACTGCACGAGGTTTAACAAAGATAAAGTCCTGCAGCTGGAATAAACCCACATAACAGTAAAGGCTGTGGACAGGCAGTGTGGGAAGCAGCTCTGTGGAATAGGCTCTGGTGCACAGCAAGCTGAAAAAGAGCCAGCAGTGCACTGTACTCCAGCAGCAAAAAAGGCAGACACGTCCTGGACTGCATCAGCCAGAGTACTGCCAGCAGATCAAGAGATGTGATTATTCCACTGTGCCTGGCAAGTGTCAGGCCATACCTGCAATGAAATTCTGGCATCCCCAGTTGAAGAGAGACACAGAAAATCTGGACAAAGTCCCATAGAGAATTGTCAAGATGATTAGAGGCTTGGAGAAACTGAAGGATGCAGGAATCGGGTTTTTTTTTCAATTTACAGCAAAAAAAAATTACAGTTTTAGAAAAGACAAGGGTAGTCTTCTCACAGGGAGGCATAGTTATAGGACAGGAGGCTAAGGACATAATTTGCTTCAGGGAAATACCTTCTGAGTATTAAAAAAATTAAAATTTTACTTTTTTTTTTTCTTTTTTTTTTTACCATCATGAGAACAATGAACCATGCAAGATTTGGCCCTGGAAAATCTAATCTGAGACCCTGCTCTCCGAAGAAGTTGCTTCACATGATCTTCCCAAGTTCCTTCCAATCTGGACTGTCCTGTGACTCTGTGATTGTCTCTAATCCACGTGGTTTATTTCTCCATCTGAGATAGCAAATGTTATCACTAAATTGAGGAGTAATGCAAACCACAGTAGGTTACAGCTTCTCTTTGAGCCCTACCAGAGCCCTTCCTGCACTGTGACTCCTGAGCAGCAGCTTGCTGGTGGCAACTGTTCTCATTGCTTAGGCAAAATCCTCTGATGTAATAGAAGAATAAATCAGGGTGCTGGGCAGAGGTCTGCAAAGCTACCCATGAGAACAAGACATCCAAAGAGCCGAGCTTATTTTGAAACTCTCCTCATTCCAATCCTAGCAGCAAGGTCCTATTTTTTACTTGACTTAGATAAACAATTATTATTAATTTAGTTTCACTTCTCAGAGGAAATGGTAGCACATTTCACATATGATTGTATATTTATATTTGATAGTAAAAGGGCATTCCTAGCAAAACTGTAAGATGAAATAAACTGATTCTGTGCTTAAAGTACTTCTCACTGCCATTTGAAACTTGAATATAAATATAAACCATAAAGAACTGCTTATCAAAGGTATTTAATTTGGCACCAGGGTGACAAAAACAATACAAAAGACCTAAGACACACACAATTATTTTAGTAAGATATTTTTAGCCTTAGACACAACAGGGAAGGGTGGGAAATCTTGTTTTCTCTTTCTCAGAAGAGGAAGAAAAGTCAGAAAACACAGTACTAGTCACACAAGCACAGCTTGTGAGTCCTTTGACTTGCCTAATTTTTTCAGTTATTCCTCACCAACTCTTAAATACCTTTTAATTCAAACAATTATAAAAATTTTATAAGAGGACTCTTCATTCAACTGCTGTAGCTCTGCTGACTCCTGTACTATTACTTACCACTCACAGCACAGAATGAATGGGCTCTATTCATATATTCAGTGCTAGCAGTTACAACTGTGAGCTGAAATCTCTAGAGACAGATTGCTTTTTCTTATTTGCAGAGGTAGAATTTCACAAGACTCAATGTTAGAACAAGACGGGATCCAAAACAGCAAGCATAAGAAGAGCAAATCTTCCACTGACTGCCACAGTCACTTTGCATGAGTAAGATCCATTCAGAATCCCATATGGAGAGCATACACTGAAATTTCATGCATGCCATACTTTGACACTGTGGTGCACACACTAAAAACTGAACCATGAAACTCAAGATTTGAAGTGGGGGGAGTTTCTGTAAGATTGCTCATCACCTGCAGCATTTAGAGACAGTCTCAAGAGCATTTGTCTCAAAGACAATTCTTGCTGCCATCCAGGCAGAATTTTATCCACAAGAGGACCCCAAGATGTAAATCACACAAGAAAAAAAAACCCTCAGGTCTACATGTTTTACTCTGCTTTTAGCATCTGCTACATCAGATATATATTTAGCTTATGTGATCTTTTTAGACTAAAAAGTATTTATTTCTTGTTTTGTTCAAAACAGTTTTTGTTCAAGAGCTTCTTTTGAACAAAATTCCTAGGATGAGCCACTTCTTACTGTAAAGGACAGTAGTATATAGAAAACAACTTATTTACACTAAATGCCTCATAGAATTTTGTCTTTGCTATTTATTGAACTTCAGGTAGGTTAGTAGTGAGATCCTAAATGCAGAGTAACTTTGAAATCACTGGAGACTGAAAAGGCAGGTTATATACTTAATTCCATAATTAATCAAATGCACCACAATTATACAAGTTTAAACACATTTCAATGAAACCTAGAATGCAATTATTTCAGGATTTAAAAAACTGAGAATGCAGTCTACCAGGGAAAATCTAGTAAGAGAATTTTTAAATCCTGATCTATGACACCACTAAACAAAACCAAAATGCATATAGACAAAAACAAAACCAAACAAAAACAACAATAACAACAACAAAAAAAAGGAAGATATGCTCAAAATATAGTAAATTTTGCAAATCTTAGCTTCTCTTTCTAATGACAAACATTTGCATCACTAACACCCTGTGCATCAAAAATAAGCATTAATGCATGGATACTCCTTCCTTTACAGTGTTCCCTTTTCAAAGCATCCATTTCTCTTTGGAGGGAAGCATCATTTCCCTGGCATCTGAAGTTCCCTTGGGAGAGCCAAGACTTTGGCATGCCTTTCATGTAGCCATGAATTTGACATCAGTGTTTCTTAAATTAATGTCTTTTAATACTTACTCTAGCTCAATTGCCTGGAAAGCATCTCTAATTTCACTTGTTGGCAGTTCTCAGAGACTGGTTTTAGTGTTTTATGGGAATATCTATCTCAGACACCACAAGCAGTCTAAAATAAAAGCTGCAGGCAAGACCACTATAGTTCCTCTCAAGTCCCTGTAGGTAATTGCAGCATTCACTCTATCCTATACAGAAATACCCACTTCTCTCCACTGAAAAAGCACAGCAACTAACTCAACTCCAACACCAAACTTTTAGATGGTGACTGTTGGATGAAAACAACACAGGCACTGGAAATCAATTCCCAGACTTGCTGAGATCACACAGCTCATACTAACTGCATTTCACATGTGGTAACTCCTCTGTGGGTAGTTCTCATGGTTTTACTAAGCAGTTTGTGAGATGTGAAGTTTTAGTTACAGCCCAAGTGCTAAAATCATATTATTATCTGGAAATCTAATGTTTCATTTAAAAAAAGTCTAGTTTCCAGAAGCTGCAGCTGCAGAAAAAATAAAAGGAAAAAAACCCTAAAAAATACCCAGTGCCAGAGGGTACTGGATCACAATGATATGACTTCAGAAAAGATATTAAGATTTCTGGAAACGTAAGACACAATATTTTAATAGCTAAAGGAGATGACTCTGGCATTGTTCACCGTTTGAAGCCCTATGTAATCTCCAAATTCCAGACATCTCAGTTCTGAGGTGATGTATTTTGACTGCCTTTTTAAATGTTAAATGGTTACAGTATCCATTATATGAAGAAACACCCTTAAACCTTTAACATTTTTACTTCCCTCTACAAACTCCACTAATTCACAGCACAGTCATGAGTATTTTCATTGTGGTTTACAGCACTACTAAACCTCAACTCAAAAATTCACATCAGGCCTCTGAGGATCAGGAAATTAATATAAGTAATGCCTAAGATCATCCTTTTTATACTTTCAGTTTCTAAGCTTTTAAGATACCTCTGGGTTCCCATATACCCATTTTCCCCTGAAATTGGAAGATTTGCCTTTTTTTTTTTTTTTCTTCTTGTTCTCTTGCTCTTAAACAAAAGTTGGGATTTTCACTCAGGCACACAGGAGGAAAGATTTTAAGAATTTTTTTATATATCTGTGGTACAATTACAAATATGTTTTTTGTCTTATTGAATCCTGTGCCAAAATCCTACCTCTGTTCTGGTAGACAAGCCTTAGGTGCTGGCATTTCACTTGATAGCACCTAAACTTGAATCACAGACTCAGAGTCATTCAGGTTGGAAAAGACTTTTAAGATCCTTGAGTCAATCAAGTCCAGCCACTACTGCATGTCAATACCTGCTTTCCAAATCAAAGCATTAATGCTCTGCCATTGCATTCCTTGCATAATTGTCCTGCTGATTTTCAGAATAATACCCATGTCAGATCAGACTCTTGGACAAACTTAGTGAAAAGACCAAATTCAAAGTATCACCTTGTACTTCCTGTCTATTTCCCTTAATTTTCCTAAAGTTTTGCACCTCTCTTAATGAGTGTCTGTACTGGCCAGTCTCCCAGTCATCAGTCATGGGAAGAGAGAAGGAAATTACCCTTTCAATGGGCTCTTGCAGCCAGAGACGAATGAGAGTTGCTAGGGTGTAGTACATCACTAGCAGTAAGATTGGGTTAGCATGGTGATACCAATGTAACTCTTGATTTTTGATGATCATCCAAGTGCTTGAGCAGTTTGTCTGAGTAAGAGAAGTGACACCGAACAACCTGTGAATATAAAAAACCAAAGCAGCCACATTAGATAATAAACATCAAATCTTAAAAATATTTAAAAATATTTTGGAGGGCAACGTTTGCTTATGTTTAATATCAATTGTTTTGTTCAAAAATATCACCTGCCATCACATCTAAGATGCAGTGAGTATTTTCATTCCACATATTTAGTCAAAAGAAGAGGGATTTTACAATTGCTTTTCAACATGAAAAAATGGGAGTATAATAGCATTACATCTACTATGTCCAATGAGAAAACTTGCAATGGCCTGCTCCCTTGTAGCTCAAGAGCTAGAGAAAGTGGGAAGAGAAAATCTGGCTGCAAGACCATTTGGCAAATCACAGCAACATGATATTTCAGAGAGATTTAGTAAATTGATGTGTAACACCATTTCAGTCACCCTGCCAGGACACAGCTGTAAAGTATATCTTCTTGGCACACTGAACAGTTTACTGGACTTTTCTTTTAAAAAGCTAATACTATTAATAAATTGTTATCTAATAATGCCAATGTTAGAAACATACAGGGCTCTGCTGAACTCATAGCTTTTGTGAATTAAAACCCAAAAATATTCAGAAAGGTTATTGTTTCAGATTATCAAATAATTGAGGGAAGAAAAAGAAGAAAAATTAATTAGAAGTATTATTATCAATGACACGAAATACTTGATGTTTCTGGAAAAAGTAGGATTACACAATATTTCTATCAAGTAAGGAACATATGTTGGCAAAAAACCCACTTAGTATTAAAAAAAATACCTAACATTTTTGATTTAATACAGGATGTTGGATGCCTACTAGATGTGTTAAATACTGAAACAAAACTAATAGGAAACAATAGTTAATCTGGCTCTTTCATTATAAAATAGCTTGCAGAGTTCTAAAGTTAGGGCATGAGCTACCAGTAGCATGTGTCAGTATTCATTACAAATATTTTGCCTCTTGACAAAAGCTTTTTCTACCATACTGTCAGTGAGAGTTTTCATTTTTTTACCAAAACAAGGTCTAAGAGACAATTAAGAAGATCATCTTATTGGTAGAATAATAAATTCAAAACTATTGTTCCTCTGAAAGGATGAATCAAACACATTATTAAAAAACCAAACCCAAAACCAAAACATGCAAGATTTTCTGCTGGGGGATTGAATTTTTAAGAGTGTCTAAAAGCTCAGTTCTTCCTTAACCTAGTAAGATCCAACATGAAAATATGAATGAATGCAAAGAATAAGTACAATATTCAATAGAGATGTGCTGCCTGAAATCTGCCTTTGGATGCTGCAAAGCAAAAGTGTTATATCTGTTCATAACTGGGGATTTGCTGCATGGGCATAATACCATTAACTCCTAGAAGGAGAGCCCCAAAACATTTTATTAACCAATCTATCAGCACTCACATCTCATTCTGATTGTCAACAGAGGCCAAAGGTATAAACTTTCAGACCTTTCAGAGCTTTTGGGTGGATACAAGGATAATCAAGGGAAAAAAAATCATTAAAAAGTCCTGCATACAAAGTAAATTGCTGTAATTTAAGGGAGCTGAATGAGCTGTGTTTGGAGTAGACTCAGATTCAAACTTCCATAGCATCCAAGAACATTTGGAGCTGATGTTACACTTTGGCTCCAACTGGGAGAAGTTCATGCTGGATTGTATTCTGTTCATATTTCTATCAGCACAGAGGAACATCTTGTTTGCCTGCTTTCCTCTCTCCTACTCACTTGTCATTTTTGCTCATCAGTGATCAGGGTTGCTGAGCTCCTGTTAGTTGAAGGGTTCCTGTTAGTTTAATCTTTTACCTCTGTTTCACTACACAGTTATCCATCTTTGGTTCATTTTAAGCTTTTCTTTGTAAGCACAGTATGATTCACCCTATTTCTTTCTCATAAGCATCAGAATCAGAGTGAAATCCAATTCTTAGTGAAATGCAGTCTTTCCATTGACAGTGATGAGTATTTCCTACAGAAATGAGGGAAAGTTCCTGAAGGCTCTCAGAAACTTCTGCCAAATAGACATGATCTTCATATCACATATTCCATTCCTGTAGTATGTTTTATAATATACTATAGCTAGAAACTCAGATCAACTTATGTTTTACTTTTATCTCCACTAAAAAAAAAACATTCCACATAATCCTAATGGCTAAGAAATTTTATTATGTTTCAGTTATATTCTCATTCTCTTAGTTTCATTTGCTGGCTCCAAATTATTTGTACATTATAATATTGGACTTAATTCTGCTCCCTTCTGGTCCTTCATTAATAAGTTACAGCACATCTTTTCCCTTTAAGTTGCCACATGGCAATGTTATTTAATGTATTTTACTTCAATTTATTCAATGTATTTTGCTTTGTCTCATAAAGCATGGATGTAGAGGAACTGCTCCTCATTTCTGATTTCTCCTTGGGCTTTGAGACTTGTTAGTCACAATGCACTCAACACAACTTTCCCTGTTTATCACATTCACAATTCACTGTTGTCTTAGGAATGCTTGTTCTGTCTGTTCTGGCCTCCAATAATGCTACAAGTTGCTATTCAATATTTATGCTTCAATATTTATACTTCATCATTATCATCAATGAGAACTGCTGGTGCAGAACATTTTTCAAAGGAATAGTCATCTTCCCTTAGACAAAGCTTCTAATTGCACAGGAATGGCTGCAATAAAATGTATAAGCAATATACATTAGGGTATTATTCAGTTCTGCATACTTCATTCTGCAAAGATGTTTTTACATTCAATATTGATCCTAACCAGCTGTGTTTGAGTCCAACTTTGATCTTGTGTGTCTCCATCTTACCCAACATACATGGATGCCATCAGTAAGGTCGGAATGAGTTCTAAGTGGGAGAAACCCACTACCAAACAGGTCAAGTACATGTGTGCCTGGTTACAGAATATAAACAAAATAAATAACGAGAGACTTATTTATTAATGGATATATTTGGGTTTCCAAAAGACCACGTGAAAAGTCACATAAAATGGAAGTTTGCAAGATGTGAGTAGATTAGCATTTCTGCTCTTGCAAAGAGCTAAAGCTGGGTTTTTCAAAGTCCTCACTGGTGTTCTGAAAAATACACAGCAGAAATAATTTGGAAAAAGTTATAGAAATTATGAAAGGCCGAGAGGAACTTTAACATCTGACTGAGAAATGCTCTGAGATAACACAGTGAAAAAGAGTTCTTAAAATGAAGGTGGCATCTTTTTGTCCAGTTACTATTCAATAAGCTTGTTTTCTTGGAAAAGATTCCTATTGAATCTGTGAATCATTTTTCTAGCAGATGCACCTTCAACTTCCATGACTTTTCGACAAAGCTGTAAACTGTGACTATACAAAATTCCCACTTTCTATATTAATCTAACATTAAAATTCAGAAGAGGAATTTCAATTTCACTTGAAAACAGAGAAATTAATTCCTGTTGCACCCACAGATATTTCACCTAAGGAACTGCCAAAGTTGCTAAAACTACCTTGTTAAAACTTCTATTGCACGCATTACTTAATTATTACATTAATATAAGAATTGGCATAATTACTCATGGTGCTAAATATTAACATAAAATAGCTGCGTAAAAAAAATAGGTTTCATATACAGAATTATCAAAACAGTCCTTATATATCTGTTAGATCTGTGTGAATTTTAAATTCACTAAAATTATTTGGATTTTTTTTTTGTAAAAACATATTTATAAGTTCAGATCCTGCATGTGCTCATGTTTTAGGTGTTGACTTCAGGCAAGTATTTGCCTTGTAACTTTCAAGGCCAGGAAAGAAAGTAATAATTCCGACTTACTGCACAATGTAGGACACTCAATAATTCTATTGAACAACACTCTTGTGTTTGAATAAGAGTTTATACTCTAGAATGGCATCCAATCTTAATTTTAATTGATAGAAAACTTTCCACTGTCTCTTACTCTTTTTCTAAGAGTTTTAGCTTTTGTAACACTTTTGTGTAGATGCGGTTTCCAGTTGCTTCATCTTCCTACAACTCTATGTACTCCTTCATATAGTACTTTTCACTACACAACAGAGCAGGGGGTTATTTTTCTATATAATCTTTGAGTTTGCATGAATATTACAGCTTGAAGAAAATGTCTGCACCAAACTACTCTAGGAGTGCATTTTCTGATTTAGCATTTAATATTACAGGATGCTTTTTTTCTGTGGCCAGTACATACTGCATGGTTATTCCCAGCAATGGCATCAGAACATCTTAGTGTGCTGGGCTGGATTTGGGTAATCCATCTTTGTAGAACTTCTGAATTTGTGTTGGATTTTATGGTGTGTCTGAATCTTTCTTTAATCTGGATACCTTCTATTGCATATTTATTTCACTCTCCTCACAGCAAAGGAGACAAGAGTGGTGTCTGCAAAACTGGGGTAGGAGAATGGAATATTGAGACTGACATTTGAATACCTGAGCCCTAAAATGGAGATGCTAAAAGTGACCAAATGAGAGAAGAAAAGGGAAGAAGAGTAGAGTAAGCAAACAGGAGGAGAATAAGGGAGGGGAGAATAAGGAAGGAAAGAGCAACAAATTCCATAGAAATGGGCAAAAAAATAATATATTTGGAGAAGGTGGTGTTGATTGTGGTAGAAATATTCTTTTTCTGGGGCAAAAGGATTGAAATACAGGGAGAAAAGTCAAAACTTCATCTTTCACAGTACAAGCCCTGAATACTGAGTTTCATGAAGAAGAGTATTTGGAATACTGAAAAGGCTATTTCCCAAACTCTAAACACTACTTGAAGATGAACTTTTTTTCAAACGTTGACTTAAAAGAGGTGCATATTGCTGTCAGGCTTGAAAATGTTCCGTGGACAACAGAGAAAAAGGGGTGGAAGGAACTGGAAAATAAATTAGCATAGAGAAAACACAATTCCTACACAATCCTTCTAAAAGTCAGGAGTCCCCTTTTCATACACAAGCCATCCTCTTGAGTTTTCTGTGCTTGGATGACAGAACTACACAGAAGTTAAGATCCATAAACTTAT